TGGTTGTTGATTTGTTGTCGAAGCAAATTCATGACCTCGACCTTTTTTTACGTTTAGTAGGTAGTGATTTTGGATGTTATCTCTTCGCTTTTCGATCTGTAGGTAGTGATTTTGGGGTTTTGTTGGTTGTATTTTCAGATATTGGCCGTAGCTGTGGTGGTGATGTTGGTAGTAGGATCTGATTGTTGGTGGTTTTGCGGGGATGTGGTTGTAATGTTGGTTGTGGTGATGGTCGTGGAAGTGGTAACAGTGATTGTTGTGGGACGTCGTAGGATAGGAGTGTTTGTTGTTAGTGGTTGTGGTGGTGGTGGTGCAGCGATGGTGGTGTTTCTGATTAGTGGTACTATGGGTGTAATGGTGTTGGTGATGTTGGAAGCTGGTGTATTGTTGGATGTGTTTGGAGGTGTTTTCTAGCTGTCGTGGTGGTCTTGGTGGCTGCAATAGTTTTTGGTGGTGGTTGTGTTATTGGTGTTGTGGTGGTGGATGCGGTGGTGGTGTCGGGATCGAATGTTGGATGTCTGTGACCAACTATATGGTCACGTCTATGACTATGACCGTAAACTGTGACATTAAAATTCGATCATTTGTTATTAAAAAATAATTCGTGACCATCAAATTTGAAAATATGTGACATGTGACCTATAATTTTTTGAATTTGTGACCAATGATGTGAGTTGTGATCTACAAAATTTTTAATCTGCGACCAATGAAATAATCTGTAACCCACAGAATTTTTTATTTGTGACCTCAAAATATTTTCTGTGACCTACAAAATTTTTGATTTGTGACTTTAAAATAATCTGTAACAAATTAATTAGATGATAGGTGACCAATAAATAAATATGTGACCAATAATTATGAACATGTGGCCATTAATCATGTAACTGTGACTTTATTATATTTAATTAATAAATATTCTCAATTAATTATACAGAAATCTGAATTTTGAATTTTTAAACTTTATACCAGATTTGTGAATTGATGTAAACAATACCCCTGAGTTGTGATTTTTTCTCTTTTCCATTCCTATACTCACTTCACCAAATAAATTACAAAATTTATAGTATGTCTGATTCATTGGTTTCAACTAAATTTTGTAAATTACTCAAAAGTTATATGGTCGTGCATTTTTGCAAAAAAAATTTCAAAAATAAGGTTAAACTTATAACAAAAAACTATATTCTTCGAAAAATTATATTTTAACAATTTTAGCCCATAGTTGACCTATATTCTATTAAAAAAAATGCTTCTCAAACTCCTTTTCATTCACTTATTCTCCTAATAATATAACTTTACACGTAAATTAAATTTTTTCCTCTATTTTATAACAACGCATTCTCCAGAGAATCAATATTATAAAATCTATTCTCTCACAAAATGAGGCACCAAAACCTTGATGTTTCCAATGAAAGCACCTAAAACGTTTAAATCATTTAAGATAAGAGTGAAAATCTAAAAATATTAAAATTTATAAAATTTGAAAAAAATTCTAAAAAGAGAATTTATAAAAAAATAAAATTCTACAATTCCAAAAAAAATATAAATAAATTCTTATTGATTATTTAAATAAAAATTTATTTAAGTAGAAGTTATTAGTAGATATTATTAAATTTTATATTTTTATGTATTGTTTCAATATATTATTTGTTTGTATTTTACTTTTATAATGGAAAAAATATTGTATGATTGTATGATTCATCAACTGTAAAATGTTCATACTTGAAATATATTAATGTACAATTATTCTATTTTACTGAATAATCGAATTAATGGAATAAAATATCATAAAATAATTTCTCAAAATTTCAAAAAAAATGTGTTTTTTAAATTTTTTTTTATTTGAGAAATAGATTTTCAGAATGACAAGTTAAAAGCATTTCTGTCAATATTAAAATAGACCCTCAAAACTAAAAACTGAAAATTGACACACAAATCAAGTGGAGCTTTAAGTTCTGAAGTCTTATTTCTTGGTGAAAGACTAAAAAACCTTGTCAAAATTTAAAATTTATTAAAATAAGTTATGAATACCCATTCACTTACACCAAGTCCTCACTAATTTTTTATTCTCTTTGCTGATGTTTATCGACAAGCATCTTGTATACTATTATTAGCAGTTAACATTTTAACATTTTGTATTGGTAAGAATATTTTAATTTTCATGTGCTTAGTTGGTTTGAATTTCGTTTATAATTGTTAAATATTATGTTGGCTTATTTTGGCGTGTGTAGATAAATGAGTACGAAATGCTGGACATTTTAGTCATTTTTTGCAATAATTTATTAGAGCTAGTCTTCATTATGTGTTGTGTTGTGTTGGAAAACAGGCATCATGCTAATCGATTGCATGTTAAAGGGCGATCGATTAACATACGACAACTTCGTCTATTAAAGATAAAATTCTGTGACGAATTCAACCTTGAGTTTAGACACGACCTACAATACAAATATACATGGATTTATTTTAAAAAACTAACTTTTTTCAGAGGAAAAAACAGATGAGATAATGGGTTCGAATGAGGAAGAAAGAAGCAATTTTTTCTAAGACGATAATACCCTTCAATTTTGAAAACAATTGACTATCATCGTTCATTTATCGAAGAAATTGGATGAAAATGGACGAAAAAAGACGTTTCTAAAATGTAATTAAGTCTGAAAATACCAAAAAATGGAAGATAATATTAAAAGGTTTAGAAACTTTTTCCCCATTTGGTACCGATTAAAATCTAAATTTTAATTTAAGTTATAGTTAACACTTGATTTTAACTATATATATTTTTGGGTCCCACAACTTTTTAACTACATATTTCATTAATTTTTTTTATTAAAATCTACTAAAAATTTAATTTTAATTCCCATCAAATAGGGCCTCTAGTGCTAATTATCTATCACCGGCATCATAGGTGAACCTATATACGGTCATGTGAGGTCAAGTGACCCTATATTTTTATTTTATTTCATTTTTTTAATTGAAATCTATAAAATACCCAATTCAAATCTGTAAATTACCTAAATTCAGTTGCAATAACCGAAATGAATTACGTGGTCCTTTGCCCAAGCCCAATTGCACAGGTCTATCGTACTTTGCTCCTTCACTTGCTCGAGCCCTTTTTTTTTTCTTTGCTCGTTCACGTAAAGACTTCTCTTTTAAGACTTTTGCCATTTGTATTTTGCCCTAAGCCCCCAAAGTGAAAAATCGACACAGTTGAGAGTTTGAGACTGAAATTTATATTTTCCCACTTCTATAATTTTGCTTATTCTAATTTTGTGATTTTTCTCTGGTCCATATTACAAATGGATTGCCTAATTGCTTGATTTTCCATCTTTTTTTCTAAAGATCCAGATTTAAAATTTACGAATTATTGTCGACTTGAACCCAATCCCATTGCTTGTTATCTCGTCCGAAAATTTGACACAGATCAACCTAATGTTCATAGTTCATACTATTTAATTGATTTTAGGATAGTTTTAATGAAATTAATTATTGTATATTATGAATTTAATGTTGTCCCTAGATGAAAAATAAAATACGGTATTTATTTATTATATATTGAATTTGGTTCTGTAATGGTGTAATTATATAACGTTTTCAAATTATGAAAACAAGTAGAATATAATTGTAAATTTGTAATGGTGTATTGATTTATTTTCGTTGATGATATAATTTTAAAAAATGCATTTTAATTTTTAATCCATGGACCTGTGATGATGGTCACCAAAGAGCAATATTCAAAAAAGTCCGAGTAAATTTAATGAATACTCATTCAAATTTAACATTGTTAGTACTCATTCACTCAAATTTAATAGGTTATTGAATGCTCACTCATCTTTCCATACAATTACTCATCTACCACTTGTTAAGTAATTGTTCCAAATTATGGATGAAAAATTGCACATGGCAAACGACAATCCTACGTGGTGTATTGACGGTGTTAACCATGTATAACTCACCAAAAATGCATCAGCCAAACACGATTTCCATTCCTCAATGGCAACACGCATTAATTCCAGAACCCGAATCAAAATCTAAATGTCAAAACCCCCCAATTCGAACCCCAGACCTTCAATTAGAAGATGTAGGTTCAAAAATCAATTCAAAATCAATTGAACTACTAGCAATAGAAAGCAAGCAGAGGTAGAAGTGACAGTAGGAGATATGATTTTCGTGGATGGAAGAGAGCTCTCGTGGCCATCACAATCTTAGTAGGAGATATGATTCTCACAATTACAATGAAGGTCACAGTAGGAGATGCAAAGTACAATTCAGAGTCGCAAGTGGGATAGAAGCAAGAGCCCAGGTGGAAGATGGGATAGCAGTGTTTGGAAAGGTAGATTGAGCAATAGAACAAGGAAAATGAAGAGGCAGAACGTTCTTACAAGGTCACTGCTAGTGGGGCTGTTAATAGAAATGAAAATGATATGATGGTTACTAACAGAATGGAGATTATCACTATGCCCATGAGCATCACAGCACATATGGAGATCACTCGTGTCTTAGCTTTTATCAATGGAGTAGGAGTTGAAAATGCACTAATTTTATTTGGAGTAATACATTTGGCAAAAGTAGAATAGCTTGTTTGTTGTAATGCGCATATGTAGTTGGTTGAAATAGTTGTAACTTCTTTATGAACTTTGTGTTATTAAATGAATGAATCAGATTCTACCTTGGTTTGTTTCCTTTTTGTGGCTGAGTTGATAGTTGGGCAATATTGTGAGTAAATTAGAAGTTACTTATGAGCTTATTGAAAATTGAGATCGATTGAGGTGAATAAATGTGATGCACCAGATTGAGTTGAATCAATATAATGCACCAGCCTGAGTTGGTACATCAGCAGGTGCTAATGCATTGAAAGCGGGTGCATCGACACAGAATCAGATGCATCAAGTGTTATTTTATAAGTATCAGGTCCATCTGGTATGTACATTGCTAGAATATAAACTATTGGAATAAAATACACTGCTGGAATATGCACCAGTAAACATTGTCCTTAGATGTTGCTAAATTATAGTTCATTTATTCTCAAAATTAGGAATATAAACTAGTATACTGCCGGAATATAACCATTCACTCAAAAAACATTTAGTTTAGAATGGTGGTTAAACTACATTTCAAAAACATTCCCTGACCACTCTAATGCTCTAAACTACAGCAAAAAGTAGTTCGTCGTCAAAAACTTCCATGACGACTCTAAACTACAACCATTTAGAACATAGGTTACCAATTAAAAATAATTTTACTGAGTTGCTCCACTCTTCCTCATCCTTGGATGTGCAAAAGGAGCTGATCCTTTGACCACTTTTGTGTGCTTTACCCTATCAGCCCCCTTTCTTGCATTTTCTTGGGCTTCTAAGACGAAAAATTGTCGACCATGTTGGCTAGTAGAATATTTTCAGTTTGCCTTACTGTAGTAGGAAAAGGATCATTGTTGTTAGATTGTGCATCACTTGTGACCCCAAGTTTAGTTGTGGGCATGAAAATGTATCCATTTATTGGAGAATTTTGCTGCATTTCATTTGTTGAATTCTCATTTGCTCTTCTAGGAACTAGCTTGGCCTGTGTTAGAAGAAATGGTTAAGACTCAGAAATAGGAAATCATAGGTTAACAAAACCAAAAAATTACCCTTGAACTTTGACTTTCAACTTGGCCAGATCTATCTTGATTTATATGATTGAGATCATTTCCATCCCAATCCTGAAATCAGGAAACATAGTTAAAAACTTAATTTCAACTACATAACTTTAGAACATGCTAATTTCATAGTAAAACAAGACAGAAACCTCATTTCCTGCATCTGCCTTATCATGCTAACGCTTGTTGTGGACAATTAAATCACATACATCGCAAGTCATTTTCACTGTGCCTTTTTTCTTCATTCTTAAAGTGGAGACGAAATGAGTGATTACATATTCCTATTGCTGCTTTCTTTGCTTCCTTCCACTCTTCACCACAACCCAACCCGATGGTTGTAAAGGAAGAGATTCACTACTGGCCACAATTTCTTACCGTTAATGTGATTAACAATTTTTTCGTTGTATTGTAGATAGGTTTGCACTGTATAGCACTCATGCACATTATAGGATTATCCCCTGTGTTTAGTATAACAGTAACCTCAAGCCCACAATAAATCCTTGTCAAATCCCATCTCCTACATGTACATGGTGTTGTTTAACAAATCAACCACGTATTTCCTAGTCGAACATTTCACATAGAACTATGGGCGCCACACAACTCTACTTCACACTCCTCAGCTATTTCCATAGATTTAGCAAATTTTTGTTGGATCTTAAGACACAAAAGTCCTTTGGCTCTTCTAATCTCATCTCTCTTGATTGAATCCTCTCCATGCAGCTAATATGCATGTCAATTAACATAGTCAAGATTGATTTCTCCCTATCCTCAGACACTACATTGTTAAAAACTTCACATAAATTGTTAAGCACTATATCACTCTTTAACTTAGTTGAGAAATGAGACTTACCCCATTTACATGGATCCTTTTTCATTAACCACTCATATGCGCCCGTACTCTCCTTCGCAAGTTCATCCACCTAAAAAATCCAATCAGGCACAGTAGTTGACTTTGTAGCTTTCCTTAAGTACCTTTAAGTGCCAAACTCTTAAAATCAACCCTAAAAAAATTTGTATACATATGCCTCACACAAAACCTATGTTCAGCACCAGGGTACAAGTCCTATTTACATGGATCCTTTTTCATTAACCACTCATATGCGCCCGTACTCTCCTTCGCAAGTTCATCCACCCAAAAAATCCAATCAGGCACAGTAGTTGACTTTGTAGCTTTCCTTAAGTACCTTTAAGTGCCAAACTCTTAAAATCAACCCTAAAAAAATTTGTATACATATGCCTCACACAAAACCTATGTTCAGCACCAGGGTACAAGTCCTCAATAACCTTTTGTAATCTCTTTTGCTTATCAATCATAAAAGTCCATTCATTGCTATTTACAATCCTTAAAACTTAACCCTAATGACTAACGAACCATTTCCAACTTCTATCATTCTCAGCCTTCACTATTGCATATGCTATTGAGTAAATACAATCATTGGCATCTAGTGCCACTGCAATAAGCATCTGTCCGCCAAAATTCCCTTTCAAAAAATACTCATCTAAGCCTAAAAATTGACTACAACCACTCATAAAACCTTTTTTGCAAGCTTCTAGACATATATAAATCCATTGAAACTTCGACTCATGTGCGGTAACCATATATGTGGATCTTGGATTGCTTCTCAAAGTCTCATGAGAAAAAGACCGAAGCAGGCAAAACTGGTGTTCATTAGAGCCCTGAATCAGTATCCTCGCGTGTCTTCTAGCACGCCATGCAGTACGCTATTGATAAGTAATTTCTAGTCATCTCTCACCACCTTAATAATGAGTTGTGTCTCGTATGCATGTATGCTGTGAAATGAATATCTTAATTTGCATGCATCCCTTCTTTTTATTCCATGAAGTCCAAATTTTCCACTTACAATCCTTTTTTTGCACATTCCCCGTGCTCTCTTATCACTCGCCTTAAACTTCAAATTATGCTTAGTGACAATTCCATTATGTCTAACTGCCTTCTTAAATTTTTCTATCTTTTCGAACTCTTTTCCAACCTCTAGTTGTGGATCAAACTACTCTATCTTAGCATCATAAGTGGGGGAAACGATAATTATTTTCCTCACCTGAAGAGTGATCGGTATGCAACTCCTCTTCAGAATATGTATAATAAGGATCATCTAATTCCAAGCCATCATTTTCACCAGCTGTTTGAAATTTTAGGTCTGCATTCAGACCAATCACAACTCTTTTCGATGCATTTCTTTGATAATGAAAACGACCATTGTCCACATCATCCTTCAAGTCGTTTAATTGGCACTCAAGTGGCAACAAATTTATACTGTCATTGTTCGTTACTAGAATGCAAAAAGACTAGGGTTAATGTTTGGTACATACATATTCAATCTAAATCTGATTAATGTATTTTTACATGTAAAAGACTGGGGTTAAATGTTGCAACAAAAGTACGGCTAAGTTTTCAGTGAATCTGATTAAAATATTAACTATTTTGAAACGTTCAGTTTAGAATCATTTAGATAAACATCCCTTTTTTTTTTTTTTTTTTTTTTTGCCATAAGAAAAAAAGCATGTTTGACAACATAGTAAAAAAATTTACCGTCTTGTGGTCTTTCTTGCTCATCCTCCAACAATGCATCTTTCATACAATTATTGTCCATATGAGGGCCTTGCAATCACCTCTGCCCTCCATTATCTAGACAAGAGAAGAATTTCCAAGCCTAACACATTGATTTCATGGAGAATTTTGAAGAAATTGATAGGATTTTTCTTAATTTTCTCTTCCAGTGAAGAAATGTCGAGAAAATAAGTTGAAGGCGTGATTTTAAGAGAAGAAATATCGTGGGTTTAATTCTAGGCTCTCAAGATTTAACAGATAAAATTTGTCATGTTTGATTACTGTTATCCACGTATAATTTTCTGTTTATTTGGAGGGATGGGAGTTATATGAGTGGTGGGGTGCATAATTATATGGAAAGATGAGTGATAATTGGACGGCTCGTTGAAGATGAGCGAGTAAATAATAAAAAGAGGTATTTTAAAAAATATCTAATTTTATGGGTGTCAATTGAAAAATGTACACTTTTTAAATTTAGCACTAAACTGTCTATTATCCCTTTAATGAAAAAAAAGCAATTTATTTATTTTTTCAATTTATTGCGGATTTCGAAAAGTAGCTTACATGAGAAGTTACATTAAAATGATATTATCGACATTTCAAATGTCATTCTCGATATTTGAATCCCGTTTATATTTTAAAAGTACATGTCAAATCACAATATTAAATGTTCTCGACATTTCAAACGTTGTTCTCGACATTTTTAAATATTTAGAATGATGTTTCATTCCAAACATAACATTTTTCTACACTTAAAATGTAATTTTCAATGTTTCTGTGTCATGAGAAAACTAACATTAATTGTGATTCGACATGTGCACTTTTAAAATAAATATGACAAATTATGTGTCAAAAATTTATTGATCAATAAATTTTTTACAAAAATATTCATTTCTTATTTTTGTGTGGAATTATAAATGATTTACAGAGTTATTTTGATTCAAAATATTACAAAATGGACATTTTTACAAGAATTTACAAAAGTAAACATTTTTATAAATGGATATGTGAAAATAGACATGTAATTTCCTCTAATAAAAATTGTAAAGTTAAGTGAGCATTGCTTAAATTTCCTCAAAACGAAATCCGCTTTTTAGCGCCAACGAGCGACATTTCCGTGAAAGAAACCTCGACTCGCACAGTTCTGTTTACTTTGGGGAAAAATCAAAATCCAATTTCAATTCACAGGACGCAGGAGTTGGACGGCATTACCGCCGATCGACGCTGTGAACTTATGGCTGCGGAAGATTTCGAGTCCGACCTGGACTTGGCCTTCAACCTTCAACTACAAGAAGCCATCACCGCCTCGATCTCCGCGTCATTCTCTCCACCCAAATCCCAATTAATATCAACCACCAAAAACGATGAATTTTTGAGCTTCACTAGCAAGTCTAGTGAACTCCGCAAATTCGAGCAAGAATTGAACGATCGTGCAGTGTCCGAAGCTGAATTTAAGAGAATTCGAGACGATCTACACATTCGGATCCACGACCACCGTGTGGCAAATGAAATGACGACAATTCCGGAGGATCAGTGGCAGGAAAGTGGGGAACGTTTTGAGAGGCCTTACGGTGAGGGAAGTTCTAACGGTGGAAGTGAGGAGATTTTTAGGGTTTATGCTAAGGGTTTGGTGGAGCTGTACTTGCCAAAGGAGATTATTTTGGGTGGGATTGGTGTCGCAATATGCGATTCAAAGGATGAGTTGTTGTTTGAGTTGAGAAAGCCAGTGCTTGGGAATGGGATGAACCGGCAAAGTGTAGAAATGAAGGCTTTGATTGAAGGTCTCAATGCTGCGAAGGACCTGGGTTTGAACAGGGTCGTTTTCTATTGCGATTACTTACCGATTTTCAATTATGTGAGTTCTGACTATCATTAATATTTGTCTAGAAATTTTGAAACTTTTTCATGCTGTTTTAATTGTTCAGTTACGCTGTTCTTGTGCATGTAGTTCAGTTACTAGTGTTATATCTTGAGTAAATTGACGTCAAAATTAGTTTTTTACTGAGACGTAACAATGGCAAGCCACAAAAGTAACTACACAAATGTCGCTGCTTGTTACTTTTAAGGAATAGTCAAGCAAATTTCTGTGTTTTCGCATGTGTTGCATCAATGAAGTATCAAAATAGAAAAATTTTGAGTCTGTACAGTGTTCCAACTGTTTGATTGTGAGACATTGTTCTCAAGTGTTACATTTTTGTTATTATTTGCCCACACAAAGAATTCTTTTTAAAATACAAATGCAATCTCGTTCAATCTGAACTTGAAATGGTATGAATCTTCTCTGCACTTTTTGCAACTCACCGAAGGAATTTCATTGCTAAGTGAGACTCTTTGAAGATTTTGGGAAGATTTAAGGTTTCCTTTCTCTATTTTCTTTCGCTTCACCCCTTCCTGATTTATTTTCTTTATTAATGTTGCTCGCTTGCTGCTACACGACCTTTAATTTTCTTATCAAATGATTGCTCTGCATTAAGCCATCTCCGTCTCTTTTTTGGTTGTCGTTGAAGTGGCTTTTCACCAAGTGGAGTAATCTTTGACTTGACTTGACTTAAGACTTTTGAGGTTTACCTTTTTAATCAAAGTGTGTAATTGCAATTTTCTTCTTCTTCTTCTTATCATTATTATTATTATTTTTTTTTGGAATTATGTTCGGCTTGTATAGATGGACATATACACTGTGTTTATAGATAGGTCACACCCCTTAATGCCGTGGAATTACTGTTCACTGAAAGTAATGAAGAATATTAATGGATGATGAAAATATATTTTACTTTTTTGATTTACTTGAGCTCCGTGTCCAACTTGATGAAATGACTGTACTCAATAGAATTTCAGACTACGTTGGTGTACATTCTTCAAAGCAAGCATCCAGTATTTAACATTGTTTCAAAATGCAGGTAACAGGCCAATGGACACCCAAACGTCCAAAGGTTAAAGCAATAGTCAACCAAATGGCTCTCCTTAGAGAAAAATTTTTGTACTGCCAGCCATCTGTTGTGGCCCGAAATGATGTAAAGTTTGCATTTAAACTTGCAAGAGAAGCAATAGTTTCTCAGGTGAACAAGTCTGCAGAATCTAGTGGTACTATCAATTCATTTGAGACTTGTGTAATTTGTTTAGAGGACAAAAATGTTGGTCTTATTTTCTCAGTCGATGATTGTATGCATCGTTATTGCTTCTCTTGCATGAAACAACATGTAGAAGTGAAGTTGCTTCATGGGATGCTTCCTAAATGCCCACATGAAGGCTGTAATTCTGAACTGAAAATCGGTAGTTGTAGTAAATTCTTAACACCTAGACTGATGGAAATTATGAGTCAGCGCATTAAGGAGAATGCAATTCCAGTGTCGGAGAAGGTGTATTGCCCTTACCCTAAATGTTCTGCTTTAATGTCGAAGAAAGATGTTCTAGAATCTTCGAAAAGTACCTTTATTAGAGCAGAAATTTCTGGAGCCAGAAAATGCTTAAAATGTAAAGGCCACTTTTGCATCAACTGCAAAGTACCCTGGCACTCTAACATGTCTTGCTATGAGTTCAAGAGGAGAAATCCTTATCCCCCAGCAGAGGATGTAAAGTTAAAGAATTTGGCAGCAACGCATATGTGGCGCCAATGTGTCAAGTGCAACCATATGATTGAACTAGCTGCAGGGTGCTTCCATATGACTTGCAGGTACTTACGTTTTTATTCCAGTTAGCTTCACAATTATTTTTAGCAATTGATAGTAATTAACGTCTTATTTTTATGGAATATCTTCAGCTAGGATTTTTTTTCTCGTTATAATTGTTGGCCATGTTCTTCCTTAGAAAAAGAATTCTTTGGGTAATTATAACCAGAAGTAGGAATGGCAACATGACCGTTTTGGCCCGATCAATTTTGGGCCCACTGGCCTCAGCAGGTAACCCACGTTGAACCCAGCTTCTTTCATGTCATCCATTCTACCCCCTACCTCGAACTTTCCCTATTGTGCAAGACCCTGTCTGCCTCATTTTATTTAATAATCTAAAGTGATCTCTAGTTCTCAATAGAATTGTTCGTACAACACTATTCCTGGCCAGACTCTATAAACTAAAATTGTTGAGTTTTTCTTGTTCAGACCTACGAACTTTTAACTTCATTCCATAACTTAAAGACTATTGCTATATGGAATTCTAGATAAACCATTCCCGAGCCAGCCATGAATATGAAATCCGAGACAACACAGCCTCAAACCCATTAAGAACCATGCAGGAACTCCTAGTCATTCTCTTGAATCTTGTCCTCTTCATCATAAATGATCCGCTTCCCTGTGTACTTATGTTTTCTCGCGTGAACTTTGGTCGCCAGCTATTGGAGACCTCATTTTAGTGTCCTGAAAGCATTCGATTCCACATATTGATTACATCATTTCTATGACCTGCAAAAGAGTGTTTCCTTTAGCACTGTGGTGCTGAAGATGGTTTGCAAGATACTAATAAAATCAAGGATTTGTATGAAGCAAGCAACTGTAACTTTAGCTAACAAAGTTTAAAGAATAATTCAAGACAACTAAATTATGTAAAAAAAGTTAAAATGTTTTAATACTAAATGTAGCCTTAGAATAAAAAACTGTAACACGTCTTCATCTGCTTCCCCTGTCAAGTGTTGTAGGACAACTCAGATGCACCATCAACTTTTGAACTAGTACCTGAATAGAGGAACAAGTAACCTGAGCTTGCAGTCTGTGCTGTATAAAAAAATTAACTAGAATTTAAAAGTTCAATTACCAGTCCGTCACCAGTACTAATTGTAGGTTCAAATGCAACCATTGAAACAATAAATAAAATTTCTTTGAACTTCCAAAAAGTAGGGTCCTTGCATTTATTTTCCACGGTCTTAATTCATCAAAGTGAGAAGTTCATGTTAACACATTATTCTCCCAAATTTGGATTCACAGACACATTATGACATTTTAAGCCAAAAAGGGGTCATACTTGGTAGAAGATTGGCCTCATCATCAAATGCATCAATAACTTTATACAAGAAGATGGAGGCTGCAATTCCTCCACTGCTACTATTGATTCCCTGACCTATTCTTTGATTCAGCTTTGGGCCGATAGCATTCAGCAATAGCAACATTATTGAATTTCAAGAATTTTAGCAATACTAAACTACGGCTACGCTCATCATGAGATGAACAAGTATCCATATATGCTGATTTCCAACATCTTTGTGGCCATACTTCTGATCCTTATAGCTGGACTCTTAACTGAATCATCTAGTGTCCATTTGATTTTTCAATCCTTGGAAAATGCTATGTTTCGTCAGGATAAAGAGGGCTAGAAACATCTCAGTAACTGATTTTTTGATGAATAAATAACTATTTGACGAACACCACAGGTATTTTTTGTTCCTTCTGGCGAAGAACGCCTAGAAGTTTTAGCCATGATTTAGATTTGGCTAAAGGGGGGAAGCAAGCTTTGATATCTATTGATGCAACGTGGTATATAGAAATAGAAGAGGAGAGGGGTTTGGATGAGGAAATATTATATTTAATTTTCAATTCAAATAAATTGCTTATGCTTAAAATTTCTATTTACAATAGGAAGCTACCAAACTAATAAATGGAAATTTCATATGCCAAAGAATCAAGATGGAGAACAAATTAAATGTAAGAAACTAAATTATTTTCCTGAGATAAGCGCCAAATATTGGTAACTTTACAATATGAATATCTATTAAGATCTCCATCACTCGGTAGCCTTTTCCTTTGCCTATGAAGAAATTAGCACATTGAGTAACTTCAAGACAGTAGCTGAGCTGTGTTGGCTAGGAGGGATAATATCGAGAGGTGAAGTAACTGGTAGGAGTTTTGTTCGCTAAACTTATATACTGCAAGTGCACGGATGCGTTCAAGTAATAAAGTGGACTTGTGAGTCCAAGTATCAATCTCTTGAGGAGTATTTTTTTTTAAATTATGCAATTGTTGGCTCAGTTCTAACAATTGAAAAGACACAATTAGATTTTATATGTGAAAAGGAAAAGAAAATAAATTTGAAGATCAATTAAAATAACAATTTTGAAAGAGAAGGAAACTTGGATTTTAGAGGAGTTGCGATTTATGATGTCACTTAACTGTCGTTTATTTAATATCGCAATAAACCGGAAATGCAAATTACTGAGTTACAATGTTGGACCCAATTTCCATGTTTAATTAATTACCTCTCTTGAGCGAAATTAATCCTAATCGATTGGTTTTACCCACCATATCTCAATGTTGATGAAAACCCAACCTACCGCATTAAATTATATTGAAAATAACTCAATGGGTCACCTAGGTTATGGAGTATATCTCTATTTTCTAAAACAACTTAAGGCATTAATTATTTTGGTCAAGAATGCACAACAACCCCTCAATAATTGTACAAACCACCTCTCAATCATATATTGGCCATATACATGATGAAAATTTAAGCACAATAATAAATTCACAATAACCATAGTAATTAGAGCATTAAGTGATGAATATTGACATTAATGAAACTTGTGTCAAGTTACACCATAAATCCCAACATTTAACACTTAATCCATTGCAAAATAGAAGCGCAATAAGGGAATAAAGAGGGAATCCATTACAAAATTAAGGAGATAATAGAAAAATACAAGATATTGGAAGAAAATCGTCCTTTAAATATATTCTTGGAGATATGAGGGATTAAAATCTTGAATATTCCAAACTCCCAAATTTTGCTAGATATTCTCTCATTCTTCTTGCCTTTTTTCTTTTTGAATACTTTCCTAAGTGTTCTCATATGATTGTTGCCCTAAAAGTGACCAAAACTAGTATTTAAATGGCCAAAAATCGTCTCAAGTGAAATTACAGAATATCCTGAAATTATGCGAAACAAGCAAAATTGCCCCCCGCGCACACTGTGAGACAATTTTGGTCTTGGTAGATCAAAAAGGGCTTCCCCAGTGCACGGGGACTTTCTTCATTCTTTTATCCAACTTAGTCCTCCATATAAATGCACACCATGCCCCTCAACTTTGATAATGTACAATCTGGTCCTTAAATTTTGATTTTTTTTTTTTATCAATTTTGCCCTCCAAAATAACAGTCCAATGTCCTTCAACTTTCTAATTTGTGCACTTTGGTCCCTAAGTTCACAATTTTGTACGCTTTTGGTCCATTTTCACTTCCTTTTGCCTTGTTTTCTTTCCTTTGGGTATTTTTGCCTATAAAATCATAAATTACACAATTGTGAGTATAAATCCACTCATTTATCAATAATAAGTTTAGTTTAAGTATTAAATAAGTGTGCAAAAATACACTTATCGTTGATATGAAGTTTTAAGGAGAAGGATTTCTACCAACCCTTTGTCGCTAGACTCACCACTTGATAAGGATTCCTATGCTGCTGCATGTAATTAGTCTAGTAAATATCTCATGTTTACTTTATAAGAGTTGGAAGTGCCAGTTTGCAGTTAAATTTTACTAATTATAGTTCAGTTGTCTCTTGATTAGTGAGAGACAGAAATAAAACTTTATAGCATGCAATTGCTTATGTTGATATTATATCGATACATTTCGAGTGTGGCAAATTTCTGGATGTTGCTTGCTTCAGATTTTATGGAATCACATATCTTGGGTCCTCCCATGAACCTTGTCATGACATTATTTATTGTTTATGGAGACAATGAGCGAGCGTAAATGGTCCAAGTAGTACTCCAAACATTTCAAATGAAGCAATTTTTGGTTGATTATGCTTATTAATGAAGATACTCCAGTGAAATTACTGGTATGAATTTTATTTCTTGAACCCTTAACATGTGCAGCCCTTCATCCTTTGTGGCAGTTGTTGTGCTTTTAACTTTAGGATAGTTACAAGAGTCAAAACGAGAAAATCCCATTCTTAAATGAAAAAGAATCAGCAATGTCGAGGATTTAATTTTTGCATCGTCATTCTTCAGTACATAGATGTTGTGTGCTGTTATATTTGGTAGCATTTTAGTTTATCATAGTTTTTGGCAGGTGCGGCTATGAATTTTGCTATACCTGTGGCGCTGAGTGGAAAAACAAGGTAGCAACTTGCTCTTGTCCACTTTGGGACGAGAATAATATTGTAGATCATGATGATGACGACGACGATGACGATGAAGATTATGTCTATGCCTTTGATTCCGATGAGGATTATTACTGAATCATCAATTTTCTTTCCACTGTTGTTTTCACCACTTTTCCCCCAATTTTCTGCTTACATAACTGTTTCAGAAATTTGGTGAAGTTTGAGGTGATAAGATGCATGATCAGTTGACTTTCCACTTCATGTGATCCATTTTCTATTAGGAATAACAATGAAGCTGTTGCTCCTGATGTATAAAATCATAATTGGGTGCTTTTTGTTTTCAGTGTTTGTAAATTGTTTTAGGAAATCGTTCTCTTTGTTGCTCCTTAATTGCTCGTGTATCGTGTCATCTTCTAATATTTGTTGATAAATTCTTAATAGGGTGCTTTTTGTTTTCGATATTTGTAAATTATTCTAGGAAATCGTAGTCTTTGTTATTCCTTGATTGCTCGTGTATTGTGTCATCTTCTAATATTTGTTGATAGTGTAGTCATGGTAATATGTGTATTTGTGTGCTTGTCGAATGTTAATGGCTGATGAAAAACTATGATTATTATTTGATAGGCTAAATCACCGCCTTCTTGTTATCTATATTAATGACTTGTTTGATTTTAGAACTCATCATTTTCCACACAAAAGAAACAGTAGATGCGAATCGGCCAAACTTGTTAGTCTTCATCTATCGGTTGTTTGTTGTAAATTTAGAAAGACTTGTTCTTTTGGTGGTTATACCATTTCTTTTACATTCATTTTTGTTAAAATTATGGTATGAGAGTCATGTGCTACAACTTTAAGTCTGCAAACCCAAGTGTATGTTGTCTCAAGTAGTGAACTCGAAATTTTGAGGTGGAATCACAGGGAATTGGAAGGAAATAAACTAGTTTATGAGTTGTGAATGGTTGGTGGAAATACGATGAAGAAGAATGTTAGAGTGTTGGGGATTCACTTAGGATTAATGAGTAGAAATTATCCTTGATCTTTTATGGAGTGATCTCATGCGGAAGATAAAACATTGGTCGCAAATACACTAAAGGATAGTCCTTGATAATTGTTTGAGTGAATATGTCAAAATAAGTTATTGGTATGTAGGGTTATCAAAACATTTATTGTGCCAAAATTGTCAAAAATAAATCAAAGTATTTAACAAACTAAAACCATTTGTAGAACATATGCTTCAACCAAGTAAGAAGATCAACATTAAAGAACAAAGTGAAAGATCAAAGACAATACTAAACATTCGTTGAAGTTTCACCCTTAGATCTAGTTAAAGGTTTAGAAATACGTAATGAAACGTAACAAAGATAAAATGAAGAAAACTAAAATATGATGAAGATGAATTGATATCTTCAAACCCTTGGCTAAGGTCATGTTTTATAGACAGAGAAACATTAAACATGCAAGTGGACAATTCGCAACTTGTGTTCCGTACAGCTTGGAGATAGTAGGAATGTGCAATTTGATACCAATTTTTTTGATATGATGTGAAGCAAATTTGGATTTTTGATCAACAGCTAAGTTGTTGCCACTCGAGTTATCTTTCCATTAGTACAAATATCAAGTCCATTGGATCTCTACAAGTCTAGATATGACTAAAACAATGAGTGCTGCTCACACGTAGAAAAGTTGTATATGACAGGTAATAACCTGGATTTTGAACGGTAATTTTTATTGCCCTATGATGAGAATTTGACTTTTTGAAAAAATATGAAAGTTATAGATACATATCTTATCTTCCAACCCAACTTGAATAAACTTGGTTCAATATTTTTGGCCCAAGATATGATTATTTTATCGAGACAGCTGCATCTTACTTGAGACAGCTTATCATTTTGATTTTTTAACATTTTTTCTCCACTTGCTCCATATTGGAAATATAATTGAAATACATCAAATAAATATTCTTTGAAATTTATAATACTCATGCAAACATGTATGCAAATACATATTTCGATTAATTGCTTGCACTTTTAACCATGTATTTATACATATTGAATTTATGGCAAAACAATTGAAATTAGAGAGTAAAATTAGTGAAATTAGATAAAATGAATGTAAAATGCCTTATAAATGACATATCTTTGAAGCACTTTTAGACACTAATCATCATAGTATTTGAACAAACGAATACATTAATGGTTGTATACATGGCCATTCTAGAAAGTATTAATAATTTTGGCAAGTCTAGTATGAGCAATGATGGGAAGAATGTTTTTGCAAATGAACATGGAATTTGGGGAAAATTTAAGAAATTGTGTCGCAAGGATTTTAAATAAAATATTAAGTACAAGTTAATGGTACTTTTGGTTATTCGATAAAGCAACTACAATAAACTAACGTAGTTTTCATCTAACCCTCCCTCTTCTAACATGTGAAATGGAAGAAATGAGAAAAAAACAATCAATTTTAATGAGATCCTCTTCACAAATAATTTTAGAAAAAACTTATCAGGAGAAAATTCTTTTTAGATTCAAATATGCCGGTAATGGCCTTAATCAGTTTCAAAGACCCCCTTCCGATGTTGATGGATTGAAGTTTAATATGACGGGCAATTGGCGTAAGACCATCATTAAGTCGTGCTGCATTTTTTTCTTTCTTTCTTCGGTCTTTAAAATTGAAGGAAGTTATCTTGAAGTGAGTTTAAGAGAAAAATGAGTAAATAACAACATTGGCTGAGAATTTGCATGTTATGATTTTGAAATAGCAAAACATAAATACGTTTCAATATTCTGAATCACAAGACAACTTTTTTATTCAAGCTGCATCTGCTTAAGAATGATTTTCATAGAAAATCGTAAACTTTGACCATTGGACATTTGAACGAATTGAGTGAACCTGATAGCTCTATTAACACCAGGAAACTTGAACAATTGAGACCATATTCATATCAATTATGTTAAAAAAGCAAGTGCACGAATGTTGGACAAACTTATTTATTCTGAATTATGCTATCATCAAGCTCCTTTCACATCCAGCAGAACATATTCATTTTTTTTACAAGAGCTTGATATGTGCACAATTTTCGTTATACGGTGACAAGACTTGATCTAGGACTTTTGCTTGCTAAAAGCTGCATTTTTTTTTTTTTTTTTTTTTTTTGCGTTATGACTTCGTCAAATTTTATGTGTAGAAGTAGAGCTAGTTTGTCAAGTACATTATGTCTTCAATAGATTCATATGTACTACTATAATGGCGTTTTCTCATGGAATTGTAATTATCTTGAAAAATCTCTTCAACTATTCAATGCTCTCTTGTCCTCTTCAGCCGTTCAAGTTCTGCTGCCACTTCTTTCGTGCTTAGTCTTTCTTTTCCATGCATTTAGCTTTAGGCAGCTTTTGGCAAAGCTTGGCTATTGTAAGAATCTCCTCCTTTTAACCTTAATTTGCCACTGGGTTCTAGAATTTTAGATAAGCTATTCTTTTTAACTACCTATTGAAAGCTAAGTACCAGGCCTTCATCACTTGTTTTAGATGAGATTTAAGAATTTGGTAACTACAACTCCAAAAGCATAAACATCACTCTTATCGTGAAGTTGTCCCTATCAGAAGTATTCAGGATCCAAGTAACCAATGTGCCCTTACCCATATTTTTAATTGAATCTTATCTCGAGAGTCCAAAGTCAGATACTAGGCTCATGGGAAGCATATGAATGCAAGTAAGCCCGGGCACTTGCAACTTCTGAAGCAATACGTAGACTGTTCTCCCAAGAAATTGTTGAAATGCTAGGCTCATCATGAAGATGGTGAGAGAGGGTGCCATTGGACATATTCATACACTAATGATATAACTCCAGCCTGCAAACAGCATCCTGACAATTTCACTATGTACCTGTGGTTTATATGCGATAGACTAAATAATTCATTAATGAACTGACCTACTTGACTTTGATTGATTATGTCGGACCTTTTTCAGCCACTATGCTTTCACTTGACAACATTTCCCTCTTTTCCAAGAGTTTGACCTTCATTAAATTTGTATGTTGCATTCTTCAACTCTTGAATCTTGAAGAGTTTAAGAAGTGTATAAACAACTTGTCATGGAAGCTAAGGTATGTACAATCTTTGCCCTCATGGCACATCTCCAAGTGGTAAAAGGGGAGGGTGGAGAAATCCAGCTTTGCTTGAGGCTATTGCGTCAAGGGTTCGAATCCTGAAATATGGATTTGGCTCTTGGGTAAGTGCAAGTGTACAAGCAGCCTTCCACCTTGTACTCTTGGAGGCATAACCTGCGATTTACTTCCCTCACGATGCTTCAGGGCAGGGGTGGTGGGGAACCCTTAAGGTTAGGGTTTAACCTTTTAAGTTATGTACAATCTTTGCCCCCAGGGCACATCTCCAAGTGGTAAAAAGGGAGGGTGGAGAAATCCAGCTTTACTTGAGGCTGCCGCGTCAAGGGTTCGAATCCTGAAATATGGATTTGGCTCTTGGGTAAGTGCAAGTGTACAAGCAGCCTTCTACCTTATATCCTTGGAGGCATAACCTGCGATTTACCTCCCTCACAATGCTCCAGGACAAGGGCGGTGGGGGACCCTCAAGGTTGGAATTCAACCTTTAAGTTATGTACAATCTTTGAACTATGTGCACTTATATATGCCACTTAAATATGCCTCCACAGTACATGAAATTTGGGCACCACGATATTGTCGCTACTCCATCGTGGATGATAAATGGGCCACCAATAATGTGGACATTTCTTCAAAAGGGCAAAATAGACTTTACGTATGTCGAACATTTCTCGTTAAATTATAAATGGTAGTGTAATGACCCAAAATTTAAAGATTTAGGGGGGTGTATTTAATCGAGACTTTTAAAAACTTTTAGAGATTTAAAAAGTTTGGATGTATTCAATTGAAACTTTTAGAGACTCTCTAAAAGTTTGAGTGTATTCAATAGAGACTTTTATAGACTTTTAAAAAGCCTCCAGAAGTTACGGGGTATTCAATTGAAATTTTTTAGAAGTCTCTATAAGTTTTGGGGTATTCAATTTAGAGGGACTTTCAGGGAATTTAAAATTTTTTGGACTTTCAGATACTTTTTAATAGAAAATATAAATAGGATTTTTCTCCCAAAATCTCTCATCTATAGAGAGATTTCTAAAAAGAGTATGCTATTCTTATTTCTCTCTAGGTTTTTCCTCTATCTCTTCCAATTAGGTATTTCTTTAAATCTTTGCTATGAGTTTTCTTCAAATCAAGTTATGGTAAATTTTCACTAGTTAATCTCTCTCTCCCTCTAATTTCAAAGATTCGTTTTTAAGTGAATGTTGTGAATTCTCATAAATATTCCTCGATATCTCACATTTAACACTGTGAAAAGCATATTTCCTTAAAAAAAAAAATTTCTCAAAAGTCTTTAGTAAAAGTCTCCACAAATCCAGGAAAAACTTTTACTAATTCCTACCAAATCCATAAAAATTACTTAAAATTTCACAAAGTCCACAAAAGTCACCTACTTAAAAAAGTCTCCAAAAGTTTTTAAAAATCCCAATTGAATACACCCCCCTTAAAATCGTTACTAAAACCTTTATTCTATAATTAAATAAATTAAATCAAACATCCAACATAAAAATCTTTCTAGTTCCATCTATAAGGTAAATAAAACATATGAAAAACATAATTAACTGAAACATGTCCCAAATCTTAAATTTCAAATTTCACATGAAGATAAAACTGTGCTAAGAAAAATAAAAATCTATAGTTATGTTACTCAAAATTTATTTATTTTGAATTCCACGATTTCTAGCATCACGGCTGCACCGCCCAACTTGCCAACCAACGAACCGTTCTAATTTGTGAGGAGTATGGAAAAATAGTGAGTACATGAAAATACTCAGTAGGATATAATTATTAATGGTGCAATCCCGTATAAAAATTTTAAAACATGCATCATGAAATCATACCGTCTCGTATCTTTAAATCTAGCAAGAGTTCATATTATATTATTGTACTGAATGACTGTATCATTCATATCATAACATATCATATCATAATTTTAACTTTCATGAGCATAAAAAATTCATCAACATGAAAAATATTTTGACGGGGTAGAAAAATACTGTACCTCGATATCCTACCTCGTGAGATAATTCAGTTTTTGAAAGAAAATATCCGAATTCAAGTTCCAAACTATTTTTTTGTATTTGTTGTTGCTACTAGGACATGCATCCATATTTCTTTTTCTCTTTATGGTGGATAATATACATATTTACTTACTGTACTTAAAATAGAAAAGGGAAGCACCTTTTAACCGTCTATATCCCATTATTCCACGACCTGCTTTTCCCCTAAAATGCCTCAATCTAGTATAATCTACAGTTATTTGCTCCTTATCTAGTCATCATGTGGAGTCCATCAATTCGTAAAGTCAAGCAATTAAATAATACTAAAATAATCAATCCCTAAAATCAAGGAAACCTACCCTATTCTTTCTCCAAATCAAAGCAATGGCAAAGGGGAGGGCGGATAGGGCTCAGCGCGACAGTGTACAGAGTTCGATTCCCCGCAAGGTGGAATTGACTTTGTTGCAAGCGGGAGTTACCATATGGGTTAACAGCCTTGACCTATCCATGTGCTCTCCACCCTGGCTCCTGGGAGGCACATCCTGCGATTTACCTCCTCCACGATGGCCCAGGGCAGGGTCGGTGGGGACCCTTAAGGTTGGGGTTCAACCTTTTTTTTTAATATTAAATAAACCTACCTCTTTTTATTCATAACAATTTCTATACGTGCATACAATTCAAAATCAAGATAGTTCCATGCACACAAACACACATGTCAACGCACATCTTCCTTCCAAGTTTTAATTGAATTTGAAAACTAATTTTTATCAATTTCATCAAACAGAAATTTTTTGGTGCTTGCTTATACAAATCGATTTTTTCTCGAGTCTAATGTGCACGATTAATTACGATCTATCCAACGAGCCCAATATTCATATATTTATTATTGCTCCGTCAATATCTATATTTTAACCCAAATAAAATTGAGATTTACTTTATATATACTTTAATCCCTAAACTTTCAAAACGTTAAAATATAGCATGCAAAATTAAATTCCATTCTACCAAAATTTTAGGGACATTACAGGTAGACTTTTTTCTTTTTCACCAACTAAAACGAATTTCCATCAACTTTCCCCGTAAAAAATTACTTGTAAGTAAAATCATTCATAAGTTAAAAATTTCACTTATAAGTAAAAAAATGACTTCACTTAAGTAGTAAAATGTTTACGTGTTAGTAAAAAATTCATAATAAATTAAACAATTATGAACTATTTAAAAGGATTTACTTAAAAGTTAAAAAAAAAAAATGCTTATAAATGAAACTATATTTTGCTCATACATCAATACTTCAACATTTACTAATATAGTGTAGCAGCAAAAGCCTTATTAGAAGGACACACCATAATCCACCTTAATACAATCCGCTAATCATATTCTCCCAAATTCGATAGATGTACCAAACGCGACTTTAGTGCAATAGCAAAGTGAACAAAAGACAAAAATGGTTCAATATAACTATCCGTAAGTGTATTAACAAAAGTTACTTATGTTTATACATAAAATATTTATTTTTAGCTGGATGCTTAAACCTACTTATAAGTAGTTTAGTGCACATTTGGCTAAGCTTTAAATATTTACTATAAGTACTAATAAAGCTAAAGCTACTCATTATAAGTTTTTAAGTTCACTTTTTCAAAAAAGGGATTAGGGGATTAGGGAAATTGTTTATAGCTGCATAATCAGAAAAATACTGAGAGATTAGCTGCTATGATTCCTAGAAGAGGATCAAATTCATCGAGGTAACTTACAACATTACCTACTGTTGAATTTATTTATGCTGCTGCGGATGTTATCTTTTTATTGATTGTTTCTATCTATATGCTTACTTTTGGTTTTATTTGTATTTTTTGAATGTAATTATGTCTCGCTCCTTCTAAAGAATATATGATGTCAAACAGAAATTGTAACAAAGAAATGTATTAGAAATGACAAGAAGAAAGAAATGATACTTAATAGTTTTTTGCAGAAGATTTTAAAAGTTGATCAGGATACATGTCAATACATTTAGTTGAATGTGGTAGCTCCTTTATTATTTGAAGGAAAATTCTAACTTTCAAATTCAAGTGGAGCTAGTTTGTCCACCATTTCGTTTAATCGTTCTCTTCCACAATTTCATTGGTGCTATTGGAGTTTGAGCTTGGACTAATGGAATGGTAATTGTCCTGACAACTCTCTTCAAGAACCAAATGCTTTCTTGTCCTTCTCAGCTGTTCAAGTTCTGATGCCACTTCTTTCATGCTTGGTCTCTTCCGCGCATTTAGCTTTAGGCATCTCTTGGCAAGTTTGGAAACTGCAATAATATCCTCTTTATGACCTTCATTTGCTACTAGCTTCTCCAGAATCGCATACAAAGAGTTCTCTTTCAGTGCAAATCGGAAGCGTATTGCTAGACCTTCATTACAGTTTTTGGAAGAGATGGCTTTTCGACCTGTTAGGAGTTCAGCAAGAACTACCCCAAATGCATAAACATCGCTCTTGTCATTTAGTTGCCCTGAGTGGAAGTATTCAGGATCTAAGTAACCAAATGTGCCTCCTACGAGTGTTGTCAAGTGAGTCTTATCAATGGATACTGACCTTGAGAGTCCAAAGTCGGACACTACAGCCCTATAATTCTCATCCAGTAATATGTTACTCGACTTTATGTCTCTATGAAAAATGGCTGTTGAAGCACATGAATGCAAGTAAGCCAGGGCTCCTGCAATTTCTGCAGCGATACGTAGACGGTTGTCCCAAGAAATTGTCGAGACGTTGTGCTCATCATGAAGATGGTGAGAGAGGGTTCCATTGGGCACATATTCATATACTAATAATGGAACTTCTGTCTCCAAACAACAACCTAACAATTTCACTATATGCCTATGGTTTATTTGGGACAGAATGAAAACTTCATTAATGAACTGGCTGACTTGGCTCTCATCAATGATATTGGACCTTTTTACAGCCACTATGCTGCCATCTGACAGCATTCCTTTGTAGACAGTACCAACTCCTCCTTTACCAATAATACGACATTTGTTGAATTTGTCTGTTGCCTTCTCCAACTCTTCAATCACGAAGAGTTTTGTTTCAGGAAACACATTTCCTGTACTCGAAGAGATCTGTTGTTGAAGTAGGAAACCACCATTTCTCTTGAAGAGCTTCTGCTTAACTTTCCTTTCATTCATTTTCTTAATTTTACGGAAGAGCCAGAGAATAACAGCTACCAGAAATAGAAGGCCAGCGGCGAGGCCAACTCCTGTTTGCACGGCTAGAATTAACAGATTTCCAAGAATTAATGAAGACAGAAAGTGGAGAAGGATATACCTAAGGGAATGAACAATGCCAATATATGTCCTCGACTATGTTGGCAATAGTAGCTTCCTGGTGTGTTTCTGCAGCGGCTTTTCTCTTGGCAGTCATTGAGATTGGGCTTTATACATTCATCAATATCTGCAATAGTGAAAATAAAGTGCAAGTAAAGATTATCTTATTGTTGTCTGGAAATTAAATGTTGTCTTGCGATAGAGAAGTAAATTTGTTATGAGTGGGCAGTTTGTTGTTTCTATTTACTCGTAAGTCGTGACATATGACATATGACTTATGGGCAGTTTGTAGATTTTATCCTTTTATTCAATTCACTTCTTTCATTGCCTTATTTATTTATAACTGAAACAAAGTTTGGGCTTATGGAGGAGAACGGACAAGTCTTGGAAGAGATAGAGGAAATGTTACCTTCGCATCCCTTGGGAAGGTAAGGATTCCCTTGGTAACCTGGATTGCATATGCATCTGTATCCCCCACCTCCATCATTGTCATAGCAATTACTATTCGGGCCGCAGCGATAGTCGTTTTTTGTCTTCGCGTTGCTGCAACTAGTGTTTCCAACTGTCCAGTTAAAGACTACAGGAACATAATACCTTTCATTACAAGTAGAAAAATTATGTCGATGATCAATTTCTACGTCCGTGGCTGCAAAAAAGAAAAGGCCACATGGATCTGATGGCCAGGACTCTTTCAAGGTATTTATTCTATTAACCCACAAAGTAAAAATTGAGAAATCTTTCGGTAAACTTGACTGGCAGCAACCAAAGCCCGAGCAAGATGAAGTGGATCTGACTATGTCAGTGCGGTTGCAGAGAGATCCACATCCTGTTAGGAACTCTTTAGTTGTATTATTAACAACGTAGGCAAACAAATCACATCCTACTACAACAAACTTATTTTTTGTGTGGGACAAACTGAAACGTCTAAAATTAAATTCTGGAGTAGGTTGTACTCTCAAACTTTCTCCAGATGATCTATTGAAAGTCATATTTAGAACTGGGAAGTTGGAGACCCTTACATGATGATGTGGTATGGAGATGTGTTCTATCTTCATTTTGAAGTCAACTAGAAATGCAGAATTCGATGCAATATCGCATATGATTTCAAATTGCCCATCAAGATAGCAGCCCTTATTTATGCCGAACGGATAAGGAATTTCTACTTCTCCACATTTTTCTTGGCAACCATCCAACGCCAAGGAGACTACAGCTGCTTTATGTGATCGGAAGAGTACTGAGATTATGCATACGATCATTAGATGAAGAAGCATTTCTGCGTCTACTCCCACTTCCAGCTATTATATATGCTTCTACTTTTAATGAATGATGAATCTTATTACGTACCATACATGAATAAATACTGGTGCAGACGGCCATCTTTTTCGAAAGACTAATGGAAATTGGGGGCCCGGTTGGTAGGAATCAACTAATTGTCAATTTTGAATATTCATTGAGCATTTTTTGACTTGTGTTAATTGTTAATGCATTTTTACACTTAACTACTAACTTTTTGTACTATTAGTCTATCTTGGATTAAAAACATTATTTTTATGGAATTAACTGTTTACGGTATATTATACCCTTGTTTGATCCCCATTCTTTGGAAAAAAAATGAATTCTTCTACAGTATTTTGATATCATTTTAACCACACATTTTTCAATAAAAAAATATTACACGTAAATTCAAAACTTTTCATTACTTTTTAACCACACATTTTCCATTCATACACTATTCGAAAATTCATTTTTCCCTTAAAATGGGGCTCAAACAAGGGCTATGTATAAATCTAAAGAAAGTGCTGCTCCCACTTGGGTTGACTGCTTCTCCCACGAGAGGATTATTTCTTGTCCTGTTGGGAGAACTTTTCCTAATGGCTAATACAATATTTGTTGAGGCTATCATGAACATTAAAGTCAACAATTTGGTAGGTAAACCTAGGTTCATCAATAATGGCTTCAAGAAATGTTAAGACAACATCTTTTGGGTCCTTTAGTTATGAAGGACTTACTTTTGGGTGTGTTAGGGTGCAAGTTATTATAAACTCAAACAACAAAATTAAAATTGTGATTTTTATTTTTATTTTTTGTTTTTTTTTGGTTCAAAAATGAAAGCATAGAAGCGGTGTAAGGTCTTTGTTTCAAATCCTGATTGTGTCCTTATTTTTTCATTTAAGATCATTATCTATGATGCATTGATGTAGATATGCGTCGGACAGGTCGACACACGATTTTTTAGAAATTAAAATTCTTCATTTATATAGTATAGTATAGTATAAATTTAATTTTATACTTGTAATTAATTTTTCTTATTGAAATCTTTTACGTATGAGTATTTATTTTTTATTTACTAATAACATTGAGTTAAAAATATATAGGCCCTATTTGATCCACAATTTTTCAAGAAAATATACTCTTAAACAGTGATTTGACATCATTTCAACCACACGTTATTCAATAAAATAATATTATACGCAAATCAAAAACTTTTTCTTCTTTTTTAACCACACATTTTCATCAATACACTATTCAAAAATGCATTTTTATGGAAATGATGTGGTTCAAACAAAGGCATAATATTTCTAATAAAAAGGGAAAATGATCATGGTAGAGTATCCAATGAGTGTCGGTATTCGTCACATGTTGGATATGGACATGCCACCATAATTGAAGTCTATGCAACAGATTATAATATGTTCACCTATTATTGAAAAACAAATAGGTCATGATTTTTTGAAAAATCATCTGTCTCTTCTTTTAAATTTATGGATTCAGCTGCACAAAGGAGAAGGTGTGGTCTTTTTATTCCCTTTTTTAGGGTCACGTGCAGTAGACAAAAACATGAATGGTCCAGGAAATAGTCAGTTTTTTGGTGGAAATAATAGAAATGGGAGAATTGTTTAGAAATGCATTTAGACACAAATGATTTTTTTATTCAGGGGAATGAATTTCTTGATTCAAATGGGGGGGCTAAGGACCATTTTCAGTGAGTTCGTTAAAGAGCGATGTTGATTAGGTTTAAAATAAATTCTCTTTCTTTGAAGTTTGTGTCTTTTCTATTTTCCAAGCACGTTACTAGAAAATTTACCCTTCCAAACGCGTTTTCTCTCTCAAACATTGTTTAGTAGGAGAAGAATAGATAGGACGAAGGAAGATATTTATTTAATATTTGCAACATTTTCTCACCGTTAATATTATTCTTCGATTTCTGTTTTGATTTTTAATGTAGATTAAAAAACAGCTGATGACTTGACTTTGAAGCTTGATTATGGAAGCTTCTGCTTGGAGCTTAATATTCCTAAAGTCGTTGAAAAGGCTGGGGACACGTCTTCTATTGGACTTGACGAGATAGAAATGCTGGGACTGAATATTCAGCCAATAGCATCATCCTCCACTGTAGACAGTGAAATGTTAAAATTAGTAGAGAATTGGAATTTGCTATGCAGAAATTCTTCCAGGTTTGAGGCGGTTTCTTCGTATGGCAGTTCTGGGTGAGACAAACCGTCAGTATACAATGAATATAGTGTGTGTGAAGATGTTAGCAACATCCTAAAATTTCTTTTCGTGGTACCAATTTGGTTCTAATATATTTTTTTTGCAATGACTTGACTTGATTTGTATAGTATCACGCTAAAAAAATTACAATTTGGGCTAGTAGACATTTATTTCTTCGTAACATTTAAATATCTAAACAATGATATTGAATTAAAGCTAAAGATTCAAACTACCATTTACATAGCACAGTTTCTTTAATATTGGTAATAAAATTGAAATTAAATTACCCTCTAAAATGAAATTTGGTTCAAAGCTAGTGTTCTTATGATATGATCGTGATTGAATTCGCATATGTTTGGCAAAAAGAATAATCTTTCCTTTGAAAATAATCAAAAATTCAAAGTATTCAATCGGAATATGGAATTGAGTGACTTCGATTGTTTTTGTTACCTTATGTCTGTATATTTCTCTCAACATGGAGAGAAATATAGAGAAGATGGTCCTGGTGTGACATTTCTATAACCTATGCATGACTGACAGCTGTTATTTCTCCTCATCTTGCACTCAAGCTGCTGCTTGTTCAAACTTTTGATCAAATGTGTCCAAATCTGTGAAAGAGTATTTTTGGTCCATTTTCTCAGGATCTGATTCACTTGAAGAAAACTCTAATTTGAGATTCAACTCCAACAGACTACATTGTCTGAAGGGCTAGTTTTCCATGTAGCTATGTGGCAGTAAGTACGTGAGACAGGGTAGTAGAATATGAACATATGATAAAATCTGTGACATCTGTGGGCTGCCTGGATGCACCATGGACAACTGATATTTACGCTTGCAGAATGACTAGCAGGAGGTCTTTTTAAGTTAATTATTGAGGTTCATTGACTTGGGTCTTTCTCACTGCATGCAGGACCAGTGTAATTCAGTTATGACAGCATACAAATTAGTGACAGTAGATGCTCTGTACTGGGGCTTTGGCAGCAAACTTGAAAATGCTCTGCTTGCGGTATATCCATGTTCACACTGATTTTGGATTTTGTAAACCTGAAATCCATCGGTTCTATCGCTAGTCAAATTCTCAACAATAGTTATTTCCTAGAACAAAGTGAAAAATTACTTTATGTAATTGTTGAAGACAATATTTAATCAATACGCATGTGCCCAGGCTTAAGCTTTATATCAAATGTTTCAATATGGTATAGAGCAAGCAAAGGTCCTCAGTTCAATGAATTGTCCCATGTTAGGCTTTGTGGGAAGGGCATGTTGAAGACAATATTTAAATAATATACATATAACCCTATCTAAAGTTTAAGCTTTTTGATCTAGTGTTTCAACATTAATGTTACGGTTATAAAGGACAGATATCTAGTAAAGTCATCTTTGTTCCATTGGAGTTTTCATGTGTCATCAAGAATTTCTGCTTATGGTCTATTTCTATTCTCTCGTTTCCATTCTTTGATGACAATGCTTGAAAGGACTTTTGCATTATAAGGTAGAAAGTGAGGTTTGATTTAGATATATGGTTTATTTGCAGGGTGAAAGAGCACTTTTCCTTGAAAGTCATCGGAATTGTTTTGCTTGGATTGATGAATGGTTTGGACTGTCAATGGAAGTGATGCGTAAGCTGGAATATCAAAGTGATTCCTCACTGAACCAGGTAAAGAGGCTCAAACTTTAAGCACTAGAATGAAATTGGAACAAAAAGATGACTGTTAATTTCATCCATATTTCTCTTTTAGAAGGTGTCTACAAATAATTTAGAAGTTTTGGGGGGTTACAAGTAATAAATCCCTTTATTGAGAAAAAATTCTCTCTCTCTCTCTCTCTCTCATGCTAGTCTTTAAGCACGGTATTAATTCTTTCATTCATGTGTGTATATTGTGTATATTATCGGTAGTATCATCGGTACTTCCCGTGATTGAACGTTATTCGTGCGGGATAGTCTCAATGGGTCAATTGTTGATCAGCTCCATTCTCTGAAGTACTCTTAGTGATGCTGCTGCTCTAATGACGTGTTCTATCTAGTTTTGCTTATTGTGTGAAATGTACATGTCCCCAATCAACACCACTACTATATACATTTTCACACCTCATGAAGCGTGTTATGGACCAATCAAGCACGTGAAGGGGGATTACACATTAATTTCAGTCAATTATGATTACTAAATTGTTTTCTTTTCCTTAGAATAAAAGTTTGAATATTGCAAGCATAAGTTCTAACATCCTAAGTAGACATTATTGCCTTTTTCTACAAGAAGCTGTTCAGCTATTTAATAGCTTGATGCCATGAATAAAATTATCGAATTATCATTGTCTTCAACCTTGTGTTGATTTGAGAGTTTTATTGGTTTTTTTGAATTAATCAAACAAAGGAGGTCTAGAATCCCTCGAAGTATCCTACCAAAAACTATCACAATAGGTCATCAATGAAAAGACAATCCTTGGTCATTACCCGTTAATCGACCGATCACTAGATCTCAATCGAGGGGAACTGACAACTTGGTATCAGAGCCAAAAATGCCTAACCACCGCTTGGATCAATTGGAGAACGACGTTGGCTCGTTATCTACGGGTTAACACAACTTACAACAAGCCGTGCATGCTAGTGAGGAGCATCTTTTGCAACACATGGAGACCATGTTCAATCGCCTTGTAGAGCGTGGTGTAGGACATGAAAATGATGCTAGTTCCTCTCGTGACAACCATCATAGTCAATCGAGAGGAAGTTTAATTGGGCCCAAGATTAACAAACCAGATTTCCCACGCTATGATGGCATGGATGATCCCACATGGTGGATTTGTCGAGTAGAACAATTTTCCAACTTTCGACATACGGAAGAGGCAGAGAAGTCACCTATGGCCGGCTACCATTTGGAAGCAGATGTTCAATTATGGTACCAACGATTCAAAATGCGCAGAGGGAGTAAATTAGGAAGTTTTCAAATATGAGTTGCACTTGCGCTACGGCCCTTCAAGATACCAAAATTTCTTTGGCGATCTTACCAAGCTAAAACAAACAGGTAGTATTCAGGATTACCTGGTGGAGTTTGATTGCCTATTGCATAGGGCGGGCTATTTCACTGAGGAACAACAGGTTGGGTGTTTTGTAAGCGGGCTGCAGGAAGCAATCCGAGTGGATGTTCAAGCTTGTAAACCCGTATCCTTGTCAGCGACAATTGACCTTGCACAACTCTACGAGTCACGCTTGCATAAGCAACGAAGAGGAAGCTATGTGAAACAATGAAAGGCTCCAACCACCACCGGGCTACCACCAATGCCTTTGGTATCTCTCACTCGAGCACGTACTCCAGTCATCAAGCGATTGACTCCAGTAGAACTAGAAGATATGTGAAGTCGTGGACTTTGCTTTAATTGCGACGATAAGTTCTCTCCTGGTCACCTTTGTAAAAGGTTATTTCTTATTGAGGGGATTTTTCCTTCTTGTGATGAGCAATTAGAGGATGAAATCATGGATGAGGAAGAAGAGGAAATTCCAGAAATAAGCTTCCATGCTATTTCTGGAAATTTAGGACCACAAATGATACGAGTTATTGGCAAGCTTAGGGAGTCGGTGGTTACATTTTTGCTTGATACATGTAGTACACATAACTTCCTCAATTCCAATTTGGCTGCTCAATTGGGAATATATCCCACAAAAAATGGGGACTTTTTTGTGCAAGTGGCAGATGGTTATGGAGTCAAAAGTGGTGGACTATGCAAAGATGTTCCTATTTTTGTGCAAGAAATTACGTTGTACATTGATCTATTCCTTTTACCACTGGAGGGGTATGATGTGATTTTCGAAACACAGTTATTGAAAAGATTGGGTCCTTTTACATTGGATCTCAATGAATTTTGGATGAGATTTAATTGGAATGGCAGAATGGTGGAGTTATGTGGGATGTAAGAACCTAGCAATAAAATAGTAATTGACAAAGAGTTAAGGGGACAACTAAGGAAAGGCAAGAGAGCTTTTTTGATGCAACTACATTCTTTGAATTTGGGAGCAGTAACTAAAGCCATGAATGGGATCCAAAATTCAGATTTTTTTGGCCATTATGAATCAATACAAAGTAATCTTCCAAAAAACCCAATGCTTGCCACCTCAACGCTCTTAAGACCACAAAATTCTGTTAGTGCAGAGGGGCCAATCCAATTTCAGTCAAGCCTTATAGGTATCCCCATTACCAAAAAAATGAAATTGAAAAAATGGAGAAAGGGCTCTTATCATCAGGTGTGATACAGCCTAGCACAAGTCCATATTCTTCTCCAGTACTATTGGTTAAAAAAGCATGAAGGATCGTGGTGACTTTGCATTGACTATCGGGCGCTCAACAATATCACCGTTAAAGATAAATATCCAATTCTTGTCATTGATGAGTTATTGGACGGTTGCAAGGGACACGATTTTTCACTAAGCTCGACTTGAGGTCAGGCTACCACCAAATTCGTATGTATTCTGGTGATATCGAGAAAACGACCTTTCCCACAGAAGAAGGCCACTACGAATTTTTAGTTATGCCTTTTAGCTTGACAAATGCTCTTGCCAATTTCCAAAGCGTAATGAACAAGGTATTTAAAGAATTTCTTCGTAAATTCGTCTTGGTATTTTTCGATAATATACTCATTTTTAGCAAGACATGGGAAGAGCATTTAATCCATGTAAGGAGGGTGTTCCATATTTTGCAAGCTAATCAATTTTTTGTCAAGCGGGAAAAACTCAATTTGGACAAGAAAAGGTCAACTACTTGAGGCATTTAATTTCGCATCATGGGTTGCTATGGATCCCAAAAAAATGTCTGCTGTGATGACATATCCGTAGCCAACTACATTAAAAGCGACTGCAGAGCAAGCATTTGAAGAATTGAAAGGCGCTATGACTTCTGGGCCGATGTTGTCACTTTTGAACTTCTCTCGACCTTTTACCATGGAATATGATGCATCTGGTGTGGGTCTAGGTACGGTACTTATGCAAGATGATTGACCAATTGCACTTTTAGTCAAGCATTGCATGGTAAGAATCTAGCATTATCCACATACGAGAAAGAAATGCTTGCTTTGGTTAAGGCAGTACAAAAATGGCGCCCTTATCTTTTGGGATCCAAATTTATTGTTGGACTGACCACAAAAGTTTGTATTTTTTATGGAGTCAAATCATTACTATGTCTGTCCAACAGAAATGGTTAGTGAAGCTCTTGGGATTTGATTTTGAAATTCACTACAAAAAAGGAAAGGAGAATTCAACTGCAGATGCCTTGTCCAGAAAATTTGAAATCCATACATGTGCCATGTCCTATCCTATTCCTAATTGGGTGGATCCCATTAAATCAGAAATTATGGCTAACCCTCAATTGCAGGATCTAGTGTAGAAAATATCAAGGAAGGTAAGGCATTGGGGCCATGGCTATACAAAGAAGGGTTGATTTTTTTTCAAAGACCGAATCTATCTATTCCCCACTTCTGATTTGATTCTCCCTATAATGAAGGAATTCCACTTAAGCACTCATGAAGGGCTCCATAAATCTCTCCACGGGATTAGATCTATCTTTTACTGGAAAGGCATGAAAGCACACATAAGGAAATTTATTCAGGAATGTGAAGTTTGCCATAGAAATAAAGTGGACCAAGCCAAAAAATGCTGGTCTACTAAGCCCTCTCCCAATACCACGACATGTCTGGACAGATATTTCCATGAATTTTGTGGATGGCTTGCCAAACACTCGAGGTAATTCCACCATCTTTGTGGTATTGGACCGCCTCTCTAAATATAGTCATTTCATTCCCATTAAACACCCCTACACAGCTACCACCATTGCTCACATATTTTTTGAGCAAGTATTCAAACTCCATGGTATGCCCGAGTCCATTGTATGTGATCGTGATCTAGTTTTCACAAGCTCCTTTTGGAAAAATTTATTTCTTTTGAATTGCATCAAATTCAATTTTAGTTCGACATACCACCCACAAATAGATGGTCAAACCAAGGCGGTTAACAAAACTTTGGAGATGTACTTGAGGTGTTTCACAAGTTATAAGCTTAAGGAATGGACAGTTTGGCTACCATGGGCAGAATATTGCTACAATACCGAGGTACACTCATCCACAGAAAAATCACCATTCGAGATCGTATATGGTCGTGAACCTGCCAACCTATTGGCAGATGTTCATGGCACCTCGCCCGTGGATTCAGTTGTGAAATTCTTACTGGAAAGGGATGTGGTGATTAGAGATGTCAAGGCAAATTTAAAAATTTCTCAAGAATGGATGAAGAAATATTATGATGTGAAGCGCACAGAAAAGAGTTTTGAAGTTGGTGAATAATGTGTGCCTAAAATTGGGTCCTTACTGTCACCTATCTCTAGCACAACGAAAAAATCTCAAGTTAAGCCCCAAGTTTTTTGGTCCCTCAAAATTCTTTCAAAGATTGGATCAATCGCTTATAAATTGGAACTACCAACCGAATCAAAGCTTCACCCGGTTTTCCAAGTTTCTCTTCTTAAAAAGAGGATTGGAAATCAGCATATTATCTCCCACTATACTCGAAATGCCCAGTGAATCTGCCCCCCACCCACTCCCTCAAGCCATTCTGGAGACACGCACAAAAAGGGGAGAAAAAGAAGTCTTGGTTCATTAACAAAATCTCTCACCTGTTGAGTCAACATGGGAGAACCTCACAAAATTGAATGCACATTTTTTCCTTGGAGACGGAGTTGTTATGGACCAATCAAGCACGTGAAGGGGGATTACACATTAATTTCAGTCAATTATGATTACTAAATTGTAGTCTTTTCCTTAGAATAAAAGCTTGAATATTGCAAGCATAATTTCTAATTTCCTAATTAGACGTTATTGCCTTTTTTACAAGAAGCTGTTAGGCTATTTAATAGCTTGATGCCATGAATAAAAGTATCAAATTATCATTGTCTTCAACCTTGTGTTGATTTGGGAGTTTTATTGGTTTTCTTGAATTAACCAACCAAAGGAGGTCTAGGATCCCTTGAAGTATCCTACCAAAAACTATCACAATAGGTCGTCAACGAAAAGAAAATCCTTGGTCATTACCCATTAATCGACCTATCACTAGATCTCAATCGAGGGAAACTGACAAAGCCACATCCCTGGTAGTCAATTTTCATTATATGGACTTGAGTATCTCCAACTCGAAGTCAATGTAGACTTTTGTAAAGCAGAAACTCGACCGGCCATGCTTAGCCGCAAGCGATGAGGAATTAGAAACATGAGCTCACAAATTGATGGTGTACACGTGTTTCACAAGGCGTACCTAGTCCACTCCTAGAATCATGGTTTTGCCACAGCTAACCCCAAACATTGATATCATGAGAAGGTAGTTAAATGGGATTAAAGATCATGGGGTGAATTTTTCTTAGTAGCCACAGTGTGATCTACTTTTTGTGTAACATCTCCAAAATACTTGTGTAACATCTCCAAAATACTGTCGTTTTTGTTTTGTTGTTTCTTGTAATAAAAACTGTAATGGCACATTTGATGATAAGAATAAAAGTTAAATTTTATAAAATATGATATGTGGCATATATGCGAGTTTAAGAATTTTTTAATTTTATTATGAACTTTTTCAAATTTACTAGGGATCTAAGGGTCCGTTTGATTACGAAGATGGAATTTGGATGGAAAGAAAATGAATTCTAGGAAATTGAATTGCCTTGAAATTGTTTTCCTGGGAATTGTAAATTATTGTATTTGATTGATATACTTTTTCAAGTGAAAAATGTTGAAATAAAATATATTTTTTATATTCGTTTGACTTTATTTTACATGAAAATTGTCAATTAAAAGGATAGAATTTACTGGTATTGGAGATGAAATTTTGTTTCCATTGCCAATGAAAAATAGGGAAACTATTCCTTTACCTGAAAAAAATATTATTAGTGTAAATAATAAAATTTAGAAATTATTATTTGTGATAATCGAGTTTGGAACTCTTTCACGATTTATAGAAAGTTTAATGATTTAAAGTTAGTTATAGGAAACTTTAAAAAACCATTAATAGAGGAAATATGCAGTTAAAAAATTAATAAAAATTGTGAATTTTATAAAATGAATGGTTGAAGATGAAATTGGAGAAAATTCAAGAACTAATAGGGGTGTACTCAATTGAGTTGTTGATGAATTTCAAAATCCTTCCGAGGTATCATCAATTGAGATTTTAATCGATTTTAATACATTAAAATCTAGGTGTTCTAAACTGATATTTTCATTAAAATTTGGGCATCCTCAATAACTCGGATATTTATATGAATATCATTTATAGAAGGATTTTAAAAAACATTGCTGGATTTCAAGCTTAAAAATAATATCTTTTCAAATTTCACCACTTTTAATGATATTTTTATGGATTTTATGGAAAGAGTAATATTATTTGTAGTTGTTCACTGCGACAGTCGTCCTACGTGAGATATACATGACATGTAATTATTTGATTAAAAAAATTGTCACATTAATGCATCAAATTCTTGAATTCACCAAATTTATCAAAATTTATAAATCTACGAAATTCCTAAGAAAACGAATTTGGTCTCTTTTGATAACTTTGAGTTGTTGAGAGATAAAAATGAAAATAGTTTTGGAGTCGACAATTTATTTTGAGTAAATATTTAATCGGAGGATCATTTTTCTGTCAACATCCGCACGTACACTTTCGGGACCATAACAAATCCGAGAGCCAGAGAGAAAAATGTAAGTTTGTGCACACGATAAAGTTTTATATCAACATTCTACAAGGTCTTCATCGTGGCAATAAACGTAAGGTGAGAGTGGTTAAACAATTGACCCGTTATCCTACTCCTTTTCTTTGATTCATTTTGTAGTATGACTTTATTTTCCGTTACATGTTGTCGTTGGAAAGGTGTTTGATTAAATGTCTGGGTGAAGAAATAATGATTCAAACTGTGCAATATAATTATGCTAACGAGCAATTATTATTTCTTTTCCTGAATTTAACTTTGCAGATTCACTGAGACAGTAGTCGGACGGTCAGTTTGATAGCATGGTCTCAATTTTGCAGAAAAATCAAACAACAAGAACCTTTCTTGATTATTAATTCCCATTTTTATTACTTAAAATATACATCTCTCACGCGTAATAATAGCTTTTCTTATTTTCCCATAAAGCTAATAATGGGACCAAGATGGAAAGGAAAGGGGGCAGAAGATAAAGCACTAGCAGATCCCATGTCAAAAATAGTATCCCAGCTTCGATTATCCTTAATTGAGTCTGATTCCCAAGGATTGCTCTCGGGTTGTATTGTACTTCTTGAAGCAAATGCAGAACAAACTGAACTTCTAAATCGCGCTTGCTTTGGTCGCCCCATCGTCAATGCTGATAAGGATAAGCAGTGGTTTCAACTAAGTATGGAGGAAGCTTTTTACTTGTGCTTTGCACTGAAGTGTGTCAAGATTGTATGTAATGATAAGTGGTTAAAGAATGATGAAGAGTTTTGGAGTTACGTGACACCTAAGAGAGCTAATTTTCCGAATTTGTGCATAGCTTATTCTCATCTTCGAATGAAGAACTGGGTGGTGAGATCCGGGTCACAATTCGGTGTAGACTTTGTTGCCTACCGTCATCATCCTTCTTTGGTTCACTCTGAATATGCTGTTCTTGTTTTATCCGGGGAAGATGAGAATACAAATGGTCGGTTGAGGGTTTGGTCAGATTTCCAGTGCACGCTTCGACTTTGTGGCAGCGTTGCAAAGTCATTGCTGGTTCTATACATTGACAAAAATGGCAATGGTGCTGTGTTTCCTTCATGTTTAGAGAATTACAGTGTCAAAGAGAGAATGATCACCAGATGGAATCCAGAGCAAAGCAGGGAAAATGGAACCAAGTAAGAGATATTCTTTGCCCATCGGCCATCTATTACTATTAGAATTGATGTGGACAGGATAAAAATTTCTCACTGCTAATATGGCATCGAGAACCTTAAGTATGGTTCTCTTGTCACATCAGCAGTGAAATATTTTTATCTGGACAGGAGATCAGGTATGCTCTTACTATTGCCAGTATTGATACTTGAGTTGGATGATCTTGCAAAATCATTTGATTTGTACCATGATCACCAGTACTTTTTTCATGTCAGAGTTTGATACATGGTACATATGATCAGTGGAAGTTTATTATCATTTTCTTATATTTTTTAAGATGAGGTTTATGACTGTAGCCTATCATATTGAATTATGTTAAATAATTCTTATTATTGTTAGCATTTAATTTGGTTGTAATTCTGCACATTTATAAACATTGTTGACATAGGGAGAGAGCTGTCAACTAAACTGACCTTAGAAGTAAAAATTTGAAAAGAAAATGTAAAAAAATCCTAAGAATGTGGAGAGCACAAGTACAGACAGAGCTGAAGAAAAAGGGAATTTGATTTAAATGTTAAAGAATGGAATTTTGATTACATTTATTTTCTCATAATTAATTAGGGCAGTTTGGTCCAGATTGGCCTGTGTGGGTTGGAATAGCATTAGTATTCATATTGTTACTTATTCGAATTGACATATATTACATTGTTTTCCATTTGATGTTACTGTAAAAGACAAACTTAAACTTATTAACAGTCAATCTTAATTGACAACTTAGCAAAATTCTTTTATATTTTGATTATTAAAGGTTATGTAATTTGTTGTGATCAATCTGTACAAATCAAAACTTATTGATATCAAGTCACATGTAAAGCGAAGAGAGAATTACTTCTACCGAAAAAGGGTTGATACCTTCTATTCAAGCAGTTTATGTACATGCAGATAATTTGATCGATCTTGATCCTGCTACGGCATTTGCACATTTAGATGCTACTACCGTACTATCAAGAGGATTAGGGGGAATTTGATAAGATAGAGATCGATCTTATAAGATTGCCTTTATCCATATCAAAATGGAAAAGAATGTCGTTCTAGGGCCCATAAGATTGTTGATTGCTTAAGGGAGGGATGCTAAGTGGACTAATTTGAGAAGTTCACAAGCAGCAAACAAGTTTCTTCTCCTTTTTTATCACTATTCAAATTAAGCCCTTGTTTATGTCCCATTTTTTCATTAAAATACATTTTTCAACAATGATTTGACTCTATTTTCACCACACATCTTTCAACAAAATATTATTTCACATAAATCCAAAATTTTTCCTTATTTTTTAACCACACACTCTTCATCATAATACCATTTCAAAATGCATTTCTTGAGAAAAATGAGGCTCAAGCAACCCTAAAAATGTATCCAACCCACTTAGACACCAGTATACCAGCTTCATCTTAATGGCATGGAGTCAGTAATTTTACCCAGTTTCTCCTATACTAATTTATCAGTATTAATTAACATAAGCTTTCAACCAAACAGAAGGGTAAAAAAGACATCTTGCTAATGTTTTCTTGACTAACCACACCATCGGATGGATCCTAGTTGATTTTAGGACCATTGCAAATTTTATTGAGTAAACATTGCAGATACTGCAAGGGAGGCAACAAAATAAATTAGTAGGCAACAAAATAAATTAATGCCAATTTCTACAAAGTCATAAATTTTACAAAATATTCCTCTGGTCATCAATGGACCATTGTTTCATAATTTCGGTTAACAAAGAAAAACTTCAAATTTGCATCTCCGAGATTGCCTATGAAGTAGATGCCTTGTCATTTTCTGGCCGGTTAAACCAAATATTCTGATCTGGTTCATGAAACTAAATTGTCATGTTATCAAATGAGCATCATCTTCTTCTATAATGTAATACTGTAGATGCTGCTATCATACTAGGTCGATAATCATCAAGCATAGGACGACTCCATTCTTGCGGGATTTGGACAGAACTTACTCTAGGAGGAACAAGTAAATCAAAAACCTTTCCAGCAGCACATATTTGTTTTCTTCGGAGGTTCTCATCGTCTGTTAAGTTCCTGTTGCAATGCAAACCGAAGTTCCATAAGATTAGTGCTATCAAACTACGTAATTAGCAAAGCATTGCATTATTAAATGACGACAAATCCATCATTTGTCATGAACATTTGGACGACTTGTCATTATTGATTCCAGATACACTACGAGATCACTGTGAGGAAAACAAATTCATATGATGCTGAAAAGTGTAGATATATAAAAATAAGCAGATGTTTCACTTATTTTTATGTTTACATTAAGAAAGGAAAGAATGACCAAAAAAGTACCTCACGTAAAAGGAGTGGGAGATTCACATCCCAGTTAGACAAAAAACCATAAAGACTAGAATTAAAGTAAAATGGGAGCTTACTTGAGTAATGATGCCAATTTTGAAGGTGTGCATTCGTTGAAAAGAGCTTCGGGAATTATTGCTGAATCCAAAATAATATTAGGAAGCGAGATATAAGATACTTTAGCTTTGAATCGTATGAACCATTCAGTCAGAAGATGAGCTCTATAGGCAACAACACATGGCAGTCGAGCAAGCTGCAATTCCACTGCTACAGTCCCTGATGTACACAAGGCTACTCTACTTGCCTGATCATATTGGATTCAGCAGGTTAAATCTTTCAAGCTTTGTCATTAAATAATTAATCAATTTTTACATATAAATTCTAAAGTAAAAGATGCTGGCAGAGTATATGGGCTGTGTTTAGGCACATATAAAGTCAGCTCTGTTTCTCTTTAAAATTTACAAGATAGAATTAGACCCAGCCACGAAATATCATGTCATGTGAACTTATAATGTTTCATACTGAATACAAATATTATGAGCATCTTTGGGTTTAGATAAAAGATACGAGAAAAAAAGGGTCCTATGGGAAGATGACTAAAAAACATAATTTTGGGACTGATTAAACAAATGTTAGTATTGAACTATACGATTAAACAAACCAGATCAGGGCAATCAGAAACTATCAGTCAGACTGCAACTATTTTCTAAAGAAATAAAACCACGTAAATATGGTATTTCATACTGCAATGCCACTTAGGATATTAGAATTATTGATTAAAAAATATATCAAAAGCAACTACATATTGAGGGCCCATCATTTTCACACATAATGTTGCAAGTCCATAAACGTTTAATTTGTAAATCTAGCAATACGGAGATGATAACTGCTAATCATAATTGTTGACAAACAAACATCAACTCGTGGTTTAAAGGAGCCAAGTTTAAACAGATAATTTTGTGAATAATCAAATTAAGGTGTGTATAAAAATGGTGAAGACGCCTTTTCCTATCAAATATAGATTGAAAACTTAAGCAGAACAAGTATATCTTCCAATATCAATGCTCCATTTTTTCTCCTAATTTTTAACATAATGTTCTTGTACCATTACCGGAAAGAAAACCTATCACGAGGCCTTACACTAAATGCATCATATTTAATTTGCAGTGATCCACTTGGAACCAATACGACAGATGTAGGCCACTCGCAAACAGCTTTACTAATGTAGTCTTCCACATACTTATTAGGCGCCACATGGATTGCTGCTGTTAACTCTGAGTGGGAATCTTTTAATAGCTCCATAGTGTTTGAATATATGGAAAGCATGCGTGTGACCTCTTGTAATCTACTTCCAGGAAGCAAGGAAATAACTGTGGTTCCTTCAAGTTTCAAAACACATATACTGTTAATACAGAATTAAAGGTTGGATGAACTACAACCAAATTATGAGCAGCAAAATTAATTCAAAATGACGACAATTTTTTGATCCAAAGTGAAAAAGAAATGAAAAGTCTCGCTAAAGGCAAAAGCAATTAGGAAATGTGCAGCTAGATCAGTATACATTCCTTCAACCATACTCTTTCTCATTCAGATTACATACTTGCACATCCAATGCTATCTCAAAACTTGTAAACTAAAGTTGCCACATCATGTACAAGAAAATATTGAATAACGATGAACTAGATTTTTTGCACAAACAAAATATAAAAGCACCGAACCTGAGGATATTCCATGCTGCTCCTTAAATGCTTCTCCCTTACCTTGAATTTTCCATTCCTTACAGATGCTATCCTTTACCTGAAAATGAAGTCCCTCAAGTTTAACATGACTACAACAAACATGCGACGCAAAATCATTCTGACTGACATACAAGCACAAGTTCACAACGATTAAGTAATTTAAAGTTCTCAATTAGGTAATCCCTAAACAGTAAACAAATTTGATCCCCAAAAGAAAGAGTCTTCTATGAAAAAGTACACCAGTATTCAAAACCAGGCAGATACCAAAAACATTCTGATTTACCTCTTGCTCCAAAACATCTTCAAGTGTTGGATGGCCCACGAAAGTTGCATTTAGTCCTTTTGATAGACACACTTCTGACTCGAAAGGAAGGATACAGAAGACGTGATCTACAAACCCAGAGAGCCCTTTAAGTCTTTCTTCACCACCTTTCCAGGCCCAGAACGACGGAGCTACATAGTGAAAATGCAGAGGACCCACCAGTCCTTGCTGACAGTAGATAGCTGCATAAAGCATTTCCCCATATTTCTCCACCATTTTTCTCTTGCATAGGCAAATGGAAGAACTTGTAACAGCTTAAAAAAATTACCACGCAGTTGCTTTAGGAAACGGAAGGAAAACCCTTTTGAGTCCACCGTCAGTACAACATGAGGCTGAAAAGAGAGAGCAGACTGTACTGTCTGTTTCAACTTAACCTGAAATTTTAAAAGTTCGATTACAAGAATTATGTCCAAGTTGTAGGTATTCAATGATTAACACAACATGTTGACATTCCTCATTACTCACCCTCAACTTGCTAAGATGTGGCACCAACTCCCAGATGCCCATTACTGCAATATCTTCCATAGGAAACTGAGAATCTAACCCCTGCTTTGACATAGCCAACCTGAAAAATACAGAGCAGCAGAAAGATAACGCCTTTCTCCAGTATTATACCGAAAGAACCAAAAGAAAAATCCATCCTTGAATGTATTCAACCTATTTAGAATGCATAATATTTTTACTACCCCAGATCACATAATGCAAGGAGCTGGAGTGGAGCCAGGTCGCAAAGAATGTGGAAAGTGAAGGTATTTGAGAGCAGGAACATATTAGAGTGCCTATTTAGAATATAAAATTATACATTACTTAATATGTCCGGAATTTAGGAAAGTGTTTTCGAAAGCCACTGAGTTCAAGTGGTACATATCGTTCCACATCTTTTGTCCAGCTTCAAAAACTTGTTATTGTAATTAACGTGCTGGTCTCATATTCTTTCCAAGCTCTAACACAAACTTTACTAAATGCTGGCAAGAGCCCACTCTTTCTCATCTTCATATTCCCTTTTAATTTCATTATCACGTAATCTTTTATCCTTATTTCCTTAACAGAAAGTTACTCCACACTGGTGCAGAAATAACTAAATCCAAAACAAATGATGGTAAAACAGAGAGAGATTCTCCGTAAATAATAAATAGTGACTATTTTACCCTCCAATGCCTGCAAAACGGACGGGACAAGGAGAAAGCTTTTTCAAAGAGTCCATGAAACGTGAGCCGATCATGTCACCAGAAACCTCTCCAGCAACAATAAAGACTCGGAGTTCCCCATCTTTTGAACCCATATCTATGGGTGCTTGTTGACTTGACACCAAGAAGTGCCTTTTAATTACCTACAAAAGTTTCAAAATTTTGCCGATCTTCATGTTTCTTATCATTCTGAGAAACCTTTTTGCTGGTTCCAAGCTTGTAAAATGACAAGAAAGGAAGCGGTCGATATTTTTAATTTCAACTTTCTCATAAATGGACATTCCAATTTCAATGAAGAATACCCAAAAATACCCAAAATAATAGAAATGTTTTCACAAGAGACGTTGACCACTCTAAGTCAAATACAGTTACGATACTTGTGCATACTGCTGAACAATAGAGCTTTACACGGTATACATGCATATGGAGAAAATTTATGTGAACCATAAAGTTAACTCAGAATCTTTTACGATTAAGAATCTCAGTAGATCGAATGAGCATCATCTGCTATTATATTGTCAGCTGGATTTTGAACTACATTGTCTGAGTTTGGTGTCCATACAAAAAATTCCTGACACTGTGAAGGAAGTTATTTGGTGTTGGAAGATGAATGTGCCTACAATGACAAGAAAAGGAGCAAGGACATACCATGTTGCTTGATCTGGGTACAGTGGGGAGAGATGAACAGCAGAACAGGTGAGCCTTTGAGAGGTTGGACAACACTGTTGTGAAGCTAAGAAATTCCTCATTATTAGTTTTACAAATTTGCAGTTCCTAATTTTATTTTTTATTTTTTGTGTATATTCATTTCCTAGTTGTGTAGAATCACTGGTGGATTTATTTTTGGGAGACCATAGAAAGCTCTGGCTTTTACATAGTTTATGCATTTTCTACTATTTGTATAACATCTGTTAATTCAATACAAATTGAAGTCCACAAAAAAGAATTTAAGTAGATTGAGATGACTTGATTGATTTGATTATATTTTGAACAGTTGGCACACTTTTTTGACAACATTATCATTTTTCAAAAAGCAATTGACCATACATAATAATTTGAAGTTGCAAAGGGATACAGATATTAGTGGGAGAACACCATGCTAAATGCGGTGTGTCAGTCCAACATTTGCACTTCATCAGCAGGATAATATTTTAAGTCGATAACTAATTCCAAGTTAAAGGCTTTATAATTGAAGGCATTGGATATTAAACAAACCATTAATTGCACACATTAACTTCCATAATTCATTTGCACTTAGATGTGCAAAACAAAGAGAAACACTGACTTAGATTCAAAACAAAGTGGAGCAAATAATATTGTTATAATAGCTCTGAAAGTTTTAAAATGCAATCTCATAGAGAAATTTCTGGCGATAATTTAACCAAAGGAGAGATAACATACCAACCGACTGGGATTTCGAAATGTAAGCTGGTGATGCTGTATATTGATCTCTTCGCATCATAACAAAGGCAGAATGGAAAGAATAACGAAGAAAATTAGAAAAAAAATAAAAAGAAGCAAAAATAAAGAGAATCAGAGAGAGAGAGATTCAAACATGTACATACCGGAAAGAAGGCGCTTGAGATAAATAGCCATGGCGGCTGCAGTGGTAAAGGTGAACTCCGCTCGGCCCCAACACTATATTACTGTAACCTCAAGGGCCGTGATTTATAATTTTAAACACCGTCACTCTTTTCTGTTCTCATTCAATTCTGAGCAATGCTCGTCTTTAGCGCCATCACCCTGACAGCCTCCGAATCATCAAGGGAAAATGAGGGATTGCTGACTAAATTGGGAAATTTCATCACTAGTCCTCAATCTATTAAATTAGTGGCAAATGGGTCCTTAATTTATTTGTTTTGGCATTGACATCCACAACCTATCAATTCGTCTGCAACCCAATCCATCTAATGGACCTTTAAATAGTCAATATTTTGTTAAAAAGAAATAAAATTTATCTTTATTATTTATTAACACAGTCACTATACATTCAAACAAAATACCTTGCAATAATTGTAATTAAAAACAATAATATTATGAATTATATTTTGTACTAAAATGTGCACTGTGTTACATTTGACTTTGTTCCTGTCCAGGGAGGGAACAAATCAGGATTATTCAAGGGATTTGCAATTTTTTTTTTTCCTTTTTTTGGGGTACAAATGTACAATTTGACTAGTTATTTTAAGATCATTATTTGATGATTTTTCATTTTGAAAGTTGTGTCATATCGTTGCTCGTGAGTTATCCAAAATAATACCAAGAATCTTTCCCAATAACCGTGAAGAATAGCCCAAAATTAAGCATTACACTACTATTTACTTGTGCGGAGATGTCTTTATGTGCACATTTTCCTCCGTAAATCATAGTTTAACGTAATATACTGAGGCGTTACATTTCTTGGTGGGACATCGTTTTGTCAGATGTGGCATGTTATTGTTTGTTAAGATGGACATCCCCTGAGAAACCATAATCTAACATGAACGATTTCTAAACTATCCGTTGTGTAAGAAAATCATGCGAGTAGTTGTATAGCTCTATGCTCGTGATCAGTCGGCGTAATGAAAAATGAAAACTATCTCCACTTTAAAATTTATCGAAGTTATGTCCAAATAAAAGATTAATACAATGCAAACAATTTGTAACATCAGCTTGAGAAAGCTCTAACCAGCATTTCAGTATATCCCTTCTAATCTATATCCCTAGCTTAATATGCACATACATTAAAGGAATAATATTGGGTCTCATGAAATTCGTAGATAATAAATGAGTAATAATCATTAATATGTGGTATAAATTAATGGGTAATCGGTACAAAATATCATTACCTTTCAAGGTTTTTATAGAAAACGTCCGTACTTTTCATTTTTTTGACATATTGTGCAAAATGTTATTTTCATCCGTTTTGATGATCTTACCCTCATAATCAAATTAAAAAAAAAAGAAAAGAAACGAAAAATAAAGAATTAATTGCAACCATAGTCCCATATTTTCAAAAAATTACAAATCAGCCAGAAATTACTAATTGCTCCCCCTGATGAAGGAAGCAACGTATGCCTGACACCACCTGGCCTCCGCCATAAAATTAATTGGATAACACGATGAACTCGTGCATTTTCCTAACAATGAATGACCCAAAAGAAAATCAGAAAAAATTGACTAATTTTCAATCATAAGATTTACTCAAATTAAGGAATATATGGTTCCAAAAACAATTTATAATCACGCTGAGAGCAAAAGCTTTATTTCCATTCACAAGCCATTGGCATTGCTAATAAAAATCCTCATTCTTCTTAACAACTCAAAAATTGTTTCATAAAGGATTCAATGCCATTATGGCTGTTCCAAGATAAATTAGGGTCAAAACATGCTTCTTGAGTTTAGCCTTTCTCGCAATTGGAGCAAAATCTATCCACCTCCATACTTTCATTCATCGCCCTTACGCACCATTTTCCACTACCCCTTCAGAACCCATAAACCCATCTTCCTAATATCTCGGGGGCAAAGGCTTCAAGCCGTCAAAGAACTCCAAAAGACCCTCACAAACTATTTTCAAGGCTCCCGCTCTGTGTCGTTCACTTGCGCTAAGCAAATTACCTTTTTATCAGGTTTCATAAAGTAGGATAAATGGGTTGTTTAATGAATGCAATTCTCGAGGCTTGTAGGAAAATTTCGATGTTGTATGATTAGGAAAGTGAGATGAATAATGTTGCGCTTTTAATGGATTGGAGCAAATGTATTTTGTTGATTATTTAAAATAAATTATGGTTAGAAAATTCATGTATACATTAAATATGAAAGGATGCAATCGATTTTTGATTGATTTGTAATTTTTGAAACTTTGGAACTATGGTTGCAATTAGTTTTTTATTTTTTCTTTTCTTTCTTTTTGTTTTATTTAAGTAGGAGGGTAAAATCGTCAAAAACGGATGAAAATAACATTTTGTGCAACGAAATATGGAAGGTAGGGGTAAAAATGCTAAAAAATAAAAGGTAGGGATCTTTTTCACAAAAATCTTGAAATGTAGTGACGTTTTGTGCCAATTACCCTAAATTAATGGTCGACTTTGAGTGCATAGAAAACTGGACTTATAAGTAACTTTTTAGCTACGGTCTAAAATTTTTATTTAATTTTTATTTATCAATTGCTGAGTCTGTGTTCTTCTCTAGCCTTTAGGTACGAATATTATCCGCACGGAAAGCTATAAAGGAAATTTTGGAAAATAAGCCAGCTACATTTAGATTTTTAAGCCAATCTTTTGCAGTCATGTTGACAAGAATGAACGACATATTAATGACACCAATAGCTTGGTTAGCTATGCTAAAATTTTAATTTTTATTAGACTTGGTTTCTCGAAAGTAAATTTTGGCAAAATAAGTAATTTAAAAGTTTAAAACTACAAAACATAATTTCCTTCAAAGAGAGGTCTTCCTGGGAAAGCTAAGAACTTCATTATGCCAAGAACGAGAGTACTCGAAATTAGATTAGAGTTCAATTGTTCCAAAAAACATGAATACGACGATCAAACACAGTGAAGTCCATAAAATTAAAAATATGTCACACCCAACAGTTTCTGCAGCATTTGATATAGCAAGACATTAAAATAGCGATATTTAAGTTCAATATTCATTTTATCTGATGAATCTAAGAACTAAAAACTTGGAAGGAGGCAAGGAGCTAAACAAATAATACATCATCTATAAAGTCATCTACCTTCAGACTTCACCAGTTGTGAGAAAACTCTACTCATTGAAATGCCCGAAAGATCATCGCCACTTGACATTTCAGATTGAGTAGCAGAAATGCTACAGTCCAAATGATTAAATTCACCAATCTGCGGGGAGAGTTGGCCGATAACAATGGTACTATTTTCCTCGGGATCATTATGAACCACTGCCTCTTGAAGTTGAAGAGCATACTCCAGATTCCACAAGACATCTCCCATTGAGGGTCTGTCAACCCCAAAATCCGCCAAGCATTTTTCTGCTGTTTCTCCAAACTTCCTGAGGGATTCTGGTCTTATTTTTCCTGCAAGATTAGGATCTATAATTTGATCTAGTTGTCCCTTCTTCTGCCACTGCATTGCCCATTCAGCTAAGTTGACCATTTCTCTTGGAAGAGATGGATCTATCACAGGCCTAGCACAAAGAACTTCAAACATAACGACACCAAACGAGTAAACGTCAGATTTTTCTGTCAGCTGTTGCCTTCTGAAATACTCTGGATCGAGGTACCCAAAACTCCCTTTAACAGCAGTGCTAACATGCGTTTGATCAATCTCCGGTCCTGTCTTGGAAAGTCCAAAATCAGAAACTTTTGCCATAAGTTTCTCGTCAAGCAATATGTTTGCAGACTTTACATCACGGTGAATAACTGCTTTAGCATCGCCAGTGTGAAGGTAGTGCAGTCCTCTTGCTGCTCCAATGCATATCTCGAGCCTCTCCTTCCAACTCAAAATTGGAAGATTAGAACCATAGAGACGACTCTTGAGGGTACCATTATCCATGTATTCATAAATAAGTATCATCTCATTCCTTTCATCACAATACCCAATCAAGGACACCAAATGGCGGTGCCGGAATTGAGAAAGCATCTCAATTTCAGTTCGAAACTCTGCTAGACCTTGTTGGGACCTGGGATTGCCTCTTTTAACAGCAACCTTTATATCATCTTTTAAAATCCCTCTATAAACCTTCCCAAAGCCACCAATGCCAATAGCCCAACTCTCATCGAAGTTGTTTGTTGCTTCCTGAACAGCTATAAAAGGAATGCGGTAACTCAAGTTAGAACCAACACTAGCCGTTGTTCCACTCGAGTATTTACTTCCCCTAGTATGGGAAGTTCCTCCATCAGTGGAAATCTGAACCCAGGTTTTTGAATCGCGAAAGCTTTTTTGTTTCCGTCTTCTGTGCATGAAGAATAGAATGCCAATTATGACCAAAGCAACTGTCACCCCAACACTCACCCCAACAATTAGTCCAACATTCCTCTTGGAGCCAGGCTGGGACGGTATAGACATTTCCCCAGCAAGGTTGCCCATGGAATCGTTCATTTTCATTATCTCCAGTCCATTCAGAATGGCATCAGGATAACCACTCCTAGGAGAAGGGCCAATACTTATACGTAGCTTATTTTTCTCAATTAATGGGGTAACAAAATCCAAATATAATGCAGTGGCCAAACGACCATCGGTTTTTGCACTTAGTTCAAGATCCCCACTAGCAAGCATGGAATCAATAAAAACATTAAATAGTAGCTGATTGGCAGATGTACTAACTATGTCACAGAAGTGCAATCGAATGAAGTATGCATAGCCCGAATTCACACTAAATTCCCATGTCACGTTGAAATTGCTATTTGGATCACTTTCTGAGTTCATCTTACTGCAAGTACCATAAACAGTAGGAGGAGCAATATCTGGAGTTGCACCACCTGGAGGATACTTAACAGCAGCAATATTTGACACATTCTTGGCAAGGTTTGGTAGCACCAAAAAGCTCTGATCAGAAACCCAACTTCTCCACAACGTATCATTCTCCAATGACACGAATGGTCCACCCATGTTCACCCTTGCAATTGTCTCAAGAGCCTGTGTCACCAGGCCATTAAATGCCCCTGGTGGATTGAGATTGATGGCATCATCGGTGATGAGCGAATCTGGTTCCGAGAAAACTTCCAAGGCATTGACATAAGCAAATGAACTATTCGCAGGGGCAAAAGTCACTACAAGGTCTCCAGATGATATACTGACTGAAAATTCTCTAACAGAAAGGTTTTTTGAGTTGAAATTGCTTAGAAGCGTATTCTTTTGGAAGAAAACAGAGAAATTAGCAGTGTTCATATCATAATTCTGATAAACAAATGGATAAAAGTGCAGGCGGATCCAGTGCCTCCCCCTCTGGCTGATCGAGAACGTATACCTAGAGGATCCAGCAAATACTCTAGCTGTTCGATACAGCAGTGAATTCTTGGATGAATTTATAGAATTTGAATTGCTATCAGCCAATATATCTTGTGGGGTTGACAGGAATTTAGATGCTGATTTATCAGATACATAAGTCCTATTACCCAGAGTAACATCAGTGGATGATCCACAGTTTATATAATACTTATCAGCAGGATCAAATCCTCGAGAAAAACATACCAAGTACAACATGAACAAAACCCAGATAGCGAACTTCATAACAGAACAGTTCATCATCACAAAAGCAGATAACACCGAGCTTGAATGAAACTGAAGTCCAGATTTCTCAAACAGAATAGCAATACAAGACTGGGAATTAGGATTATTTCAGCTACAACCGTAAAAAACATTATGCACCCATTAAAGAAAATTTAGAAAGCAAGGGCAATAGATGGCACCTTTGAGATCACATGAGATTCTAGAGTCAAAAATTGAGGGGCCCAAATTTTATTAGCCAGAAAATTAACCTTCCCTTTCAAATATGAGAAGAAAACAAGTTAGCGCCAGACGGCAAAATCTTAGCAAGCAGATAAAGACGTATGTATATATTGTGAAAACAGCAGCAAATATATAATTTTGGAATTATGTGTTTGTATTATAAATATATGTAACTTCTGATTAACAACAGTGTAAAAATATAAGGGAAAACTGGGTCAAAAATTCATGCTTACATACATATACAAATTGATGTGTATATAATTATTATATGGTGGAAAATTTGGAGCAGAAGAAGGGTAATCAAGAAGTTTGATGAAGCCCGGTTATATTGCGTGTGGAAGTGGGTGACAGACCATTTAATACTAAAAACGGAGCGAGTGCGTTCTTGGGACCGGAGAAGAAATAGTCTTCTTCATCGATTGTGGTAACATAAAAGATTCAATAAATTAGGGTCCGTTTGGTGCACATTTTTGTTGATGAAAATGCATTTTAAACATCAAATTGCGGGTCCCCCATTAGAGTGTAGAAGTCAAAAATTGTGTGCTGATGTGACGGAAAAAATGCATTTTTGGCTTCAAAAATGCGTACCAAACAGGGGCTAAAACTACGTTTCTACTTATTTCTAAGCCTTAAAGCTTGTTTGGGAGCGTTCAAAAATAATTTAAAGTATAAATAGATAAAAATGAATGATAAATAAATTAAATGTATGGCTGAATCCATTTGGACATAAATAAATTTTACAGAATCAATATAGAAATCTCACATGAAACCACCCCATATGAATAAAATAGTGCAAAAAATAAAAAAAAAACCAACCCGCCCTCTGAGGGGATTACAGAACCCCTCCGACTGTACATAAAGAAGAGCTCTTAAATGAATAGTATAAGTTCTTGAAACATATGAATAAAAAATCATTTGACCATTTATAATCATAAGATCGAATGAGGAAATGAAAGATTGTCTAATTCAACTTGTAAAAAAATCGTTGCAGCAAGAGATGTGAAAAAAAATCTCGACTTTCCTTCAACAAGATTAATAATTAGTCTACTAATTTTTAAAAAATATATAAAAAAAAATTAAACCTAAAATGCATTTGTGTCTAAATAATCTTTTTTTTTTTTTTAATAATTGGTTGAAGAAATAGGTAATAAAGAAACATCTTTAATGGTAGCATTGAACCACGATATCTATAAACCCTATTTAATATAGATTTTTTAATATTCATTTTTTTTTTTCAAATTTTGTTTTAAATTACACATTTTCTCAATAAAATTATTTTACACATGGATCTATAACTTTTTTTTGGTACTTTTAACAATATATTCTTCAAAAAAATTATTTTAAAAAATTAGAACTCAAGTAGTATTTTCTTACAAGCGTCTAAAACAATTTACTGTGACGTGTTGTAGTGGTGGGTGGAATAAATGCTATAAATTGAAATAAATTATATGATGGATGGAAACTCTTGCTAATCCTATAAAAACACTATAAAGTGGTAGGTTTAGGCCCTGTTTGGTACCCATTTTTTTCAAAATACATTTTTCTCTCTCTTCTTTTCAACCACACATTCTTTATTAAAATAAAATTACACGTAAATCAAAAAATTTTCCTTATTTTCAACCACACGTTTCACACCAATTTACTATTCAAAAATACATTTTTACATAAAAATATCTTCCAAACACCTTCTAAATAAATATTTTTTGTTTTGCTAGGAGTAACCTTCTAGCGGATGAATTATAAATCTAAGCCCCCGTTTGATTCTCATTCTTATAAGAATGAGAATGAAAAATATATCTGTTATAGGACTCACACAAAAGATAAGAAATCAAATATGATAGTTTGATGTGATGAATAACGATCATATTTTTCATTTTTAGAGCCAAAAAATGAGAAGCAAACGAGGCCTAAATTAAATCACGCCTATTCGTAAAATTTTATTGGAATTGAGATATTTATACGAATTTTAAGTTTCTGAATCAGTTGTCCATAATTGATTACTTATGATTACACACTGATGACTCTGAATATCAGGTAATATTAATTTTTAATAGTTGATTTAAAATATAATAGTAAAAAATTATTTAAATGGGATTAGGCCCTTGTTTAAGTTCCATTTTCTTAGAAACTCGTTTTTTTTTAAATTTATTTTTAATTATACATTCTACAATAACATAATTTTGCATATAAACTCAATTTTTTTCTTATTCTTTTTAATTACATATTATCTCAAAAAATTAGGTTCCATTTGGTAGCCATTTTTTTCAAAATGCATTTTTCTTTCTCTTCTTTTCAACCACACATTCTTTATTAAAATAATATTACACGTAAATAAAAAAAATTTCCTTATTTCTGAACCACATATTTCACATCAATTTACTATTCTAAAATGCATTTTTACATAAAAATGTCTATCAAACACTCCCTTACTATTAAAAAAAATTCATTTTTTATAAAAATGTGGTTCCAAGAGAGTCCATACTAGAGTTGATCTATGGTTGAAGTTGTAGGTATGTGGGAAGGAAAATGCTAAAGTGCTCGAATTTTGATGATCGAATGGGTGATCGACCCTCATATAGAGCGTAGGCCCCACGTGAATAAAATAATATCCGACTCCTAGAGGTGTGAGTGTTCGATCATCCCACATGTCAACAGTTATGTTTGTATAGTATGATCCATGTGGGAATTGGTAACACACATAAAATAGATACACAGAGCGGGCGGCAACGAGTCCTTTTCACTATGTTTCCGGCTAACCCATCTTCTGTGCACACGTATATGCAAATTGTGGAAAAAATGTGGGTAAAATTGACAAAAGTGGATGATTTTGGCCACCACCAATTTTTTATTTCCTGTTCAAGTCATAATTTGATGCAAGCTAGGGATTTGGCAACAACTCAGTGGCTTATTGCAACACCTTATCACTGAATAATATCTAGATAAACTGGAGATATATATCATGGAAAAATGTCATTTTCAAAAAGGTTGAATCCCAACCTTTAAGATCCCACCTTCCCGCCCTCTGAAATATCGTGAGGGAGATAAATCGCGGGATGTACCTCAGTAGGCCAAGGATCAAGAACTTGCCCATACACTGATACTCACAAAGAGTCCAATTTCATATTTCAGGAATTGAATCCTCACACTGCGACTGACAGGAAAAAATGTCATTTTCAGTTGCATAATAGATTGACGAACGTGGAATTAATCATACGATAATCAATTTTTAGTGTCAATGAATAGCTAGTCATTTTTACCCTTTTTTTCCAGATGGACGAAATTTTACGACTCCCTGTCGATGCTCTTCGTTACTAAAAGGTATAAGTAAATTATTTTTGCTGAAATTAATTTCTATAGCTTTTTCTCTCTTTGATATTAAACAAAGTTAAAACAACTTTAATTAAGAAATAATCTATTCAAGTTTAGGTATATCATGCGTGACAAATTAGTATATTATTACTTTATCGAAGGGTTAGGTATATGATGTAAACTCATGTCCATAAATATTATATTCCCATCTGGATCATAAATTTAAGTTGGATTACGAATTTTATTGACTGAATCATTAAGTAATGCACAGTGCAAGTGATTGAGGGATTGTCATGACTTTTTTTTTTTTTTTTTTTTTTTAACGAGGTGTCCCAACTTGCGCCAGACTATATATCCTCGTTCCTGAACCTCCGACCTCTCAGCTGCTCGGGGAGGTAAATCGCAGGATGTGCCTTTGTTGGTTCCCACATGGCTTTTACTCCTTCCCCAAAGGAAGCCTCCTCCATGGTGATTAATCCACCAATAATTCCTCCTTTATTGGATCAAAGGTTCCCACCAGGAATCGAACTCCCCACGCTTGGTTCCAGAGCCCCCCAATGTGATTGTTCCGCCAACTTGGATGTGCCCTGGGGGCCAGGGATTGTCATGACTTATTATTATATTAGAATTGTGAATATAGAAAATAGTTAATTTGAATTAGTTTTTTATTCGAGTAGCTTTGCTTTGGATCCTCGTTAAAAAAAACCATCGTGTTCATAAGTTTTATATTTTGTACGTAAACCCAAAAAAATTTCATTTTTTTTAATCACATGTTCTCGAAAAAATTTATTATTATAAAACTCTTTTTTCTAGCAAAAATAGTTCTCAAACATAGGCTTATTTTCTCTTGAAATTGATGTCCCTTTGGATCTTATCTCTAACTTTTCTTAGTACATTAAGAAGCTCTGATGTAATGTTTTCATATTGCAAGAAAAAATTATTGATAATATGATTGTTGCTTGAAGTGCATTTTTGTGGGAGACAAGCTCTAGTAGATAACTCATCTTCAACTTTGTCTTCTTTTGCACTTCAAAGTGACGTTCTCAACAATCTACTTATCACTCAACAATTTTGAAGTTCCCTTATTTTTCTCAAGAAGTTCAAAATGTAATCAACATTCGTTGTATAACGTACTTCAACTCTTTGATTAGAACTTGCAATTGTTGAATGCCTCCATCACTAGAACATAGATCCAGATCATCTGAACTCACATTATCCGTAGACCTAATTTTACAACATCAAAATAATTTTCAATTGTGCTTGGTCGAACATCTATTATTTAAACTGGGAACATGTTACACTTACATCCACTTTCTTACATAATCTTTTACCTACACTCACAATAGGAGGACGGGGTCCACAGTTCGAAATTTTTAAATGTGCGTGGGGCCCGCCCACTTGTTAGAGTAGGTTATCGGTTTGGTCATCAAGATTCGGTACATATAGTTTAATTCTTCAAACTGACATTGCGAGATCTATTGGATTTAAAACCATTACCTTTTTTGGGATTTGGGATTCCAATTTCATATCCCTCCAAAAGATTTTGCTAAATTTGATGACATCTTAAAAGCTAGTATGATAGTCCCACATCACAAGGTTGGATCATTTTTTGATCGGTACATAAATATGTATTGATAAAAAATGAGTATAACTACTTCAAACATCCCCCGACCGTTGAAGTCAAACATTACAAAAGATCTAAAGATCTAAAGCATATGATTCAAAATGAATCTAAAACATGAAGTTTCAAAAATTGTTGCAACTTCATCTAAGAAATACTAGAACTTGAAGTGGTGAACCTCTATTCTAGTGTAGGGCGTTTCCCTTCTAGCATAATCATTTCGATATCAAGAGAGGGGGTTGTCCTCTTCTTATCTTTCTTGATTGTTACGATATGTAGATCATTCAAAAGAAAGTTCATTTCCTTCTTTTTGCGAGCCACTTCAACAGAGGAATGATCTACCTCATCCCTATTTTCTTGTACAGAGTTCTCGCCAGCATTCTAGCCATTTTGGCCAGTAGCTTTCTGGTCATTTCGCCCAGTAGCTTGCTGGCCATTTTGTCCATAGCAAATCTGGCCATTTTGGCCAGTAGCATTCTGGTCCCACAAGGTTGGATCTTTGATCTTATGTTGGGTGGCAAGAAAATAATTCAATTTTTTCAAACCTTTAATAGATTTTGGATAAACAGGACAATTATCAACAAATAAGATAACTTTTCTATTGAGATGTTAAATATATTCTTGAAATAAAATATATTCCTGTTCATACTGCTCGAATTTACATTCTTGAAATATCGTGGTTTAGCATCCTTGACAATGAACATAAATGAATTTTCTTAAAACCATCTACCTAAAAACAAATAACAGTTACAAGTTTTTACTCGTCTTGTTTTCTTACCTTCGAGTTGCTTTATTGCAGGAGTATGATCTAGTTTTAGCCTTTAAAGTATTCATGTTTCATCCATATTCAAAACTTCCTTCAGAGAAAATTGATCTAATTTCTCTCGTGGAACTCTCCACATGCTCCATATCAACCGACAAAATTTCTCCAAATAACGATTTCTTGATGCTATGTCTTGATTTGAAGTGCTCGAGCAAACCTTAATAAATGAAATTTTGGTGTGTATACAGATACATCTTTTTAGAAACTCATTCGCCTTCTCCGTAATTAGCTTATCCGATCATGTTTATGCATTCTTGATATTGAACAAATCACTCATAGAGAACCTTCTCTAGCTTCAAAAAAAGTTGCAATTTGGTGTCGTTTGGCATAACCATTTTATTATTGTCTCGTAGATGCACTGATGATAAGTTTATCATTTTTATATTGTTGTAGCTCGCTTGCAAGTTAAACTTTTATGACACCTGCTGCATTTGATTTTGGGTGAAAGCTGGATTTTCTATGTTGTACTCACACAACGCTTTAGGCATTTCATCTGTCATTGTTGATTTCTTTATATTTTTTAGATGAGAAGCCATTGTTTTTGTTTGGAGTGATGCTACAATTCTCGCAGGGATGACCTCGGGGTTGACACAATACACAAATGGGGGTTGGCATTTTTTTTATTCACATGGGATCCATGCACCCCGTGTCAGGGTGTGGTCATCCTCGTGGTCACGGGCACAGATCGAGTGGCTTAACCCTTTTGTTTTACCATATGTAATATTATACATTCTTTTTACAATTTAAATACACTATAGTTTGTTGCAAAAATGGATATGTAAATGACTTCTATTTAATAAGACTAATTAAATTCATAAACTTTTTTTGGTTTACCAAATACATAATATAATGATAATTTGTATTTCGGTACATTTGAAGTACTTCCAAACATACTTAACTATTTGAAACATATATGACTTTTACGGAATTCTATAAAAATACACTAGACTTCTTTCGTAGAAGATGTACATATCAAATCTCACAGATTATTCCCCACCCAAAAGATGTTTGAAGACTTGAAAAAAATCTAGGGTTTCACTCTGAACTCTATACTCGTGAGTACTAATCGCAAGTCCTTATTTCCTTAATTTTTATTATTTCAAATTAGGGAAAGAAACTACACACACCGTTAGTTATTAATCGTAAACTGTATTATCTGCAACATGTTTTATGATTGGAATTTTTTTAGAACTCACAATTATTATTATTATTATTTTCAATGATGAGGTGCTATTTTAATTAATTTTTTCCATACAACAATGAAGTTCTAAACAAGGGAACGAAGAACCTAAACTATTCATAATTGATTTTTGTTGAGAGAACCTAAACCTATCTATCAATTTAATATATTTGGTTAATAATCCAATAATAAATATCGACTCCATTATTAGAATAGATCATAAGTTAGGTATGGTCCCTTGGACATGCATTTATATAACAATTAAACTACTTGTACAAAGTAGTTTGACAAAAATGGTTGACAAAGTATGTGTTGGCAAGATGAAGACCAATGGATTTTGTTGTTTTCAAAAATTGATTTTGAATTGAATGGTCTTGATTTTGTCAACAACCACTTTGTCAACTTTTTTTGTAAACCTATTTTGTAAGCATAACACTACTCTATATATAAAGTGCCACAGGTTCCCGTAGGACTAAATTTGTCAACTATTATTTTAATTGAAGGGTTTCGAATAGAAATTATTTGCAACTCAGTGATTTTATTTATAATTTCAAATCCAGTACTTATATTTTTAATTTTAGATTGTTCTTATACCATGTCCATCCTACTCTATTAAGACCCCTTTTGATGTTAAAAAATAAGAAGAACTGAGTTCGCGTAGAAATTTATTATATTAAGAGAATATGTGCTTGACAATGATTTTGAATAAAATCAAATTTTGTAGAATCTCTGACAAACATAGACTAATTATGAAAAATAAAATAAAATTTGATAAGTGTTTGTGATTCAAAATTAGAAGAGAGATCTCGAAACACCTCATTGATAAGTTTAATAGTTTACTCATAAGCAAGTGCAAAAAAAGTTTGCTTATTACTAAATAAGTTTAAGATAAATTAATTGATCAAATTTGGAAATAATTAAGTTCTATATTTTTCCAGCAGCCTTGACTTACTGTCAAATGAAAATGCTACTTATAAGTCAATTTTATATCTGAAGCCAAACCAAACATGCCAGTTTGTGGGCTTTTATTGTGTTAGCGACAGGGTCGGGTCCTCCGTCCACTATGGATTAATTAGAAGTAGACGGCGTCGTTTTTCTTCAAAATTCTCCACTTTCTCGCTCCAAAAGTCTCATTGCAATCAAATTCGTTCGATCAGTAATACTAAAATTCTTCACTCCACGCAGATCTACTGCATCTTGCTCTCGTTATCTTTAAGGTTACTACTTTTTTTCCCCCTCTTTTATACGTTCATCTTTTTATGGGCATGTTGATGATAGAATATTTAGGGTATGATTTTGCTGAGAATTATTGTTTGAGGTTCTGTGAATTGACGGACTCTTTTTTGAATTTTTGGTTCTGTATATTTTGGAGGAGGGGATTTTGAGGGTTGGAGGAATATATGAATGATTGAATTGATATAAGATAGGTTAGGATTGTAGCTCAAGTGCTTTTAACCTTAACGGTTAAATCCCATTTTTGTACTCAAATCTGTTTTTTAGCAATAAATTGATTGTTACTCTATGTTGATGGTTGGGTGGGGAGATGGGGGATAATTTTACTGCCTCCTTTTGGTAGTTTGCTTGTAGCTGCTAAGTGTGAAAACACAATGCAATGACCTAATGAGTCGTGGACACTTAGCGTACTGAGTTTTGATTCTGTTATTACAGTAAAAGAAACACTTGGTGATATTTTCCTTTCTTCGGTGAAACGCATTTAGTTGCAGTGCCTAATCAATGTTGGTTAGTTTCTCTATAGACTGAACCATCGACGGCTTTATCATTTTGATTATAAATTTGTCAGGAACTTTTCATATTGTCAGTTGAAATAAACCTCAGCACTGTCCAATCATTTTGCATCATGATCCGGTTCCGGAAAACCCCAAAATAACACTGTTAGGTGATAATTAAATTTCAAACTTTGAATAAGTATCGCTGACCATTTCTGTGAGGATCCCTTAAAAACAATAAACCAAATAATTGGATTAGAATTTATCTTGAGTACATTTCCTCTTGATTTTTGTTGCATGTGCCGCTTCACCAGACAAAGAATAACTGAGGATTTTTATATTTTCTTCTCTGCCTCCAACATAAAATTCCCAAATATAAGTTATCAAAGACACAAACATAGAATAGAATATCTTTGCCTCAGTCCCTTTGGTTTGCAATTGGTGTTAATGAACAGGGTCTTCGTTGTAAAATTCCCAAATATAAGTCTTCAAAGACTCAAACGTGGATCTGAATCACTTTGCCTCGGGTCCATTTGGTGATCTTTTGGTGTCAATGAGTGGGGTCTTCAGTGAAGTAAAACAAAGCTCAAAGGCATTAGAAAAACACTCCTTATTAATTTCTTGTGCAGTTATGCTCATTCAGTAATTTTTTACTCTGATATTGAATTCTATTTATTTAAGATCTTGTGTTGATGTAATGCATGCCTAAAAATTTTATACTAAAAATTAATTTGGTGCCAGAAATTTGGTGCAAATTTTGAATTTTACTGTGTGCGTGTAGATTTTCTATTTCAGATGTAATATGCATTTATTCTGCCATCAAGTGTGCAGCTCACTTTCTCTTTGGTGCCTCAGTGCAGTTGTACAGTTTATAACTAAACCTAAATGATAAACATCTCTGCAGACAACAAAAAGAGTCCTCTTTGTCAAAATCACATTTTTTCACTTCTTTCTTTTTTTTGTAACTTAAAGAGTACACATCTTCAAATTTATTTGCATTTCCACTAAATCCTCCCAAATGCTTTCTGCAGTCTTCAAATCATCAACTGCAATTATAATTCACTTCAATGGCCTCATAGAAATTGGGATTTAGTGCACAGAGAAGCCAAAGAGGAATTTTGGACTTTCTGATGAGAGGAGAGGAGAGGAGAGGAGAGAAAAATTGCAAACCTAGATTAGGTTTGTGGAGGCTGTGAAAATTTTACCGAGATATTGACAAGACCTAGGTTCCAGGATGAGGTAGAGACAAAGGGAAAGCCAGTGTGGAGAGAAAGGAGTGGGAGAGAGGTAGGACAGGAGTAGCAGGCAACTGTTTATTGTAAGCTCCTATTTCCTGTTTAGATTGAGGGTAAATACTTTTTGAAATATCTATATTGCTTTAGGAACTTATAACCCCATCCAGATATTGGTGGTTGTTGGTCAACTTGTTATTGTTTTTGCAAGAACTGAAGATTAGTTATTTTTTTCCGTTTGAATGAGTTATCGACTTTATTTGGTGGTACTCAACTAGATATGAGTTTTGATTTGATTTATATTTTTGTAGGTGAGGGAAATTAAGGTATATCAACTTATGTTCTAAATATTTTGTTTTCTTTTTCCTCCCGTTATGGTATTTAGCAGTAGAGTGTCACCCTATTGGTTTTGATGATTTTGACATGATTGGATTGTTCATTTTCAACTCAGAGATAATCTATCAGATGTTTTCTTCTTATTATGCATCTATGACTAAAAGTTGAGGACCTCATATGATAGCTCTCCTGTACAGAACCCTTGAAACTTAATTGAAAAGTTTCAAGCAAGCATTTTGACCGAAAACTGATGATTCTGGGGTTTTCCCTTTTTTATTTATTAAAAAATGGAAAACAATGAAAACACAAAAACTTGCAAAAGGTGTATTTTGTTTGTGGATTCTGGGTTAGACAGCTAAATATGTTGCAGAGCACAGAACTGTCGGTAAATATTTAGAAAAAGATCTCAAAATGTTGTTTTCTTGTTCTCTTTTAAAGCAGCTGTTTACTGCATTGGCTCTTCATTTAATGCTTTCAATCGACCGCTTGGTGTTGACCAAGAAGTATCGTAGTCTTTTGGCAAGGCAGATGTTTTCTTTCTATGATACCAATGGATTAGTACTGGTCGAATCAATTTTCTTTCGTTGCTGCTGCTAAGGATCTTATATGGATAGAATGAATTATTTATTAAATGCATCTGATTCTTTGTGCTTTAGGATACATACAATGAGGTGTTTATATGTGCTCCTATGGTATTTTTTTCTATATTTTTTACTAGATTAAATTTATTGGAACTGCATTTGCTTTGAATCTATTTTCTGCTTTACATGTGGTTTCCTGTTTATATTATGCCTTTGGGTTAGCTTCTGATCAATTGTTTTTTGTTCAGTTTGTGACTTACTAATAAGCTTTTCAAAAATCTTGTTATTGGTTGCTGAATACAGTTTTGTCATTTTATAATTTGACTGATTGTTCCTCTGAAATTCTCCTTTCAGAGAATTGAGAATTAGAAAGTAAAGGCTCCAGCACTTTCTGGAAAAGCTTTTTGACAAAAAAAGGAGAAGGGAAGCTGCAACTGGGTGAAGGAAAAAATTTCTTCATGACCTTTTGAAATTTTCTGCAATGTCGGGGTTATTTAATGTATTGTTCCCTCCAACGTACAATGCTACATGTGTATATACAGACACTGGATAGTAGTCTTGTGGTTTCTGCATTCATTTGGTTCTTTTCTTCGAAGCACTATTGTTGTTATCTGCAGTTCTCATAATAGGATTAAATATGCTCTTTCCCTTTTCCTATACCACATTTTCATTAATATGATTTACCATGGCATCCATTTAAACGCAATTTTTATTGTTGCTTATATAATATAATCACGAGTTTTTGGTCAACATATTGATTTTTTCAATGCCACGTTCATGTCATTTATGAGGATATAGTGTCAGATAATGATTAGATTCTATTTTAACAGATTCTTAGGTTATGGCTTCAGACTTATTAATCTGGTTTCTTTAAGAGATCATAAATACGAAAAACCCAGAAAGGATCTGTGAAAATATAATATCATTTAAAATCAATTGTAAAATGTTCTGATCTTGCTAATGTATGCCTGCAAAATACTGGATAGTTGTGTTGCATGCTGTCCATGACATCAAACAGATTGGGATGAGAAGCATTTTACGTCGTGTATGCCCTTGGAATCTTTTACAATTTTCGCATAAAAGGATGTTCTTGTACTGACTTCTGGCTTTTAGCTAAAGACTCTGCTCCAGTGCTTGAGTTTGTGAATTATCATTATTTGCATGATGGGTTGATTAGATTCCTTCAATTGTCTTCTGAAAAGTTCAGAAAATTTTGAGTTTGAATAATAGTAAGTCTTGGATTTTGCTTGCAATGTGGTATGCTAAGATAACTTTGATGGTGAGACTGGTATTGATTCATCTAATTTAGTTTATTTGGAGGTGACAACACTTCTAGCAAGTTCAGATAATACCTTTAAGCTTGTTTTCTTAATGATTAACTTAACTTCTAATCATATGGAGTTGCTCATTGTATGGAGTGGTGGTATCTGGTAACACAACTTGTTGGGCATGTTGCCTAATTGCCTTATCCAACAAAAGCAATATGTTCTCTCTCTCTCTCTCTCTCTCTCTCTCAAGAGTTCACTAATTCTATAAAAGGATATGAAAGTACTTATAACACATTTTAACATTTAGATTTTTGCTGTTTACTCTACTTTTTGGTTGAACATAGAAACTGGAGTGGTTACGTTGAAAGTACCATAAATCTGTTCTTTATTATAGTTTCCTTTTTATTTTATTTTATTCTGGTACATGGAGCATGACAACATTTATCATAATTTGAGTTAGAGTTGGGGGTCATATGTGAACTTACATGAGTATGTAATTTCGTTTATTTAATTCATTTACACTCTGACTGCAGTCATCACTCAATGGGTCAACATCAAATCTTCCTGACAGCACTGGGCGCCCATTAACATCATCGTTCTCTGGTCAATCTGGGGCCGCCTCTCCTGTTTTTCATCACACTGGTGAATTGTTTGCTTGAATAGTTTCATAGCCTATGTTTTTCCCCCATTTTAGAAAGCTCATTTTTCCCTAAAACTCAATTTCAAACTCACATTTCATGGGACCCATTACTCCTATCAACTTTTCAACCACACGTTTTATCTTCTTATCAAAATCAAAGTCTACTAAAAAAATATGATTTTTAGCTAAACCTACAGGGGTGTAATGTTTTTATCAAAATCTAATATATAATTGAGCTTTGTTCTTGCAGGAAATATTCAGGGACTGCATAATATTCATGGGAGTTATAATGTTCCTAACATGTCTGGCTCCCTTGGATCTCGGAATACAATAATGAATAATGTCCCTTCTAGTGGGGTCCAACAAGCTGCAAGTAACCTCTCCAGTGGAAGATTTGCATCAAATAATCTTCCAGGTGCTCTTTCTCAGGTACCCTTTTGACTTTTTAATGCTGCATAAGAGATGTGAATGTAGAATATTGAAAATATTTATTGGGGAAACAGTTATTGCATTTCACTAATTTTCTTAATATTGTAAAACTAATGGTTTGTTCACCTAGTTTTTTCATTCTCGGTGAGCTATAGGTTTTTACCCATATTCAAAACTCCCTACAATATATTGTTCCTCGTTTGCAGATATCTCACAGCAATGCACATGGTCATTCAGGGATGGTGAATAGAGCTGGTATGAGTGTCATTGGAAACCAAGGGTATAGTGGTAGCACAAATGGAGTTGGTGGTTCTATTCCTGGGATTCTCACAACCTCTGCTGCAATTGGTAATCGGACTGCTGTTCCAGGGTTAGGCATTTCTCCGATTATGGGGAATGCTGGCCCACGGATTACAAGCTCAGTGGGGAACATAGTAGGTGGGGGTAACATTGGCAGAAGCATTAGTTCTGGTGGAGGATTGTCTGTGCCTGGTCTGGCTTCACGGCTAAACTTAATTGCCAACAGTAGTTCTGGAAATATGAATGTGCAAGGACAAAACAGGCTTGTGGGCAGTGTGCTTCAACAAGGTAATTCATCATGAAATAATAAAAGTTTTCTTCAGCCCTCTGGCAAGCGTCATTTGGACAGGTTTCTTTGCTATGTTAACACCCAAATAATATTTAAACGCTTGGTCCTTTCCAAGTGTTTTTTGCCTAAACTTGCACGTGGAAATAAAGTAGTATTTGTCATTAAATCAGATGTGATTATTTACGACTCTAAAATGAACATTTGGATACCTGTATATTAGCTTTTGGCCAGCAAAAAAAAAAAAAAAAAAAAATTTTTTTTTTTTTAAAAAATTAATAATTTTTTTTTTTTTTTTTTTTTAAAATTTTTTTTTTTTTTTTTTTTTTTTTTTTTTTTTTTTCATGTTTGGGTAATCGAGAATCTGTCAGCAGTGTAACCACATTAGTGTTGAAATGGATTTCACTAGTGGATTTATAATATCTCTTTTATTTGCATATTAGAACCACAATTTTTAATGTGAAAAACTGATTAATGTGTTTTGATATTAAATAATTAGCTTAAAAACTGAACCCGATGTGTCATTCACGTTTATTATTTATTTAGTCAATTTTCATCCAGCCCTGTATCTGATATTGCCATTTGTATACGATGGAAATTCAAAGAGAGATTATTTTGAAAGATCTCTTTTAATTTATTTGATGTCTTTAGTTGGATTTATTCTTTGTTCTAATTTTACTTGATTATTGAATACAAGCACATATCTTTCCCCAGTTTCAAATCTTGGTAAGTCTTCAAATAATGTCTCTGGATCTCCATCAGTATACTTCTGTATATGGTATATCCCGATTGATGTTTCACTTGCTCTTTGATCATCATTTGCTCACTATTTTCCTGTACATCAATGTTTTAGTTTGAAGCTTGCATTTAGCTGTTTGCTCGAATGTGATTGAAAATATTTGGCCTTTTCATAATAAATTGTTCCTGTTGAGCCATAATATTTTGGAGCATCTTTTATTCTGCAAACACCATGTTACCCGATTGCGTTGAAATATCTTTTGGTAATGGATTTTAAGATTTTCTTTTATTTGCGCAAAGAAGCTGCATTTTTCAAGTTCAAAGTTGACTAGTTGTTTTTGTGATATAACAATCACTACAATATCTGAACCGAATATTCCACTATGATTATGATCTGAATTAGACAAGTGCTGTCCAGCTTTGATCCTGATATTGCCATTCGTTGAACTTGTGTATATAATGTGTCTGAGTATCTCAATTGATATTTCATTTGTTCGGTAACTGTCATTTGGTTGTCATGATTCTACACTTTTTTGTTTAGTGTGAACTTTAACATTTAGTTGTATATTTATGTGGTAACATTTGGCTTTATTTTTTTTTTATTTTATTTTATTTTATTTTATTTTATTTATTATTATTATTATTTTTTTTTTTTTGTGCCCAGTGGAAATTGAAACTTGTGAAAACAAGAGGAAAGCTTAACAATCTTAGCACATGTTTGGAGTGGCCTATCTTAAAGTGTGTGTCTCATTGTTACTGTAGACCCACCTAAATTTAAGATAAGCCAACATAAGACACACATATGGTGCTTATCTTTAAAAGCCATCCCAAACAAGCTCTTTGTAGCATAACTTGAAGCTATTGTGTTTAGTTGGTACAAACAAGCTCAGTTTTCAAATAAATAATTGTTAATAAATGACACTAGAATCCTAGTTAGGTGCCCTGCATCACCTTCATACAAAGATGTTCCACTGTGCCATAATATATATATTTTAACACTAATGGTGTCTTATGAAGCACGGACACTCCATCATCATTGGAGTGTTAAGTGTCCGACACGCCTCTTATTTTTAAATCTGGACAAGGGGGGTGATGAGGAGCTGGCACGACAAGTCCACATTGTAGTATTCATACCAAAAAATAAAAGAGGACACCATTCCAGCATACTAATGATGTTCTGATTATGGAAATGGGTGAAATTTGTTCAGAATCTTGAAATGGGGAAATGGTTTGAAGTGAACAGATGAAATCAAATGAAATTACATGAAGGAAATAGATGAGTATCTATTAGTGATCCATGAGAGGGGGAAGGGGTGCGGGGTGGGTAAAGGGGACACCCTAGGTACCGGTAAAGGGAGAGGAAGAGGGAGAGACTTGTGGGGAAACATTCTGGAGATGGGATGGAAGGATAAACATATCATACAGGGGGTCTATGGACCCAGAAAGAAAAAGCCAAATGAATCATTTCAATGGTTTGCTATGATGCACCAACATATACACGTGTGTCCGACATGATGTGTGTCGTATACGTCGACACGCAATTTTTTTAAAAATTACCGACATGACATGTCACCAACACGTGAATTAAATTCTTTAAAACTTTTTATTTATATAGTATAAATTTAGTTTTATACTTGTTAGTAATTTTTCTTCTTGAAATCTTTTAAATATAGTATCTATTTGTTATTTACTAATAACTTTGAGTTAAAATATATAATATTTTTAATTAAAAAAAGAAAATATTTATGGTAAAGTGTTCAAAGAGTGTCGATATCGATATCTGTCCGACACGGACATGTTATCCTAATTGAAGTGTTTGTGCTACAAAGATGATTTATATTGGACCAACTTTTTAAATTGATCGAGGATGGCTCATTGACCCAATTCTCGCTTAGTTGTTGATTTATAAATATTTAAAAAGCAAAATAGGGAAAAAAAATTTATGTTATTCTAATTAAGTTGTCCGATATGTGTTCGTGTCCTTTTTTTGAAAAATTACGTGTGCCTCTGTTTGAGTTGTATCCACTGCTTCTTAGGTGCTGGGGAAATAATGGAGAAAGAATAGGAAAAGTGATTTCATTGCATTCGTCGTTCACTCGAAAGAAAAAAGGGTGGTGTTCGTGGCAATCAAAGGTCAAATAAGCCTTCAAAGTTTTCTATTGGGGGACCAGATTTGATAATATTATGTTGAACTTGTGCATTGTAATTTGGTCAAATTTAAATAGATATTTTTTTTCCTAATTAGTATTGATTTGCTATGTAAAAGTGAAGATTTCTTTCATTCTTCGGTGTTATTACAGTTTGGTGGTATTAAACTTGTATCTATATATAGATTTAAGAAACGAGGTCTAAACGACTGTTCCTGCATTCAGCTTCTCCGCAGGTAATTTCTATGTTAGGCAATTCCTACCCTTCAGCTGGCGGTCCTCTGTCACAAAACCATGTACAAGCTGTGAATAACTTTAATAATATGGGGATGTTGAATGATATGAATGCCAATGACGGTTCTCCTTTTGACATCAATGATTTCCCTCAACTGAGCGGTCGTCCCAGTTCTGCTGGTGGTCCTCAAGGACAATTAGGTAATCGATTAGCCTGGTGCTTTTCTTTCCTACAATTCTTCTAAGGTTATATTTCTGGTTTCAGACTGACTATAAACCCTAGTATTTCAGGTTCATTGCGGAAACAAGGTCTTAGCCCAATCGTTCAACAAAATCAAGAATTTAGTATTCAAAATGAAGATTTTCCGGCCTTACCAGGATTTAAAGGTGCTTGCATGTGTTTGAATCTCAAAGTATACGTATTTCTAATGAAGTCTTTTTTGTCACAATCTTTTGACAATGTTGACTGTTCCAATTATTGCAATCAAAATGAGCAGTCGAATCAAATTAATTTGTAGTAGTAGTTAGAGGACAAAATGACTATTTGGATGTGCCAAGGCAAATCTTGTATCATTTTGTCCAAGTAACAGAATGAACATCTGCTGATAATTTGCTCCAGTATGCAACCATTCTCCTGTAAATGGTCATAATTATGGTTGGTTTTCCTCGAGTACTTTTATTCTGAGACTGATTGATTTCACTTCATTAATCTTATCATAGATAGGTTCTTCTAACTTTACTCTTTTTCCCACACTGAACAGGGTTTAGATTATTCATACTGTGCATCCTCCAGAAGTCGAAACGTGTAGTATTTGATGTGTTATTAGCTCATATGTGTTTAAACCAACTTGTCAGATACCTGGGATATATGTTTACATGCAATTTTCTGAGCCTGGCACTTCATATCCGTTAACAATAGTCTGCAACATGATTGATTAACCCATCCAACAAGCTTCAAGATTTCCAGGAGTTGTGGTTCTACAATGCTAGGAAAACTGCCCCTATGATGTTTAAATTACTTGGCTGGAATAATTAAGAAAATATTGGATGAAAGGAGTTAGATTCTTTGCCTTTATGGGAGAAGGTTAGACCTTTAGATTCTCTTCAGTAATTTACAGGTGAGGAATTTAAGGGTTCTCCTCAGTTTGATGGATATTTTGATTTAGAGTATGTTTGGGAGTGCTTAAAAGGTGTTTAAAAGCACCCTTGGTGATTCTGCCAAGAAGAGGTGGTTTAAATTTTCTTTTAGCATACCCATTTATGCTCTTAGTATGAATATTTTCTCACTAGAGGACCTTATCGTCTCATTCCTTTGTGTTGATCCTAAGTTTTATTTTATTAATTTTTTTTTCTTTTTCTTTTGTTGCTTGTTTCCTATCGAAACAGAAAAATAGCGTAGACTTTATGGCTGTGATGATAGTTTTAATGCGCATGGTTGTGGTGTTTTCTCGTGCTTAGTCCTTTATTAAGTCTATTGCTTCTAGTCTGTATTTCAAGTTGTTATCCTTTGTGAAACATCCAATCTTAAGAAGTATTATGTGATGCCAGTACAAGACAAGGCACAGGCTTGCTTTTAATAGTTTATTTATTTAATTAGAATCTAAATCATGTTTTGTGTAGTTGGGTTCTAATTGGAGGCATGGGCTTGATTTTAATAGTTTATTTATTTAATTAGAGTCTAAATCATGTTTGTGAAGGAGTCCAATTAAAGGCGCGAGCTTGGTTTTGATAGGATATTTATTTAGCCCTTATTTGATTTTGATTCTTTGAGAATCATCTCTACCACACTCATTTTGAATCTCACATTTCCAAAAAAATCATTTTCACATTTTCCAATGACCCCTACTTTTGAACCACGTGTTCACAAAAAAACACTTTTCAAAGAATCATTTCTCAAAAAATTTTTATCAAACAAGCGATTAATTAGAGTCTAATTCATGTTTCTTGGCAATTGGGGTCTAATATTGTTTTGGTATTAGTTGAGGGACCAATTGAGTAATTTCAATCAAGTTAGCCATAGGGCTTTTGGTTCCTTGTTAAACTAGCTACGGGCAATAGAATTTGGTTGGCTTTTGATACTTGACAAACCAATAATCAGATTGTGATTTGTGAGTTTTTTCTCCAATTTTTTTTATTGCTTTTCAGTATTTGTACACAAATTATTTTATGTTGGTGACATGAATTTAATTGTTTAAAACAATAATTGTGAAAATTATATGGTTAGATTCAGTAGTGTTAAGTGATGGGAAAAAACTAAAAGTCCAAAACAAGTAGGAAGGGTAGACTTTTAAGTTAATTTAAATTTTATCATTATAACAGATAAGATTGAGATAGAATTTTTAGTTAGATAAGATTTCATAAAATAGGATTTTATTTTTACTTGATTTAGATAAGTGTTTTATTTTATTAGAAATTCTCTTGGAGTTTAAGACTTTATATAAAAGCCGGGTTGGTTTTTCTTCTTGAGCACAACTATATTATTATTTAATCAAAGTTATATATTGTCCTCTTCTCACTTCTTCTCTTTCCCTCAATTTCCTTTTCTTATTACTTTGTAATTAATTGTATTTATTTTATTTCATTCTTTAAATTAGTGGAGTTTAGTGGAAGGTGTGGAATATTTATAATTATCATTTGCAGCCTTCTGTTAGGTTCCTATGGGCTCAATCGAACTTGTTGCCTTTCTTTTCCTTTGACTCATTGATAATAGTCGGCCTTTAAACAACTCTCTCTGGCAATGTAAAAATATATTTTTGAATTCACGTTTTACTTAGTTTCAGTTTAACTCTTGTCAATGACGATCTATTAGACTTTGTGCAGGTGGGAATACTGACTATTCTATGGACTTGCACCAAAAGGAGCAACTTCAGGACAGTTCTGTTTCCATGATGCAGCCACAACACTTTTCTGTAAGTGATACTGATACATTATGAGAGTTTGGAGAATTTATGATACATTATGAGAGTTTGGAGAATTTATCGAGTTTTTCTTGTTGGGATTGAATGCAACGGTTTTCTCACCGTTTTCAATTTCTGATTGAATTTACAGATGGGAAGGTCTTCTGGTTTCAATTTGGGGGCATACTCACCTCATCGGCCACAACAGCAGCAACAACATGCCCCATCAGTGAGTAGCGGCGCTGTCCCCTTTTCAACTGTAAACAATCAGGATCTACTCCATTCACATGGTTCAGACATGTTTCCATCATCTCATTCAACGTATCATGCACAGGTGTGCTAACACGCTTTGTGGAATTATGGAATTATTTCTAGTAGCATTTTATTATTTATTTTAACAGGAAATCACAAATAACAATTTGGTATATCAACTTTTTGTTTTTTGCCTGAACGCTTCTGTTCTTTCTCTGCCTTGGCCTTTTTTCCTCTTTCTGAGAAGTAACAGGAAATACTTCTCTGAACCATTACTTTGTCTGCTTTGGAATGTCAGCCTCCTTCGCTTGTCTGATTAGTACCTTAAGAGGTTTAACTGCTAATCTTGAATGTCAAGTTTTAAGTATTACTCCATCATTTTTGCAGCATGTGAACCTAGTTTTAGTGTAAAGCACGTGTATTGTGCTTATTATCTTTAATATTGAACTCTATAATAGTGTTATAGTCAATGCCCTATTATAATTTATAAACAATCGCTGCCGAGAATTTTTTTCTAATCATTAGAGGTATTAATTGTAAATGCCTGTCTATTGACTGGTTATGTCCCCATGCAGTACAAAATGACATGTATGATCGATTGAAGTATATCAGTGTTTTTTGCAATTGAATACTTACTTTGACCGAGAGGCTTAATGAACGCCTAATGTCCTTTTGAACTGGAGTTGTCTGTGCTACATTAGCTTGTTTCCATCTCAACTTTACTTGAAAATTTTTGAAGTGAACATGAAAATTGTACTTTCTTGGGCATCTTCACCTTACAGAGAAAAAAAGTGTGCTTGATGCGACCAACTGCTGTTTTATTGTAGCCATAGTTGACAACCAAGCGATCTTCATCACAATGTTTTTTATATGTAAATGTGAATGATGGCTTACGTGAGGTACTTGGTGGAAATTTCCTCCTGGTGATGGATGTAAACTTATGGGGGTGTTGGTTTGTGTGTTAGCTAGCTCTCTCCTATAATTAATTCTATGCAAGAAATGTTTCCATAGAAAAGATCTCCATTTTAAAAATATTTTAGATATTAGGCCTGAGAAATATTGATTATGGGAACCGGGACCGGACTTCCCATAAATTGTAGCAGTTTTGAGATTAATATTGTATAAATATTAATTATACAAGGGTCTATTGGAGCTTGTAGATGTGAAAGTGAATAATGCCTTATACGAGTTACATAGTGAAAAAGTTGTCTCATGACACTGCTTTTCTGTCGTCATTGTAATTGCTAAATAGTTTTTCTTTTTTTTCTTTTCTCTATTTATTTGGTCAGACCAGTGGACCCCCAGGCATGGGACTACGACCTTTAAATTCTCCGAATTCGGTTTCTAGTGTTGGGTCGTACGACCAGCTTATACAGCAATACCAGCAGCATCAGAACCAGTCCCAATTTCGCCTACAGCAAATGTCTTCTGTAGGTCAGCCATATCGGGATCAAGCAATGAAGCCCATGCAGGGTGGACAAACCACTTCTGATCCTTTTGGTTTGCTTGGTTTGTTGAGTGTGATAAGAATGAGTGACCCTGATCTGACTTCTCTTGCCCTTGGAATTGACCTAACTACCCTTGGATTGAACTTGAATTCTTCTGAAAATCTTCACAAAACATTTGGTTCCCCATGGTCTGACGAGCCTACCAAGGGAGATCCAGAATTTACTGTGCCACAATGTTATTATGCTAAACAACCGCCACCTTTAAATGTGAGCTGTCTTTCTACCCTTATCTGTACCACTATGCTTTTATGCCATTTTGTTCTTGCTGAATTTTCTTGAATTGGCTGCAGCAAGCTTACTTCTCAAAGTTTCAATTAGAGACTTTATTTTATATCTTCTACAGGTAATCTTCAGATCTTGCTCCATTAATATTGCCTCTATTCTTTCACTGTGAATATAAAATTATCTTTTTCTTTGTGGTTTCGTGCAGTATGCCGAAGGATGAAGCACAATTATATGCTGCCAATGAATTGTATGCCATTTCAGCGATGAATACTTGTTTCATTTCTAGTTTACTATTTTGTTCTTTCTGTAATTCAGAATTCAATCCATGGAAAGATTCATGTCTTTTACGATGAAATCTTTCTCTACTTGCATCCTGGTTATACTCCATTCCTCTGGTTGATGGTAATTTTGCTGCATATATAGTAGTTTTGACCTAGTTGTCCCAATTGCTTTCAGGTATAACAGAGGTTGGTTCTACCACAGAGAGCATCGTTTGTGGTTTATGAGGAATGCTAACATGGAGCCACTTGTAAAGATGAATGCATATGAGAGAGGATCTTATGTTTGTTTTGATCCGAACGCATGGGAGACAGTCCGCAAGGTTTGAAATCTCATTGCCCTTTTCAATTTGTCTGGTTTCTATGAATGTATACATGAGGATTGTCGTTTTCCTTTTTCCTTCCAACATTGTTGGGTTTAAATTAATGCAGGATAATTTTGTTCTCCACTATGATATGGTGGAAAAGAGACCAGCTCTACCTCAACATTGACGACATATGCTGTTTAAATGTACACCTACAGGTTCAACTAATATGTTAGGACAGAAGTAAGCTCGTGCTTAGTCTTTCTTCTTTTTGGCAACTGTAAGCAATTATTGCATGATTATCGTCTCAGTTATTTCAATACGACTTCTGTATCTTTTGCTCAGAATTTTATATTCCAAGTTCGACAATCATGTTCTATTCCATTCTGGTCATTTCTAGTCTCATGGTCTAACTAGTCGGTTTCTCCATGCATCAATTTGATTTTGAAGAGTGGAAAATATACCCCGTCAACTTTAATATATTGTTTGTTACCCAACAAGGTTATTAATACGAAGGAAAGATTAATTTGGGATGCAAACTCTATAACCGGGCTTCGACCATTCAATGCTATAAGAATGTAGAGCTGTTGGTTTTATTAAAAAATTGTTCATGTTGAAGCCGTGTGAATGCACATCTCATGAGTTTGTGGCTTTCTTCTAGAATCTTTTTCTCATGGAATAGCAGGGGTGTAACTGAGAGCATTTGAAGAAATTGTGGGACATGCTATAATAGGTACTTGAAAATTCTGGACATTCGGGTTTGTGGTTCATTAAACGAGCTTTTGAGATGTGGAGTTTGAAACGAATGAAAATATCATATGAAGTTATATGTTATAGGGGTAAATTTTTGGGAGCTTTTATGGTTGCCAGTTGTCAAAATTGCTTTCGATAGATTATATGATTTTTAACATGTTTGCATTGTTGAATTTGCTGATTCCTGTTCACATCATTTTATTTTTACCAGCTATGAAGCTGTAAAATGAAGGCCGTCTGCAGATCTGATAATCTTGTGACGAATTCAATAGTTTAGAAATTTTTCAGTGAACTCAAAACTTGTATGGAAATGTAGTGTTCTTGTAAGTTAAGAACATGTCCTTTTTATTTTAACATTCTCTTTTAAAGTCTAGCATTTATAATACTCTCTGTTGCAGTTTCTAGTAAATTTTTCTGTATTAACCCATTTCTGTATATTAAGTTGTTTCATGCGGTGTTCCCTTTCGTCGTATTAGTTTGATTTTGGACTTCTACAGAGAATGTATCACCATTACATGAATGTTGGCATCTATAGATCTCTGTTGACACGTTTTAATTAGCTAGGTTGTTATTACCTTAGCCTCTCAATTGGAGTTTGCTTTTAATTCCTGTAACAGGTCGATAACTCCTCAGTTGCCATACGTAGAGACTTGCGAAAAAGTCCTATATTACAAGTAATTTCGTTGTCCTAATGCCAAATGATATCCATCAAGATGGTAATTCGGCATAAAAAGGACATAAAAGTTTAGTGTGTAACCTAACTTGAGGAGAGATATATAGCTGCCATTGATTTTTGGATATGCTCAAGAAAAGCTTTCAAATTGCGTAAATGTNTCCCAGTCTGAAAGTAAAGATTTCGGCGAACAGGGGTCTCTGCTGGCCTGCGTAGAGTTCTTCCGTAAGCTCTTCTTATTCGACGACTCTATCCGATGCATAATCACCCAGTAACACATTGTGCCTATAGTTGTTGCCATTATTATGGTTCCTATAATCGTCACTCCAATTGCGAGCCACTGGTCGTGCTTTCCAACGACGACAAAAGACAATGCCAAGAATGCGACCGAAATAAGCACACAAGCCAACCACATCAACTTGTTTATAATTGCCATCATCTGCTTCTTCGCCTTGCTTTCTATTACTACAACTGAGGTCTGCACCACGACTACCGCTAGAGAAATGAACAGGGCAACTGAGTCGAAGATAAAGAAAATCTGAAACGATAGTTTTGGAGCGATATTTGCTTCCCCAAGGGAAAGACCCGGAGGAATATTATTAGGGTCATCGACATATTGGCCGGGAACAGTGAATATAGCTGCAAATGCTACGGTCGCAATGAGTACAGCCACAACCGTAGTCGAGTTGATGGCATTGTTGAGCCCCTCGGTATGCATTTTGTTGAGGCGTTTGGCTATACCTTGCACGCGTTTTCTAGTTTGACGCGTGTGTTCTAGTTGATAGTGAACTTCGTGCTTTATATCGCTCACAGTTTGCTTCAGCTCTCGAGCTGGACTTGTCTGTGGCTTTATCGTCTTGGCGCTCTGAACACCGTGTTCCTTCAGGATGGCGGCAATATCGGCATTCCCCATTTTCTCTGCAGTGTCAACGGCAGTTTCATTAGACCGGTTAACAGCTTTTGTATCGGTTTCGCTCTGTCCCAGCAGCATCTTCACAATCTGCACAAGTTAAGAAGAGAATCGTGTCAATTCTCCTTTTGATGTCGTGCCAAAGTTAGCCACTCAACCCATTTTTTCCAACATAATTTCATTCTGATAAGTACGATATGAAGGACAAATTACTTGTGATCTCCCTTTCCGGGTGGCTATGTGCAATGCGGTGTTTCCCTTGTTGTCAACCATGTTAATTGACATCGGATCTGCTTTAACAAGTCCCTCTACAACCTCGAGATTTTGTCCTTTCGCGGCCATGTGAAGCGCGGTCTGCCCCTTTTTATCTGTTCGAGTTGCAATCCCGGGCTCCTTACTCAAGAGGGCTCTAAGAACTTGTGAATGTCCATTTCTTGCAGCAGAATGCAAGACTGTTTTCCCATTACTTTTAGCTATGGTAGCAATGCTGGTTTCAGATTCCAAGAGATAATTCACGACGTCTATGTGGCCTTGAGTCCCCGCGGAATGCAAAGCCGTGGTGTTGGCAACATCAACGGTCATGGACAGCTCCGGATGTGCTTCCATCAATGCCTTCACCACTTCTGCAACACACGAAGTTAAGATTTTACATTGTCACCTAAAAAATAAGAGAGAGAATCAAACGACAAAAATCTTGTATCGAATAATACTCAAATCCCCTTGTTTGGCAGCAATGTGAAGTGCGTCAAAGCCATTCCTCGCTTTGATTCCAGCTGCCGCGAGGTCATAGAACTCGATCATTTCCCTCACCAATTCAAAGTAACCGTATTCAGCAGCGACGTACAAGGCAGTTTCTCCAGCTGAATTTTGTTTCGACAACAGCTCTGTCAAGGCTTCCTCTCTCGTGCCATTGATGATTTCCCTTATGGCAACAATATTTCCTGCACGAGCTGCAGAGTGCAATGCAGTATCGTCTCGTTTCCCTGTCAATTGTTTCGTCATCCTCTTTAAGGTGGTGTCCGGCTGTACTGCTTGTCCCTCCATCTTATCCAGTAATTGAAACTCCCCCTTCCTCTCAGCTTATCCTAATGGACAATAGAAAACCTCTTCTTCCTCACATCAAAAACCAAAATCAGTAATCGCATTTATTATCCTAATAAAAGAAAAAAAGACTGACGACAACAAACTAAACCTTATTCCCGATAAGCCTTATTCTTAAAAACCAAGAATCGGCTTATTTATTTGAAAATCGTCGAAGGACTTGGAATTGTTACCTAAATTCCATTCATTATGAATGAATCACAATGAGACCCTGCTCAAAAGATAACCATAGCTCCACATTTTTCCCCACATGAAATGACCAAGGTTTTCATTCAATCTTTGCCCTTCTTTTTCTGATTACAATCTCGAAGACGATTCGCCTTTTTTTGCTGCAAAAAAAAAAGTAACATGAATTCTTTGAATATAATCTCTCTTGCAACCATCAACTCGATTATTAATCCATTGATTATTTCTGCTTTTTCCCAATGGATTACAACTATAAAGATCAAATTACTTAACAATGAAGGCAGAATTTACCTGTGACGAGAAAAAAATAGGTCCCTTTTGCCTGCTTTAAAAACCCAAAAAGCCAAACATTTGATAAGTTACTTATAATAAAAACAATCCCTGGTTGAGATTTAAAGATGATAGAATCAAAATGTTTAGGACTTTTCTTTTATAATGGAACAAGAAAAAAATGGGAAAAGGATACAAATGCCAGAGGTGAAGAGAGAGGGGATATTAAGAAAATGCACATGATGTCCAACAAAAAATTAACTTATATAATAATAATCATGTAATGTATCTATACATCGTATTCAGAGCTTTGAATTCATAAAGAAACAGAAATCTAAGGTTGAATCCCAACTTTGAGGGCCCCAACCGCCCCGTCCCTAGATGATTATGGGATGTAAAGTTGATGATTATGGGATGTCTGTCGAAGAAAAGAAAAATCTATATATATAAAAGAAAAAAGAAAAAAAAAAGTGAGCTGCAGTCCTTCCTAATTATATGGGATGTTTGTAGCATGGTTAGGGGTGGGAAATGTACCAACAGTAGATGAACCGGATTCGAATTGGGTCAAATCAAGCAATTCAGCTCGATTTTTGCTAAAAAAAGAATTACCTTTTAACCGAGAATGAAATGGTTCCATTCACTATTAGTCATTAGGCAAATAGTTTTTCTCGGATGAAATGGAAATTGGATATGATCAAAACTTTAAGTCTAAACCTCGACCAGACTCAGCTGACGGAGGATTTCTTCTCGTGTAATGATAATTTGAAAAATGTGGTGTTTAAATGGTGAGTAATTATTGTGTAATGTAATATCTTGTAGTCATGATATCAACATAAATTACTATTGTGATCTTTGTAACACGTTAGTCGAATCGCAACCAGCTAGTTCTGATTGACAAGTTTAGTATCATCACTTTATTTTATGCTAAAATTTATTTGGTTTAGTCTAATTCTCTTTGGCACTCGGCATGTTTAACTCTATACGTGATAAATATTATTGCCATGATAGGTGGAAATTAAAAATGGCCTCTTTTTTAAGAAAAAAAAGGAAAATTGTTACTGTTTTTAACTGTTTATGTACCATATGTTACTATTTTGTGGGCCTTTCTACTATGAACAAGTGGGTAAAAAAATGGTCCAACGGGAAAGGAAAAGTAGTTGCCAACAGCCAATTACAAGTGATAAATATTGGATTTGTTGGCTATGTTCAAAGAAATAATAAACAATACATGAATTTGTTAATTGTCCAATTGAATTATATCTAATATAATAGTGTACTATTTTCTCTTTACTTTTAAATAGTTAAGAAGCCATTAACGAACAAGATTATTATACTTCGACTATCCTTATTTTACTTGGGAGTCCGAGAACATGAACTCTCGAATTATATAGTTTATGCTCTCCACTCGACGAGACTAGTTGGATCAACTTATAATCCATCAGATTCACATGAATGGCAGTCTCGTGCAGTTAAGTTGGCGTAGAGTAATTGCAGAACATATAGAATTGAACACTTACATTTCATTAAATGTAACATTAATTCCTGACTCCGTCCCTGTCCATAAGCATTGGTTTTATGCAATTAGGGTGACAATTCTCCACAAACGAAATTGATTCATGGAGTCTAGAATCTAAATAAATTGGTTTGAATCTACATACCGATTTCTTTTTCAGCTATTCTACTATTGAAAAGTAAGTGGTTCAAGTTGTCATTTACTCATATCAACGATTAAATATATTTTAAAACATCTACGAAGTAGATCAGTTACATTTTCATTTAAAAGGGTTGCCCAATTATACATGCTTGCAATATTATTCTGTATTTTATATAAAATTACCTTACTTAATCTGTGGGTATTTATGTTTTGAGTATTTGTAATTTTCATCTATTCAAGTACTCACTCATTACCTCTCGAGATCCTTACTGAACGTTAAACGTGTGCAAATTCTTTCCTCTCAACACTCATCCACTCCCTAATACTTTCTTCTGTTGATTTTGACATAAATAAAGTTGCTTTTCACCGAGTCGACTTGACTTGTTTGTTTTAAAAGAAAATTATTTCACGATAAACATAGTAAGACATCTTATCAACAAATAGATTATTGCATATTTCAATTGAGTAAGATTAATGAGCATGGTCCATGATGATCTTAAACAAAAGTGAAGAAAGCACGTTACACGGGCGGACGCAGACATTTTCTATTAAGGGGTTGCAATCAAATTTTTAAAAAAAGCGACGAATTTTTTTTTATTACTTTATAAGGGTTATAAATTGTTATACTACTTTTTCATCTTGATTATTATTACATCTAAAATTTTTTTATATATATAAAAAAAATTTGATCATTTTTAGTATTTTTTTTTATTATTGTTACTTTTTTCTCTCAATCAATTAATTTTTTTTAAAAAAATAATCTAATAAATTTCTTAATAAAATTTTTGACATCATTTAAAAAAAATTAATTGATCAAGAGGAAAATGCAACAATAATAATAATAATAATAATAATAATAATAAATCTTAAAAATGATTGAATTTTTTTATATAAAAATAATTAAGACGAAAAAGTAATATAACAATTTATAACCCTATGAAGTAATAAAAATTTTATTAAGAATTTTTACGTCAAAAAAATAAAATTTTATGTTATACCACATAAAATTTCCTAATAAAATAAAGTAAATTATATTGAAAATTTTTTCGAGCTAAAATAATAAACATTAATATAATAATTGATTTTTTATTTTTATTTTTTTTCCAAAAAAGACAACTATATGTCTCTTTTTGGTATATACGTTTAACTATTTTCGATATTCATTTAAATCATTCGATATGTTTATGATATAGTTCTCGAAATGAGTTTCGAGAGGATATAGAAGATTTATAGATATAGCTAGCATATAATTGTCGAAAATTTTTTAAAGTTAACTTGTCATCAAAATTCTCGAAATATTAGTTTGAAACGACCTATTTTTACGCGTCGTAACATTTGCTACAATTGGCAATTACGCACAACATTAACATTATGAAATATTAGGCCGTGAGTACTTCAAAATGATATTAAGAATGTAATATTTCAACTTCGTCTGATATTCTATAAGGAGTCCGAAAACTAAGAAAAAAAAAAAAGAGGGAAAGGAAAGGAAAGGAGCTTAAAAAATCTGAAGGGTCAAGTGACCCTAGGGGACGCCCCCGGGTCCGCCCATGAGCACGTCAATGTTGAAAATGGGCAAAAGTGGGAGCCACTTAATTGGGAGAACATGGGGTCCACACGTGGAAACTGCGACTATCCCAAAATAATTCTACTCAAATGGTGGCCTGTCCCGACCCCTCTCACATTAGCAAGTTCCTTAGGTCCCATGATAGTAACTTACAAACGAAATCCACATCTTTGCCCATGTGCTCACTTTACATTGTGTAGACCATAATCAGCGGGGAATACGCAAGCTAGGTGTGAGGGGCGAAAACAATCATGCTATTCAAAGAGAAATTTGATACGAAATGGAGCCAGACAAGCCTGAGCACTAATTCGTTGAAAGACGGATTTTTTTTTTTTTTAAAAAACAGGTGAAATCCCAATTCGTCACTTCACTTCTGTCAATATTTTCTGTCAAATTTCTCTATTTGAGTAGCTTAATTTGTGAAGAAAAATGTGTAAACATCTGAAAAATGGCATAAAAAATCGAACAATCATATTTTGATCATATATCATGCGAGTCTCGGAGACGAAAGGCGTGACTAGTGAGAGCCCAGACACTAAATACGTCGCCATTTATATTTTATATTATTCAAGTTTTTTATGCATTAAATAAACTCATTAAGTATCAGTAATAAATTTTAAATAATTGAAATAGTATTACAAATAAGAAAACGTCTAATTTCGTCTCAACAGCTGGACTTGTAACATTTGAAACTTGACCTTGAACTTGTTGCTCTATTGAACCAAGATAGTAACATACCACGTTAGAGGTTTTGTTTTATATCTTTAGTTATTTATAAATTAAGGCAAAAATCTCTTTTCTTGATTTAAATAAATAAATAAATAATCTCTCGTCATGCCCTCTTGATGTTAGAATTTACTCAATTTTGGGCATCCAAATTATAGAATAATATTCTATTGTTAGTTAAATAGTAATACAAACTAGATTGCTGAGTTATATAGGTAACACAGATACAAAAAGAACATAAATAAAGCGCAAAACTTAAAGAACTTCAGTGTTGTAAGCTAGTAGTCATTAGATAATAAGAAATAATAACACCCAAACTCAATAGTTTCTCAATAGTTTCTCAAAATCAAAACTATTTTCAGCTAACATACGAAAACAAAATATAGTATCCTCCTAGATTAAACAGGGATAATACCTAATTTTGATAATAGATCAACTCAAACTTTAATTGCATATTTTCTCATTGGGAAGTACATCTCTTTCTTTTTCTCCCTTTCACTCTTCAAAGATGCCTACAGGAAAAAGACCAAAAGTCAAAACTTACCCAACTGATTTAGGAAGAAAGTATCCAAGTTACACGATAAAAGACAGCACCCACATGCAAGCTAAAACTACACACTTGATACACAGGGGCAAAAAAGAAAAACACAAGGAAAGGCCATATAAGTTAATGATGTTCCCTGACCTGCTGGGGCACATCCCACGATTTACCTCCCTCACAAAGCTTTAGAGACGGGGCGGTGGGAGCCCTTAAAGTTGGGGTTCAACCTTTTTTTAGTTAATGATGTTATTAAAGGTACTAGTAAATCATCAACTGATGCAATATGGCAATAAATTTTCGAAGGCATGCACTCACGGTCGATCATTAAATTACAACAAGTCAACACATAACAAGAAAATATATACATGTACTTCATGACAAATATTATTTCAAATAAGAATACTACAGCCTTGATGCTCAAAAGAAACTTCCATACCATTGAAAAGACATTAATACTATAGCCTTGATGCTCAAAAGACACTTCCATACCTCCAGCATAAGAACAGTAAGTTATCACATTCAAAGATAGGGAGTACAATGAAACATAAGAAATAAATCAATAATGGAACTCATGAGGGTGCATCCCTAAGGTAGTCATCATATGTACTGTGCAATGTGTCTTGATCATAATAGCAGGCGTACTCGAGATCACTTTGCATTAGGTATTAGCTGAATTGGATATTGGAAGCATAACAAAACTCATATCCAACATTTTTTAAACAGGATTGAACAGAAATTTACTACCAAACTGAGGGGTTAACAATTCTAAAATAAAAGAAATCAGTATTAGTTTATTAACAAATGATAGTCATCAAAAATACATAAGAAGACCACAAATTAATAAGGTCTCATATTAGAATATTAAAGTGCACATTCTTGTATTCCAGTTAATTAGTCCACAATGCAGTGCATTATTGACGATTTACAAAAATTATAGTTGTTATTTAACTATTCACTGATAGATTATAGTCTATAACAAGACTATTGAAGATAAAGACTCATATACTGCAACAAATGAGGGACTGATCAATTGCAACTAATGGATTCAAAAGCAAAACGAAGACGAGCAGCAGATTGAAAACTGTGAATTGACTAATTATAGAAAAAAAAACTGTTACTTTTGCTATGTTCATGGTTTATATCCGTTTGGCACATGATTTATCCAATGTGAAATCCAGAAAACATAACAAAAAACAAATGCAATGTGAAAAGATATACCTGGTGTTTGGTTAGCCGCCTGCGAATAGCACGGGTCTTCTTGGGGCGGAGATCAAGAGGTAAATACTTCTTATTCTTGTACGCTTCCCTGAGAGCTGCCTTCTGCTTCTGAGAAATGACGGTCAGCACCTGAGCTATAGAGAGTCTGACCACCTTAATCTTCGACAGCTTGTTAGCGGCACCAGCAGTGGCCTTTGCGACCCTAAGCAACGCCAGCTCCGCCTTCAGATCCTTCAACTGCGCCAAAAGCTCCGCCTTGTTCTTCTGTCTCAACTCATGCACCTTCATCCGAGCTATAAATTAGCACAACAACGTTAATTCATATAAAATTAATCGCCAGTTTTACATAAAACGAAAATTTTAGATTATTCTTTTGCTTTTCTTCTTACCCATTTCGCGTTTTCCCTTCTACGTGTTCCTTCTAGGGTTTGGGGGAGCCGGATGAGAGCGAAGGGTTAGAAGTGCAAGACTACGGTGTTAGGAAAAACCCAGATATTCAGTACATATTGAGGTTGGGCTTGGATAGCCCACCCGAAGTTGATTCACTTTTTAGGGCCAACTTTGGGCCTACAATGTCCAGGCCTACATGAGACTTCCCTACTGCATCTCATTGATCCAGCCTTAAACCTTAAGGATTCTCTTCGAATTTTATTTTATTTTTCTTAAGTTGTTACCATATTTTTAAAATAAAAAAAATATTAATAAATAATAAGTAATTGAAACGATAAAGGTTGATATGTTAATCATCGTTGAATAATGTTAGGTATATACCTTGACTGACAGCCACCCAATAATCGCGGACCCCACCAAACTAATAGCCTATTCAGTAGTGATTATGAGAATTGATTTTTTGATCTTTTGAGAAAAAAGCGGGTCTTATTTGTGAGTGAAGAAATAAAAAATGACGACTGAAATAGTAAAATAACGATCAAAAAATTGATTTTTGGGGTGAAAAATTGTTACCAAACGCGGACTAAGTGTACACTTGGCATTTTTCATCATCGTTTCTCATCCTCAAAATTTTTGACGAGCTGGGGATAGGGAGTTATGTCCATCCCCACACCTAAGATGTGCATCTAAGTTTCTCGTGTACATTAATGTCTTTGATAATATGGTCTACTATTGTATTTATCTCATAAATTAGCATTTACAACACTCTTCTTTAGAATTTATTTATTATAAGCTTTATTGACACTCATGTGTAAATAGTGTTATAAGGCAAATTTTCGTATTTTGCATAAGAAAATTTATAAGATTACCAGAATTATGTTTTATAGTGTTTGAGCTCAAGTCCTTCGATACTTTATGCTCAGATTGATTGAACTTTGCAAGTAGTTATGTTTTACGTTTTCTGGAAGTTAGGATCTATGTAGTTTGTTCCATTAAGCGGAAACGCTAGGTATTTTTTTTGTGCTCAAATTGATTGAACTTTTCTTTTGTTTCATGAGTTCATGGATCTTATTAAGTGCAATTCTCTCGATTAACATTTACATAATCATTTGATCTTAGATTCTTAGTTGATAGTAAGCTTCATAATTTAACATTATATATGTATCCTTTTTGGTTATTTGAACACATAATACACATTCAACGTTTTCTTTGTCAACAAAGAAGAAGAATTTCTTTGTTTGACCATACATATTGGATTTTTTTAGTTAATATAAAATATGGACTTTTGATATTAAATAGTTGAAAAAAAGTTAATTTATTGCAGGGTTCAATTTGTAATAGTCATTAAAAACCAAAAATGGCATCACATTTTGGACTCAGATAATATTTTCTCGTTTCTTCACTAATATTCTACATTTTTTTGCCACTTTCCACTGCATTCTTTAAACGAATTCACTTGGATGGTCGAACTTTTTTTCTTTTTCTTATAATTATTAAATCGTATCCATATTTATTTTCAAAACTAATAAAAAATCTGACACGTTTAACAATAGATACATCGACAGTCCAAACGGCCAAAAAGAGTAATATTATATTTATCTATAATATATTGAATATCATATAAGTGAGAATATTTTTTGGACAATTCTACCTTTACCATAATTCAATTATTTCAATAATACTTTACTTTTCGTTTTTCAATATGTATTTAATTCATTTAATCATTTAGTTATTATCAATATACATGTACATTTGACAAATTCATTTAACTCGTGTGCTTTCATTAATATATAAATTCTCTATTATTAATTCTCAGTTAATCAATATTCAAATTCATTTATGCATTTCAGTGTTATTAATTTTAATTATAAGTTAATTAGAATTTCACATTTAACATGCATTTCATTATTCAGGTCCATGTATGCTAATTAACGTCCAATTTTACTTAATAAGAAATTAAATAAATGATTTAACATTCATTATTACGTTTATATTTCATGGTGTTAATTTTAAATTAATTAACATTCCTGTATATTCAAATATTATTTTTACCGTACTTATAAAATATTTTATAATAAATTGTTTAATGTTGACTAGTATATACAAATTGCAGCATTAAGGTACATAAAATATATTACATATAAATTTACCTTATTATTCCACCTCATTTCATGTTTCGCCGAAATCATCGAATTGCGCTCTTGAAATTGCAAATGAACAAAAATTCTTTTTTGGGCAGTTTAGTGGGGGAAGACTTCAAAATTTCAAGCTCAGCAGACCCCGATGCAGGTCTCTCCATATACGGTTACTTGCATGTCGTCGATGTCGATTACATATATGTAAATGCATCTGAGTCTATACCATACGTTTATATTTTACTTTAACGCTTATTTTGACTAATTTATATTTAGATTTGCGTTGTGAGATTGTTTGGAAAATTTAGTTTACAACGAGGACGAAAAACCTTCGTTTTTTGCAAATTCAAAATTTGAGTACGCATTGGTAGAAGAATCGAACCTATGACTTAAAAAAGTTAAAATTTCTGCTGCTGAGTAATCTATTTTCCCTAATTCATGTGTTTTGTTTTCCATACTAATTCTTTTTCTTTTGCTGTTAAATTTAGCTAAATCTCTGATTTGATAATGATATTAAAATGGTGAAGATTCAATTGCTGGTTATCGAATTGATGAGGATGAAGCAATATTTAAATCTCCAACAATTGCTGAGAGATTGGATCTCAAGTTATGCACAAAACCTTGCTGCCGAATCTTTTAACTGATGATCATTTCCGATGCGATGGGAGTTGTCTTGGAGGTGTATAATGTTTAAAGTTTTATATCTAATCGTAGAATTTTAATTGAACAAAGTTTCTGCTCCAATTGTTTGCAGTTGCCATAGAATTTCATGGACCCTGGGTTTTGTTAGTACTCATATACTCATATACAAATTCTCGCTAAGCAGGACTTTACAATCAAGAGTTACACTCATAAACTTAAATGAAGGTGTCAATTGCATCTTATCATCTCTGTTATGAAATCCTCTCGGTACCACATCAAAAGCTAAAAGATAATTCTTTGGATTATTTCTAGTCAGTGAAGTGAATATTAGCCTGCATGATTTCCAATATGGAATCAGTTCCCCTTGTGTCACACAGGAGATTCCCCTAATATATATGAGATCTTCTGTAGATTAATTTTATAATTCTATGATGTACAATTGTGTAGATTCTTTTCATTTATAACTGTATTTTGTCCTATAAATGTAGTCTTTGCATTTCAATACATTATGATGAAGTATATACTCTCTCTTTCTTTTCATGGTATTAGAGCCTTGCTCTACCAATCAGAAAAGGTTACTAGTTAGAGCTCTAGTTATGTTAGTTTTGTAATTGTCTCTAGTTCTTGGTGCATATACTTCCAAAGTCAGGCAATCATTTATTTGCTGCCAGATTCTGCCCAATAAGCCAACTCAACCTCCATTCCCTCTATTTCAGTGGCTAGAATTTATGCTAACTAATCAAATTCTGTCCAACCTCTGGATCTCCTAGATTCAGTGCTTTTTTGATTGAAGTCAAGTGCAAATGTCAACTTATAGGGACGACGAGTTCTACTCGTACCTCAGCGGGCTTTGAATTCTGATGTGCTGATTCAGATCTTATGCTCAATTTTGACCTGATGCGCAAGAATCACACTTTATTTTGATCAGCAGTTTATTCTATAATGTCTCATTGGTCACTTCAAGAATCTAGCATGATACGTATTTGAATAACATTAACCTATCTGTGGCAGTTCAAACTCTTATATCGATTACTATTTGTCTAAGAAGAAGAAAATCACACCCCAGGCAGCGGTCTTTGCTTCCTGTTATTAGGTGTTCGAATATTAGGTAGAGTTTAAGGAATTGATGAAGCACATGCTTTACTCAGTCAGGTAATAAAGAATGGACTTACCTCTGCACGTCGTATCTTATGGGTTTGCTATTATATTGGTCAATGTTCTTGTTCAAATTGCCACCTTCCCTTTGACAAAGAAATAGGTAAATTTTGCTGCCACTAATATTAAGCCAGATATGTCTAATTACTCTATAACGCATCTCTTTCTGCTCAGGTATTCGTGATCTAATTTAATATTTGTTTTGAGAGGGTAGCATTTAATTTCCATGTCTGATTTGTTTTTGTTTGGTCGTTTTCTGCAGCAACACAAAATTTTTTCTTTTTATTTTCAATTTTAAATGTAAAATTTGATTTATGTGGTATCATTAGTTTAGGATAGCGAATTTTTGTAATGTATACGTTTGGATCAACATTGGCATGCATAACCTCATGGAACATAAATAAGGGATGCATGAAGAATTCAAAATTTTCTAATGTTATGATTTTAATGGTAACGCATAACACCATAAACTGGCATCACTTATGTGAAAGTTACAGCTGGAGTTTTCTTGTGTGAAAGGTCTTCCAATGTTAGGTATCTGTTGTAGAATTGTTTTCCTGCTTCAAAATAAACCTTAGAATTGGTTTAGTGTTCTGCAAGTATGTAATATCACACGCTGAGAGTCCTATCCTGACATAAACATTTATTGCTTTGTAGCATTCTCTGAACTCCATGCTATTTTTTCCCCTCTGAAAACAATATAAAGCACATGTTTCTTTCATCAGACTAGTCAAGTAAACGATGAGTTCATTCATAATCATATCCATGTAGACAGGTAGACACTAGACACCTACCCACCCACCCACAAGGACATGGGGTAAGAGATAGAGGGAGGAAGTTACATCCTTGTCTGTGCATGTTCTAACATGACAGTTGGAAAGTAATGCATGGAGTTCCGGGTACGTTTCCTGTCCCCAGAGACCCTATAATCTTAGGATTCCTTTGACCTGTTCGGAGTAGTGGTTCTAGGTATTATAGGTAAAACATGAAAAAATGGGAGAGTTTAATAGATAAGTTCTTTGTCCCTGGTCAAAGTTGAGATTGCTGGTATCATTAACCTCCCTGGTCAAAGTTGAGATTGCTGGTATCAATAACCTAATAATTAGTTGGAGCAGTACCAAAAGTTCAGCTTTTCATAGAAGTCTACATGTTACTCTAGGTTTGTTGTCTCCAATTTGATAATTGGGTTTGGTTACGGATGTCAAATCTTTGGACCAGGGGATTTGATCAAAAGGGTTTTGACATTAGACATGGTTACATGTTATTCATAAAATTAATCTTTACACATGCTCTAGAAATGTTGTACATATTTCGACTATATAAAGAACAAAATTTGTACATAATCCATTGGAAAATGATTCTAGAAAAGTCAAATTTTGACACTTTGGTAGTAACAGTGGTAGTGGTCCATTCCTGATGGATCGACACAAATCCCTCGGGTTCTAGTATTAGGGTAGCCAATGAGCTGGAGTGAAAATGGTATTTCTGAAAAATGGGGTAGTACATCCATTATGCACCAGAAACACACACATAATTGCTTGTCTGCTGCTGGTAATCACAATCTTCTCTATGGGTTGAAATATGACATACAGTTATTAGAAGATCTAGTATTGCTACTTACTCGAGAAACTGATTATCTTAAAATAGATTTTAATAGAATTCAATCAGCAGGATAAGGAGTTCTGGATGAGTCATATGCTTTTATTGGCAGCAAATCAGTTCCAAAGCCGCCCTCAGGTGGAATAAAAGATCAGAGAACAAGTGTTTGGTATGCATTGTTTTATTGCCAGTAAACATTGTATGTATGATAAACTGCACGCCAGTCAAATGGTCAATTTCTGGTCGTCATTTTCATGCCAGTCATTAGTTGAGGTCTAACAATATTATTAAAAAATCAATTACTGTTTGTTCCCATGCATGCTTGATACTGAATATCATCTTTCAGACTGTCAAGTATATCATATTTATATGAAAATTGTGCAGTGTTGCCAAATATGAGGGTAGCATGGTAAGCAAAATGTTACCTCATGCATCATTCTTGCTTTTCAAAATCATGTATGGACTAGGGGTTGAATTGGAGCTGAATCTACCCAAAATAGTATCATTTGGAACCAGTACTTTTTGCTTTAAATTGAGAAATGGTTGGCAATTGTCTCTCTCCCCGACTGCCCACTCCAGATGACTTTTCCATCCTGAGCAGCATTGGTATAGATTTTCTTCTCTTTTATTTTTGTTCTATAAGCTTATATCTTGTTGACAACAGAGAATATGCTAATTAGAACCATTGAAATTGAACACAAAGTAAACCCTTTGAGCCTTACTGTAGTGAGCTGTAATTTGTAAATAGAAATTCTGATGAACTTCTGAGACCTGATATGTCATACAGAAAACAGATTTAGCCTATGTTTTGCCCTCATTTTTCCAAAACTCATTTTTTCAAAACTCATTTTCAACTACACGTTCTCCTATAAAATAATTTTATTTGCAAATCTAAAACTTTACCTTATTTTTTAACCACAAATTCTCCAACAAAATACTATTCCAAAATGCTTTTTGGGCAAAAAATGGGGCTCAAACTAATATTGTGGTTTTCCAGCAATTTTTGATACTGCATAAATTTGATTTTCATAGCTATGCTTAGATTAAATAAATGAGGTATCTAAGAGTTGGCAGTTCTGTAGATAGTAAATCATTTTCTGGAACACATATTAGATGTAGGCAAATTAAATCTTAAAAGTAAGTACTATTATACTAGTAACCTGAACATAAGTTTCAATTAATGCCAATATGTTTAACCTCCAACTTTGAAGGAATATTGTGTTCTACAGAGAATAAATGCTCCACTTTAGGGTCTTGATGGTGGACGATGATTTCCAATTGGATTTGGTCCAGATGGTGTTTTACAATTTTTCTTGCTTTTTCCCTCCTCGATGCCATTTTCCTGTCGGTAAAACACGAGTCATGAATCACCATTTTATCACCTTAGATAAAAACAATACTTGGACTGTAAATGAAGGATAGAACTTGCTTGTACTCTTACCGAAGTTCTCACAATGTGTCCAGCTGCTATCCTCGTGCTGTAAAATTCTGCAGGTTTGATCTTCAAACCAACTGTTGTGAGGATTTAGAAGGTAGAGGCTTCATTAAAAACTTGAATTTTTAAGAACCAAATAATTAATTTGATTTAATGGTAAGCATTATTAAGGTAGTTGAACTACATCATCAAAAAACTTGAGCCATTAGACATGCTCTCAACATGCACAATCTTTTGTACGTGGACGGGAAGAAACTTGAAGCTAGAAAAATTGTTTGTTCTGACACATGTTAAACTACCTCATTTAAAAGCTTAAACTGTTTGATTGAGGAATATTCCTTGTAGACATGCTTTTAAGTTTAAAAATGCTAGAGCACGACATTTAACTTAAGCATGTTGATTGCAAATGTACTACCACAACAAGTATATTTAAGCATGTCATCTCAAATTATGAGAAATATAGTAGCTTGCCTGATTCGGTTGGTCGACTGACACGACTAATAGCCTGATGCTGTTGAAATGCTGCTGAGATAAGCCATGCAAGGAGAAGATAGAGTAGAATCCGAGTTCTTATCATCTTAAACACAAGCCTGGGAAAGGAGATTTGTAAGCAGAAGACTGGAATTGAAATATGAACACTTTGTTTAGGTGCTCTGTGTATGCTAATGATAACCAATCTTGAAAAACATGGAATGTGTGCAAAGTGTGCTTGGGATCCTATGCTATTTATGCAATAGGCGACAGGATTAGGAATCTGGCTTTTTACTCATTGTGAATTGACTTCTTTTGCTTCATCATTGCATTCATAATGAGTTTGAGTTGAATTCAATCCAGTCATGATTGGGTTCTTCATAAATGTAACTATAGCATTGTCTTTTTGAGTAGTCAAAGCTTTTTGTCTGCATGGGTTGTCCCCTTTAATTTCCTATTGCCTCTATTCTATTGTTAAGGAATGAAAGTTCAAAACGATTCATTTTACTGACACAAGTTTATTGAGAATGAAGTTTACTTGCTCATCTATTACTAAAACATCTCATCTTTGATATTTGGATCCCATTACTTGTAGTCTTAAGACTATCCAAAAGTTCAGTTTCTACTAAACAACTCGATCGACCAATTGGTTCAATCACGAACCGAGTGGAACAGCTCCAGTGGATCTGTATTCTTAATTGCGTATTTAACGAAAACATGGAAAATTTGTGTTATGAATTATTCGGCGTTGATATAAATGTTATGAATATTTTTTACTATAAAGAGCCTTGACATCTGGTTATTAATATGTTTTTATATCTATGAAAATCAGCCTCCAGTGCAAGTCTGATTCAACATTTTGATCATTGTGTCGGAATTAGTTTTAGAAACATGGAATTTTTGTACAGGTAATCACTAACCTGTGTCTACTGTACACAAGTGATCCCTATTCTTCAATTCTTGACACTAATCCCTGAACCTTGTGTAGGTTTTGTTCACTATTGATTCTTTTTGTCAATTTTTGCTGTTAAGCGCTCTCATATGCTAAACTTTAAAAGTGTAAAACCGGCCCAACTTTTTTTATGAGACATACTTTATAGGGTAAATAGCAGCAGCAAATGTTCCCTAACTTTCAACCCATTTTCGAATTCGTTCCCAACATTTGAAACATAAATGCCATGCAGGTGTTATGCCAACAGAAGTGAAAACTGTTTATGGATCAAAATTCACAGCACAAATTTTATCAGCTAACTTTTTCCTTCAATATGGGTCAATTCCTCACAAACAGGTTTGATATCTAAACCATCCCCCAAAAGTTCTGTGAACTTGATTATGTAGATTTCACCACCTCCCTGCAACATGATTGTCAGACATAAATACGAAATACATTAAAATAACAATATAGAACATAAGAAACGCTTAAAATGGATTATTACGCATTGTGGATCATCTTCGTGTCAATGTCATGTGAACTGACTTTGTGGAAAGTTTTACGCGGACAATAAATTTCTTTGATCATTCTAGAAATAACTTAAAAGATCCTCATTTTTGGTTCTTTCAGTTGGGATTTTTTCTAGTTACCGAACGCAAATATGTAATTGTGTGATATCATTTTCTGCTGCGTTACGCGTGAATTTTTTAGTGATATGCTTCAATCATATTTGACAATGATAATTGATTTTCCAAAATCTAACAACATTTATTTCAAAATGATTAATACTAATTTTGAATTGGGATTTTTTTACTGGAAAATGTGATTTTTTAATTTGGCAACAGAAAATGAGGGGATGCTTGTTTAACAGAAGATTTCAAAAGCAATTAATGGAAAATTTCTTGAAATTGGCTTCTAAACAGTAACTTCGAGGCTGATGAGTTAGCCTATACTTTAACAATACTTCATTTTTCTGATGTTGTTCTTAGAAAAGTAGGAGAATTGGATTCCACAAGAATTGTGGGATAAATTGGGATAACTTTATCTTGTAAAATCTTTACCAAGTAAATTGTTTCTTCTTTAAAGGTTTTTTCACTTTAAAATAGATCCCTCAAAAGATATTGATGATAATTTGGATAATTTCAATAAATTGGACCACAATATTATTATAAAGCGAGAAACTTTTTGAAGAATACAAGGCTGTAATCTTATTGAATGCTATTTCTGAAAATTATAGAAAAGTTAAAAATGTCATCAAATATGGTAAAGATAAGTTGAATTCTGAGATGTGTGTTAATTCTGTGAGAAGTAAAGAGTTAGAGCTCGATGTTGTACAAGATTTTGGAAATTTAGTGGTGAGGGTTAGAACTAAAAATAGAAAGAATGATGGCCGAGAATATTAGTAGTTAGAACAATAGTTCTGGAGGATCTAGAAACCAAGGTAGAAAAATAGTACACTTCATTAAAGATTGTTGCATAAAATGAAAAATGGCGTTCCAATCCACGGCACCAAATTAGTGCAACTTTCACACTGTTTTATAATGTCAACTTCAATTCATTAAACCAAATGAACAGTATTTCTGGTTTTTTCTTATTTTTTAATTCTCAATAAATAATTTATTTTAAACATTATTAATTATTAATTATATTACTATTAACATATCTAAATAAAATTACATTTAATTAACTAAAATATTACATTAATTAAAAAATAAAAAAGCATTACACTTAGTACCACAATTTTTGAAAAATATTACATTTAACACACAAAAAAAAACATAAAAAAAAAAAAAAACTTTCACAAAAGAAACACAAAGAACAACTAGTTTTTAGAATGACAAAAAGGTGTCTGAATCTTGATCTTGTAACATTCATTCATTGTACAGGCCATCATACATATTATAATTCATAATTCTAAGCTCTGTATCGTCCTTGAAGTTAATAGTGATTTGAGTTACCACACATCGCTACCAGCTTCAAACACTTTGAATCAATTCCTCTTCTTGAGATCATTGTCTGAAATAACATGTACGTCGGTAAACAATAAGATAATCAAATATAAATTTCTCTTAGTAGTTCACGTGATTGTCTCCTAGCAGATGTATCATTAATGTATTTCAAAGAAAGGTAGAAGCTTCCTTTTTAACGAAACAATCTGAGGTCAATTCCTAATAGCTTACGTGATGAATCCTTCTACACTACGCCTCCATTTCGATACAATTTATAAGTTAGTTTATAAATTCAAAGTCAATATCAAATACTAGTATTATAGCTACTAATCATTAATACCTACATATTTTGTGAAACCCTCTACTATTCCTCTTATTATTCGTATTTACAAATCATTAGAAATCTGCCAAATGGAGGCTAAAATATGCAATACTCAAAAGAGTAACTTACCGTATGAGAGAATAGCAAATGCAGTCTGTATGATGGTGAGCCCAAGCAGGGTAATGGCAGCAAAGACTGAAATGGCTGTCCATGGACTGTTGAAATATTCTCGTTTTAATGTTGCTATCCATCTATTCCTTATTTTGGCACAATGATCATTTACATCGGAGAAAATACGAGAATATGGAAACTCATCAGAACTTATGAGACCCTTGCCTAGCTGGTTGATTACAAGATAAACCATTTCATAGCTCCCCAAAAAGTTGCTAATGATTTCTGAACGTTGCAACACTTCTGCATCTTCAGGGGAACGGACGAGACAATGCATGAAGAATATATAGTCCGTCACACATTTTTGAGGACTGCCTGTGTAGTAGTGCTCTTATGCAATCAGATTTCGGAACAATGATTCTGTTGAACCAGAAATTTTCCATTCTGGAATCTTCATAACTTTATTTTCGAATTCAATACCAAAAAAACTATTGACTTCCCACTTTTGGAAGGAAATCTCTGCCTTCTCGAGCTCTACAGCTGAACGTATATTCTCCATGTTATATAGAATTCCTTTGAGTTAATAAACTTGCAGATGAAGAACACTGTATGTGATGTGCAATCCCAAGAAGATGGGGAATAACAATAGGGACTTCCGGAAGATCCTGCAATGGGAAAATGCTATGTCGCAGTAAAGGCCATATTAGAGAATAGATGTTTTTGTCTTCATTATCGATCTTGATCGTGTTGAACAATTCATCAACAATGAAAAATGGAATCTGATTCTCAAATAGCATTAGATCATGAAACAGTTGATTTTGTATATGTGTATACCGTAAAATGGCGTCATCTCTGAATTCATCGGATTGAAACTTAAGGAAAAATTCGATGATAAAACAACCATCAAGAACCAACATTTGCACAAACTCATCGTCATCAAGGTGGATGTCTTCAGCGTAACATTTCCGTGCCCTGTCTTCGAATTGCATTATTGTGGTAACACATATTAATGCATTCGGCTCGCTTCCTCTTGCAAGCAGACTCCCTAGATAACTGAGTTTGTGTTGCTCCATGTTCTGCAAGTGAGGTTTATTGTGGTGAAATGGGCAATGGCTATTATTTTTGGATCGTAAGCCTCTGGGTTTATGCTGCGTAAATGATCACCAACTCTAAACATTGAGGGCTTTGAGGGCGTGTGCGTAGGATACAAGCTAGGAACCATATTACGAATGTTATCAGTGATACGACCAGCTCTACTCTCAGACATTTTTTTTAACTGTTTGTGGAAAATCAAATACGAGTACCTTGATTTACCAACAAATTAATCTATCCAATTCTAAAATACGATAGAAGGATTTGATATGGATTTTGAAGGCACTTGATTAGTAGATCTCCAATGAGCCGGTCGATGAGATCTCTAAGATTGACCGGCAATGGGGAATAAATTTGCTATGCGATGGAAGAAAGAAAGATAAGTGCATATGGAGGGAGGAGAATGACAAGTTTTACCAGTAAACAAATCAACAATTTAACCAAATAAGTGTCGCCCAGGCTAATTGCTTTCATTCCATTTGTTTTTGCCAAACACTCACGTGGTTCCATTTGTTCTTACCTAACACTTAAATGGATGTGTTAGACCAATTAATTGTGGCCCATGTAATATTATTGAAGCATTAATTAAAAGTGTTTAATATTGTGAAAATCATATTGGCTCATTGAGAAGTAGCAATTTTATTACTGTCAACTTTGATAATAAATGAAAAGTTATTTTAAAGGCCCATGAAGTTCCATCTCTCTACCTATAAACGTGAATGAAACACATCAATTAATACATTGAATTACAGAAAGGAAAATGGAGAAAACGATTTCTTGTTTCTTTTATTTTGCAGGTCTAAGTCTTCAATTAATTGTCATGGATCGATGTATGTTTCTTGATCAATTAAATTTGATCGTGAAAAATCATGGAATTCTAAGATCTTGGGATTAGGATTAATTGCTTACGGGGTAATTAGCGCAAAACGTCCATACCTTTCATTATTAGGCATTTTACCCCCTCTTTCCACATTTCTTTGCGCTAATCGTCATTTTTACCATTTTTGACGTAAAATGATCAAAATACCCTTCTATTTAAACAAAACAAAAAAAGAAAAGAAAAATTGCAATTATAAGCCCAAACTTTCCATATGTGCAAATCGGCTCAAAATTGAAAAACAAAGTCAACAAACCACCTTAAATCGATCACCACTTTGAAGCCAAAAAACTCCGACCAACCACCGTTGAAACCATCGGACCTCTATACCGCCAAATAGCCCTCACTCTCCTCAACACATACATATCAAATTACCATGCCAACAGATTTGGTAATTGCAAGTCAAAATATCGAACTTGCAAATGCAAATTAGGGACGGCACCACCTGTTTCGACAAGACTCATGCCATTCCCAACATTCCAACCGAATATACACACCAAGGCGTCCCTGTCCATGGTCCTCAAATGTCATTTAATTCACACAATCAAACAAAACAGGCTGCAGCTTCGAACATAGCCATCACAGTTTTTAGGCGAATTTTTCGACGTCGGTGGTGGGAGCCATGATCGTGGACCACCACCTCAAATACCTACTCCTCATGGCGCATCCAATGAGTATATGGGTCTTCCCCAATTTTTCCTGGACATGGCCGTTCATTCAAGAAACTAAGAAAACGCATAAACCATTTGATCCCATTTCAATTGGCGTTTCTCCACATCTCTAATCAACAAATTACTCCAACTAGCATACAATTCAAAGTTTAATGACTCTAGATAGTGAATCAATTGCTGTAATTCACGATTCAAAAGAAGTAATTTACGATTTTTCACTGAAAATAAGCTGTTCGTGTGAAGGATAAAATTGGTTGATTTTGCTGATATAAATTTGTTGTTTGATTGATTTGTTTATGGAAAAGTGTTTGGGGTTGATGAAAGTTGTTTGTGATGTGAGCTCCAGTTTTTCAGACGAAGGTTTGGCGGTGGTTGTTGAGGTGGAGGCCAGCGGTGGAATGGGAGTGGGGGTGAGGTGTGGAAGAATTTTTTTATTTTTATTTTTTTCAATTTTGGGCTAATTTGCACATATGAAAAGTTTGGGCTTATAGTTGCAATTTTTCTTTTTGGTTTAAATAGAATGGTATTTTGGTCATTTTACTTCAAAAATGGTAAAAAAGACGTTTAGCGCAAAGAAATGTGGAAATAGGGGCAAAAATGTCAAAAAAATGAAAAGTGAGGACATTTTCTACAATAAGTTGGAAAGGTAGGGACATTTTGCGCTAGTTACACATTGCTTACATGTGGCATCAGATCCAAGATGAAAAATTCTTGACTTTCCCTTAAAGATTATTGTTTTCGCTAATTGATTTTATTTTATTTTTCTGATTGATTTATAAATCAAGTAATAGAGAGAGAATTAATTTGTGAAATTATTATTATTTTGTTTTGTGCTGTTGAAGTCAATAAAACATGGATCAATGGATTTTTGGATCAAAGATTTCTTTATTGCCTGGATATATATAGGCCCCATTTGTGAATGATTTTTCACTCTAAAAAATTGATTTTTTTATCGTTATTTCATTATTTCGGTCATAATTTTTGACTTCTTCTCTCATATGTAACCTCCACTTTTCTCCTAACGATCAAAAAATCAATTTTTAAAATCATTACTGAACAGACCCCAAATTACATACAGACCCATCGACTTTCTCATAATTGATTAATCTGCTTTGTTTTAATGTTCTGTTCCTTGCGAAATTCTTTACATCTTTAAAGTAATTTACTTTTCTTGGGTATTGTGCCAACCATTGACTAAAAGCATTGTGATTGGAGTAAATTCAAGTGTACAGATAAATCATTGCTAGAAGCTTCACAGAAATCTCATATGGGGATGGATCCCATAAAAATATTTTATTTCAAAAAATAAACCGTCCACCCCAATCACGTGTGTTATTTGTTGGATGTCTTAGAAAACAAAAAATCTGTACATCTAGATCCAAACTTTTAGCTTTCCAAGAAAATGGTAAGAAAGTTAACGACATTGAATTATTGTGGCCCCACATTAAATTGTTTGTTTAGGCCTGACAATTGTGAAGAGTGTTCACACGTAATTGCCCTCAATTTACATTTATGCCATTGACATGGATGTGAACTAAAGAAAAGCAAAGGTAAATTGTGTCCAATCACGGTCAACAGTCCAATAAAGGGCAATTAATGACTTATGGCCCCCCTTATTTGCACATTTTCCATTCCCATGTTCAGAAATACCTAGGTGACCCAACTTCACCAGATTAAATCTTGGATCCCCAGTCACTGGCCCCTCAGTGACTAGCGAAGGTAAACCGCAGGTTGTACCCTTGTTGGATCACAGGTTCCCACCCAATCTAAACTCCTGGTCTCAAGAGAGCTTTCCTCCATAGTGATTAATCCACCAATAAATTGCCCCTTTATTGGATCAAAGGTTCCCATCAGAAATCGAACTCTCCACGCTGAGGTTGCGAGCGCGCCAAAGGTGATTGATCCACCAACTCGGATGTGCCCTGGGGGGCTCACAGGCCCCTTTTCATAATATGTGGTCTCCACTTCTGCAATTGTTGCATCATTTCGACCAAAGGCAGCTATCACCCTTTTTCCTTTTTTTTTTCTTTTTTTTTTTTGATGGAGCATTTCAAATAAGTCCTGTTTGGCCCCTATTAAATTTCATTACATTATATTTTTATTCTTCTCTCTTCTATTTTTAACAACATAATTTTTCATAAAATAATATTATACGTAAATAAAAAAAATTTTCTTCTTTTTCAACCACTTATTATTCAGAAAAATATTATTTCACCCATTTTCATTTTTTGAAAATAGAGGCCAAACGGGGCTAAGTGTCTGACAAAGCAGGTTCAACTTTTGCATTGTTTTTCACAGTAGATTAATGAGATATTGTAAAAAAAAAAACTCATAAGTCCTTGTTCGATCTCATTTTGGGGAAATAATGCATTTTGAATAGTAAATTAATGGAGAATGTGTAGTTAAAAATTTTTAAAAAATTGAATTTTCGTGTAATATTATTTTATTGAATAATGTGTAGTTAAAAATGAATTTTTAAAAGCATAAGAATCAAACGAGAACTAAAATTGGAGCCAAATGGTGGCTAAATTATGACAAAACAGGTTCCACTTTTGCATTTTTTGTTGGTTTGTCGCTTTAGATTAATGAGATTTTGTACAAAATATGAGCTTCAAACTGGGGCTTAATTTTGTTTTACCTCTAAGACCTTGACATAGATGCAGCTACACGCGACCTGCTTTCATACATGTAAAATATAAAGAACTTAATTTTTTTTTTTTCCATCTAAGACCAAATATTAAGAGAATAATGATTTAGGTGGTGGTCTTATGATAAATGTGACTGCTAAGTAAATTTGAAATTCCGGCCAGAATCAGCTAAAAAAAATTTATACTGCTTTTAATGCTCGCATTTCTAATAATTCACTATGATGCAATTTTTTGCTTTGTTTTCCAGTCCCGACAAATTACATGAATTTTATTTATTTATTTATAATTATTATTATTATTTATTTAAAAAAAATTTCTTGAGTAAATTGAGCGTGGAGCCGTACATATAAAAAGGATTCTCAAAAGTCACGGAAATCGAAAGCAAAGGAGCCAAGTATTCTCTATTTTTTACATTTTTTCTCTCATACTAAATTTTTCAATTACTTCGTTTAATTTCAACAACTATGATTAGTTTCACGCCTCATAAGACAAGTCACTGATAACCCAGTCAAAATTTTTTAATAATTTTTTATTATTTTATTTTTATTTTTTTATTATTTATTTCTTTTGAAGGGAGCCAATTTGGGAAGCAATATGAAAAGGATTCTCAAAAGCCATTGAAACTGAGAACAGAGAAACCAAGTATGCTCTAATTTTTACATTTTTCTACTACATAAACCCAACTTTTTTGACATCTTATTATTTAATTTATTTTTCGTACTCATTTTCAACTACTTATTCACATAATAAAAATATCCTACGAGTAAATTTATAATTTTTTCCCTACTTTTAACTATACATTTTAAAAAAAAATATTATTCAAAAAAATATTTTTTAAAATTTAAGGATGTCAAAATGGGCTAAACCTTTCAATAACTTTGTTAGTTTCAAGGCAAAAAATCACATTTGAATAATTATGTTTATCCTAATTTAAAAATCAGGTATGTATTTAAATAATTAAAAATATTTATTAAATAAAGATAATAAAATCACAGTTACATGAATAATGGTCACAGATTCATAATTATAGGTTATAAATTTATTTACTGGTCACATATTGTCAAATTAATTGATCATAGATTATTTCATGATCAAAAATAAAAATTTTTATAGGTCATATATTATTTCGAAATCACATATCATTCAAATTACATGTCTCATTTTATCTATGGGTCACATAAGTCACAATTTATTGATCACAAATTATTTTTTAGTCACATACATCTAATATTTAGTTATAAATCAGCAAACTAGTTC